TGTGAGCATTTGATCTGCAAGATTTCGTGACCGTGTAAAAACTGTATGCTAATATAAACCCTGAAATTACTAAAAAATGTTCCTTGAAATTTGGAATTGTTTCTATTTGGCGATTTCAACTTCTTTTTTCCTTCTTCTTTGAGAAGAAGTGAAAAATTTAATACTAAAAAAATGGATTGAGAACGAAAAAATCGACGAAAAATTGAAACTACGAACACTAGAAAACTTAAGTTTGAGTCATTTGAAATTTTATGAGCTCCCAATTTTGTAATTTTCACAGCCACGAATTTTTGCGGAACGAAATTCTCCTATCAATATTATTTTGCGTTTATCATTTATACGGAAACTCTGTATTTCCAAGCATTTTCACCTGGTTTCCACTGATTTCGAGACATTTTTTTTTTACTCGCCACGTGGAAAATCGCAACGGAAACGAAAGGAAAAACGGCCGCCGATTTTTCGGCTTGTCACTCCAGGGAAAACTCCCCGAATTTCCTGTTTATTTTCTGTTTTTTCGGTCCTTGACCTCATTTTTTTCGAATTTTTTTGGCTTTGTTGCATCTTCTTTGAGCAATTTTCAGTTTTAAAAATGAGGAGAAATATTTAAAAAAATAGCTTTTTTTCTTTTTTTGACGTTATTATGAAGTTTTTTTAGGCTAATAGTTCGGTTTCTTTTTTTCAGAATTTAGACGATAAATTAATCAGTTTTCTATCTGTAAAATAAAACTAATTAATTTGGACCAGCTGGAACCTGCGCTCCACGGATAAGAGATTTTTTTAAAAATTATTTTTTTGGTCAGAGAAATTTTTTTCGATACATGTTTTTTTAATTAATTTTTATTTTTTTATGGCCGTTTTTTTCAATCATTATTTTTTTGGAGATGGAAAAAAATTGGAAACCAAATTTTTATTTTTCAATTCTGGACCACTAATTAAAAAAAAGGACTTTTATTTGTTTATTTTCTGCTCCACTGGCCAGAAGATCCACGAAAATATTTTTCGAAATCCAGTTTTTCCAATTTTTCATCTTCTTCGCTTTTAAAAGGTTTTTGTCTCCTATGCACTTGTTTTTCTTATTCTCAAGGTACTTTGGCGAGGTTCACCTGCACTTTTCGCAAATTTTAAAGCCAAGAAGCTCGAGTCGGATCGAATTTCGACGGCTCGGCTACACTTTTGCCCTCCTAAAATTTTGCTATTCACTAATCATGTTTCGCTTTATTATTTCTCATGATTTTTCTCTGAGTTTGCTGGAAAAAAATTTTTTTTCGGTGAATTGGAATTCGATTCCACATAGTCGCTATCTGTGCAAGTTTCATATTTTTTTGAAGGTATGAATTTTTAAAATTTATTCATTCATTAAATTCATCATTTAATTCATGGTAAATTCATTAAATTCATGAATATGCAGCTTCAGGCTCAATTCTTCTTTAATGTGTGGACTGCCAAAGTTAATATTTCATTCAACGGGCTCTTTGCGAAAGATTGGAACTGATAATCGAACCCACATAGTTTCTTTCACATTTTTAAAACTAGAGATTAAATAAGTTTACCCGGTTCTGTTTGGCATACTGTAGGTTTAAATTGTGCATACACTGATCGAAGTTTTTGAGCGATATCTTCTTTAATAACGAGTTTTTTGTACGAAAAAGTAAGCAAAAATTTTCAAAATTACAAAATTGAGTTTTTGCAAACGCTAGAAAGTTCTAAAAAATGGCCTAATTCACAATACAATACAATACAATATTTATTGGTTGTTTTAGTCAGATGGTATCGACTAGGCGGTGAAAAAATTGCTCTTTTGAGCGGCACTAACACCGCCTTTGGCGAAAAAGAAGTCAAAACGTGTAGTCGATTGAATTGAAAGCATGGTCTTACGGTCCTTCGCCTCGTTCTTCCACAAGTTGATCCCTCAGTTTCGCGGGTACGGGCACGGCGTGGATGGTGGGGCTCGGGCACGGACTCCGTGTATACTCTAGGGTAGCCTCGGCCGACTGAGAGCTACCACTTCGAGTGAAGAAAAATACACAAAAAAATTCGAGTAAAAAAAATCGTATTTTTCTTTAATTTTTTTATCTATTACTGTCGAAAAAAGCCTTAAAATGTCCACTTACCATGGTTCTTTGCTCGGTAAAAAGCCTCAAAAAAATGCGTTTTTTCTTAAATTTCCAGCCTTCCAAATTTTCTTTTTAAAAATTCGAAAAAAAGCTGAGCTTTAACTCGAATAATGACATTAACATTCCGATGATTCTTCACTCAGCATCAACGAGAATCGAACGTTAAAACGGCGTGTTTTCTTCACTAATTCAATTTCTCAGCGCCCGACTCGTTTGTATATAATTATCATTAGGCGGCGTGATTCCGGTGGATTTTTCTTCTAATTTCTTTTTTTATGAGCTTCTTGATTCTTTATCTTTTTCTGTGCATACGGTTGGTTTTTCAAAATTTGACTTCTTGTTGTAAGGAATACCTTCCGCATTCGTCCTATTTTTAAATAGTGATCTCAAAAAAAACTTTTAAAGGCTTGAGCTTTTTTTTAAACTTTCAACATGAACCCAGCAAACAGAGCAAAATCTTTCTCACTTATTTGGAGGTCCAGCTCGATCTCAGACTTCATTTTGAACTGCTAGCGTAATCCCAGCTAACTAGAGATCAAATTCTCAAACTTGAAAGAAGCCTTTTTCAATTTTCCCTGTTGTTCCCTTTTGAACTTCTACTGTCAACCTAGCAAAAAAAAAACCCCAAATTCGAAAATTTTAATGTCTCAAATTGAGCTCTTTTTTTGATGGTATAGAGATCTCGTTCCCCAGGCAACGAAAAAAAAATCACAAAAAATGTTTCTTATAGCTGATTCACGGCTGGCTTGAGCCATCGAAAAACGGGTCCTGACACGATAATGCACGAGACAGCGCCTGGCTCATGGAGAGCGCAGACAGGTCACGCCCCCTTAGCGTCCCAAGTTAGCCGTGAATCGGCTATACAAGATCTCTACATTCTCCAAAAAAAATCTGAAACGTAGAAAATGAAACTTTTGGATTTTTTAAGGTCCATAACACCTTTCAAAGACCTTCTTGTCAGGTTTTGAGACCAGATTTGGAATCAGCGTGAAAAACTACTTCTAATGAACTCAGTTTCCATAAAAAATCCCACTGCGACCAGAAACCATTCACTGGTTAAATAAAGGTTCCAAGAAGTCCGGGAGGAGGATTTTTGAAAAATGGAATGAACGCAATTTTAATCTTAGGGATGTGGTGTTGACCAATTTTAACCAATTTTCAAAAAAAAATAGGGTATTACTAGTTTTAATATACATATGCAAAGCCGGAAAGGTGACAAAGGATCCTTTTTTGCTGCCTTTTTGCGCCATTTCATCGGCGATTATGCACCATTTTTGCAGCCTCTCCCTTTTTCCACCATTTCTTGAGTCTTCAAAACCCCAAAAAAAAAAATGGAAGGCTCGATAAAGGGACCCTTTTTGCTGCCTTTTTGCGGCTTTTTTGTGGCCTTTTTGCTGCCTTTTTGCGGCCTTTTTGCTACCTTTTCGCGGCCTTTTTTGAGCCTTTTTGCTGCCTTTTTTCTGCCTTTTTGCGGCCTTTTTGCTACCTTTTTGTGGCCTTTTTTGAGTCTCTCCCTTCAGCGGTCATCACCCACCATTCCGAGTTTACCTGAGGATTGGGAGAAGGTAATGACGGACTTTCAAAATTGTCTGCCCATTTATGACCAAAGATCATTCCCTGGTCAGGACTACACCCGAATAACCTATTCCTATGCTTCATTGAAGCTTTCGGCGTCCTCGCCACCAAAAAGGAGAAGAATCGCTAATCGGCGCGGCGTTTGTTGAATAGGAATAGGTCGGTCGGTGGCCCGCAGTACAAAGCACTCGAACAAGGCGGACAACGGAAGTGCGCTCTGCCGAACACTTCGAGCCTCGTTCTGGCTTTTGTTTTCCGCGACACGGGGGCTCGAGGATGATTGCCTCAAAATCTCATAATTACCGTGGCGGGCGGCCAGAAAGTTTCGATTTTTTCGGAGTTTCTGTGGTTTTTTGGGATACTCCCATCATAAGGAGACTCAAGATTTTCTCATTTTTCGGATTTTCTGTGATTCTGTCGTTTTTTCGGAATGGTTCATTGATAATAATACACAAGTCAAGTCATTTTTCAGATTTTTGGGAGATTACCTTCAGAAAACGACTTTTTTTCAGGATATGATGTTCGAAATAGCTCTTTGTAGTCTGTAGAAAGAATCCCATTTTTCTGGATTTTCTGAGATCTTGTGGTTTCTCGGATTATTTCATTCACAGAGAATTTTTGATTTTTGTTTGTGAAACTTTATTCTTTTGCCGTCTTGTGAAGCTTTTCATATTGTTTCAAACTGTCTACTTGAAATTTACAGGAAATCCTTGTTTTCGACAAAAAAAAAAAATGAGCCAGTTATTCGAATTTTATACTGGAAAATCGTAACTTGGAATACTGTAGGGTGTCTCATTTCTGCGCGCTTGCAGATCTTTCGGAGACCTTTTTCCTTCAATTTTAAAAAAACCAAAAAAAATCTTATAAGGAAGGAAAATTTCGGTTTGATTTTTTTGAGATTTGAGCTTATGTGACTTTTTAAACAATCTGGAAATTCTAACCAGAGGATTTCCGTAGTTTTTTTCCAGTAATATTAGAGTGTCCCCCTCCCCCTCCCCTTCCCCCAGACTATCTTTTTTTCCGAACTACTGAACGAGTAGCACTGATAGGGGGGATCACTCTCCTAGTAACAAGGGCTGAAAGCCAAAAACGAACCTTCTTTTTCTCTCGAAAATGGAAAGCTATAAGGCTCAGTCTTTTGTCTTTTGAATCTTTACCTGGTGGACCAAATTGAAATTGATGGGAAGTACTACAACAACAAAAGATCGTTTCTCAGTTAGGCTTGTAGTGAGTACCTCTTCATTGAAACCCCAAAAATAAAGCCGATTTGCATAAGAACAACAATCTTTGTGGTTATTAGACTAGAGGGGGATGGAAAGAATGGGCCTCGGTGGCCAAACAACCGTCTCAAGGGCCGTCCAGCGCCTAATTCGATTGTCCGCCAGAGTCGGCCTCAGTTCCAGTGGCAGCTTCGACGGCTCCACCCCGCCGCCAGAAGTCATGGCATTATATGGAGATCATTTTTCTATTTTTTTAAATTCCTTCATTTCATTTCCATAGGCAAAGTCGGAAGGACCCTTTGAGGGTCCGTTTTGGATCAAGGTTTCTAAAAATTGTTCCTAAACAGTTGGCAAAGGTTTCCTTTTTACTGCCTTTTTCCGTCCTTTCATCGGCCTTCGTCCATCCTTTTTGGACCCTTTTGAGAAATACAATTTTTTTAAATTCGGAATAATCTTTACAAGTTACTGTAAATGAACCAAAATGCGCTACAGTAATAAAATCGGAAAACATAGCAGAGACTTTCAGAACCTTTTCGCGGCCTCTCCCGTTTTTCACCCTTTTACGACTCTTTTTAGCGCACCAAGAACAAAAGGCTCAATAAAGGTCGTAAAAAGGGACCCTTTTAACGGCCATTTTGCAGTCACTCCCTTTTTGCACCCGTTTACCGCACTTCCGACTTTGGCAGTGATTTATTTATTTATTTATTTTCACTCAAACACAAAAATACAGATACAGAATAGAAAGTATTTGAGTGAAGCGAAACCCGATATACAAACGCCCCAACGAGCGATTTACCGGGATGGGATAGTGATCAAAGCCCTCATTTTTTTTCTGATTTTTTTCCGTATTCGTCGTGGAAAGGGCAGTACTGGTTGACTTACAACCCTTTTGGATGTTTTTAAAGGCTCAGTGAGGAGCTTGAGAAGCTCTCCTGGCACGAGTATCTCTTAAGAATTTTAAAGTGGCCCCTATAGGGATTCGGTAGGAAATAGCCCCTATAGAGACTTGAAAGTGGTCCCTATAAAGGTTTAGGGTCCGACCCCTCAGCCCCTAAAGCTTGAGTGGTCCCTACAGGAGTCGTTCAATTTTATTCAAAAAAAGTTATTTTCTCAGTTTTTCCCATGGAAATGCTTCTATTGGAGCCACTAACTATAACCTCTATAGTTGCCACTTTTTGCAAGCTTTAGTGACCCTTCTAGGGGTTGGTAAACTGATCCCTAAAAGGTACCCCGAGGGCTCTTAAGGTTGCCCCTATAGGGACCACTCTGTAGTTCCTACTGTCGGTCGCAATTTGACTCTGCTTTTCCTAAATGAAAAATAACCTAGTTGTTACTTCCGCAAGGGTCGGCGTACACAAAAGTGCTTACCGTAACCATCTTTCCTTAAAAAAAATTCTCCGCGACCGGAATTTTATAGCTTTTTCTGAACGAAACCTTCAATTAGAATATACTATATCAGAATAACGGAAAAAATTCAAATTGAGAAAAAACAAAAGTTGACAATATTTTTTTCTCAATAGAGCAACTTTACTGCAAAATGCATTTTGCGCGGGTTTTTCGAACCTTTTTTTCAATATTTCTTTTTACTTTTTTCCGAAAAAGTAGGAAATTCTGAACAGTTTCCAGGTTTTTATAGGCCAAACTTCGTCTTCCACTTCATCTAGTCTCTAAAAATCAATATGATCTAGATATCAAGCCTGTTAAAGGCGGTCGGTCGTATTACGGTAGTTTAGAAAAGTTTTCATTTGTTATAAAATAGAAATTGCTGAATTTTTTATGCCGTAATACATTTTGTTGAATCGAGAGATAGGGTTTGAAGAAATAAGGAAAAAATAAAAATATTTCAAAAATTTCCTTGCTCAAAAAGACCACCAAAGGTAGGTCATTTTACTTTGCGATCCGGATTTTCTTGAAAATTGACCAGGATACATTTTGATGTACCAGATAAAGATTCAGAAAGTCTCAATCTGCAAAACTTCCTAATTTTCGGAAAATTACGGCTCATAGTCCAAAAATAGCCTATTTCGACTGATTTTCAGGGTTTTCTTTGACTTTGAGCTGTCCAACTAGGAATTTTTCGAGGTTGGAACTCTTCATACAGTACCGCTCAAAAGTCTATTAAGTTTTGGTTTTTTGAGGATATCTCACCGAGTACTTATCCGATTTATATATAACTTTCAGGAATAATGTAAAAATATACTTTTGAAAACATATACGGTATACAAATACATGTCCGCAATCACTGTGACGCGTTTTAGGAATTTTTTTGAATTCAAATTTTTTGTTTTTTTATGCTTTTATTTTTTTATTTATTTTTTTATTAAATTTTTAAAAAAAGTAATAATGTTGCCATATGTTTTTTTCATGTTTTTCAGACATGGGAAGAACCTCTGGAAAAAAAGGATTTGACTGATAACAGCAAAAGAGCCATCGTTGTGGGTCGTCAAAATGGACTGACCATGATGACGTTGGCAGGAATGTTCGGCGTGACAGAGGCGTGCATTTCTCAGTTCCTAAAGCGTCAGAAAGCTCAAGATGGCTCTACTAACAGCCAACGCACTGGAAGACCACGTGTCACTGATCGTAATGACGATAGAAACATTTTGAAGACGTCTAGAACCAATCCAAGACTCACCGCAACTGCGATCAGACGGGAAGTTTACTTGAATTCGCCATCTCCGCCATCCGTCTGGTCCGTGAAACGACGTCTGAATGTTGCTGGAGTCATGGGAAGACGTCCAGTGAAAAAACCGCTGATTTCTGAAAAGAATCGAGCCGGCAGGGTGACGTGGGCGAAAGAGCATCTCAACTGGACCCGTCAAGACTGGAACAAGATTCTGTGGTCCGACGAAACGGTCTTCCACCATGTTTTACAGTAAGTAATTGGTATTTCGGATGATATCTGGACCCAATTGATCTACGAACCCACTGAATTCCGTCACTCCCGAAGAGGAGGAACTTGCTTTCGTCGGACCACAGAATCTTGTTCCAGTCTTGACGGGTCCAGTTGAGATGCTCCTTCGCCCACTTCACCCTGGCGGCTCGATTCTTTTCAGAAATCAGCGGTTTCTTCACTGGACGTCTTCCCATGATTCCAGCAGCATTCAGACGTCGTTTCACGGTCGAGACGGATGGCGGAGATGGCGAATTCAAGAAAAACTTCCCGTCTGATCGCAGGGGCGGTGAGTCTTGGATTGGTTCTAGACGTCTTCAAAATGTTCCTATCGTCATTACGATCAGTGACACGTGGTCTTTCCAGTGCGTTGGCTGTTAGTAGAGCCATCTTGAGCTTTCTGACGCTTCAGGAACTGAGAAATGCAAGCCTCTGTCACGCCGAACATTCCTGCCAACGTCATCATGGTCAGTCCATTTTTGACGACCCACAACGATGGCTCTTTTGTCGTTATCAGTCAAATCCTTTTTTCCGAAGGTTCTTCCCATGTCTGAAAAACATGAAAAAAAATCATATGGCAACATTATTACTTTCAAGAAATTTAATAAAAATAAATAAAAATAAAAGCATTAAAAACAAAAAAAATTGAATTCAATAAAAAATTCCTAAAACGCGTCACAGTGATTGCGGACATGTCTTTGTATACCGTATATGTTTTAAAGTATATTTTACATTATTCCTGAAAGTTATATATAAATCGGATAAGTACTCGCTGAGATATCCCCAAAAAACCAAAACTTAATAGACTTTTGAGCGGTACTGTATATTCATCTGGTACATCAAGAAGTGTTCTGACAAAGTTTCAGAAAAATCCCAAGCCCAAAGTAAACTTCTTAGGACTGTGAGCCCGAGTTCTCTTAATTAACCCCAAGGACTTGATAATTAAAATCAGATATCTCTCGAAATTAAACGAGAGCAAAAAGCAGGGGTTGGAGAGCCGGCTTCATCGATCGAAACTCTCACCTCATCTTGCCGCCCTTTTTACGCCCATTCGCATAATTCAACACCTTCCTCCTCCCTTCCTGCCCAGTTTCTGATATCTCTTTTGGAGTTTTTCACAGCTCTTTCTATACTTTTTCGTAGGACTTCGTTTTTAGAAGAAGCTCAGAAGGCTTGGATCATCTCCTAGATTAGATTTTCAGATTGAAAAATTTTTTTAAGATTGAAAAGATGAGAACCTAGTGGACACCGGTCAGAAAAAAATTATTTTCGTTGGAAATTTTGGAATTTCTTTTAATAAATTGTGTTCTCTATTGAAAGTAGCTGGCGTAAAATCAATTTCGAAACATTTCTCCGAAAAATCGGCACAGAACTATTTGCTCGGGGCCTCGGTAACGCGAAACGGACGTGCTCCGGACGTTTCTGGGCGATTCTAGGGATCCCTTAAGAGTTCTGAGGCTACTAGAGGGGTCACTAGAAATGCCCCGACACGTCCGATTCGCGTCCCGTTCGCGTTACCAAGGTCCGAGTTATATCATTATTTGTCCATGGAGCGCACATTCCCATGAATGAGACTTTTTCAGAAGATTTTCTTACAATTTACTCATAAATTGAATGTAACTTAAACAAATTATCTTGTTTGGAGCTTTTTTTCTTATAAGAAGTTAAGATTTTTTTCAGTGCTAGATTTTTTTCGGCCGCATGTGGAATGGCTCAACGCACTGCGATTTTAGTTATGACTTTGAATTTCGTAATTCCGCAAAAAGTCGCTTCGTGGTCGGGCGCAAAATTTTTACTCTTTAGTCAGAAAAAGGTGTTTCAGTCATTTTTCTATATCAAATTTTTTTACTTTAAAAAAATGAAAAAAATAAAAAAATAAAAAAATTTTTTTCACAAAAATTCGCTATAAATCGAGCCATTCCCCATGCGAACAAAATTTTTCAACTTTTTTTCATTTTTTTGTATATTTTTTTGTTCCTCTCATTTTTCTACGATATATATATATATTTTTTTCCTATCTGGGAAAATGTTTAGTGGCCCCTATAGAGGCTCGCCAAGGACTACTTGGAGAGGACGCTAAAGTGGCCCCTAAACCCGCCTCTATAGTGGCCACTATTTTCCGTTTTAGTGACCACTTCAGTAGTTTTTCATCCAGTATTCTTTCCAGTAACTCTGATAATTTTAAAACAAACAGATTGGACCAGTTATGTTGATCCATTGACTCCTAAAGTGCCCCTAAAGTTTTCAGTGGTCTAGTAGTAGCATTCAGATCTCTATATTGGCCATTAATTTTTAACCCCTTAAGTGGCCACTAATTCGACTACTAAAGTGGCCACTGAAACGTCAAAACCCTACAGTGACCACTAAAAAAATTTCCTGAATTTTCGGCTCGAAACCCTCCCAATGGTGCCGAAATGAGAAGGAGATTAACTTTTCCAGTGTAAACAGCCGGAAAATTTCGACGCATTTTCCTATTTATTTTCGTCTCTCACTTACGCGATTCAACTCGAAACTTTGAAGTTGCAGCCAGGCAGAAAAAAAGACACATATTTGATAGAATATTCGTCCGAGGGCCGCGCATAACGCAATATTACTATTTCGTTATGAATGGACACATCGCCAAAAATGCGCGCTCAAAACATCGAGCTTCTCGTTGAGTTTTCGAGCTTTTTTTTGGGTGAGGTAGCATTTTTATTCTCGTTTTGAATTTTTCATATCTTCTTCAAATCACAGTATGACCTGTCTGCGTCTCTTTTCTCTCCTCACTCAAAAAAGAAAGTGATAAGTATATATAGCTGATTCACGGCTAGCTGTCTACGCTCTCCACGAGCCAGGCACTATCTCGTTCCTTGTCGTGTCAGGACCCTTTTTTCGATGGCTCAAGCCAGTCGTGAATCAGCTGTAATTATCGTTAAATTTTGTTGAAAACACAGAATTAGGACACCTCGAAAGCAAAAAATATAATTCCTTCGAATTTCGCGAATTGAAACAAAAGTTCTGGAAACAGGAACGTTACAGACAAAAGCATCAACTTTATTCCATAAACAAAAATTTTTTTGAAAAAGAAACTAATGAAAATTAACGTTAATTCTCTTGAACGTTCAACTCTTTTTACATCTTTTTTTAGCTTCTAAAACTTTTTCCGGTCATCAAAAATGTTTAAAAAAATTCTGAAAGTATTTTTAAACTGCGCGTGGAGTGCATGCACAATAAACATCATATCTGACGGGCTGACGCAGCTCTGGAAACGCCGTGTAACAAAAAACGTAAATTCAAGGAAATAATATTAATATTGGCGTAAAATGCTATGCTTTCTGTTGCGCGCACCGTTTGCGGCATTTCACATACCGTACTCGAAATAGTAACTTTTTTATGAGAAGATGCTCGGAAGATAACTTCCACGCCTCCCAGCAGCCTGCCAGAAACCTGCTGGAAGGCTCTTTGCAGTTTACCCGAAATTTTCTTTTTTGCCGATTTTCGATTTTCATGGATTTTTTTGTTTTGGTTCAAAATTTTTTCAATAGGAAGGCTTATAGGAATGAATTTTGAGAAGTTCGAAAATTCGGAAGGAAAAAGGAGCTGAAAGTTTCATTTTTATTGAGGACACTCACCATGACTTTTTTTCTTTTTTTACCATTTTTTTATTCCCTTAAAAGGACCCTATTGTTTAAAAAGTCATGAAAAAAACGCTATGAACTTTTTTTAAATGGCCTTTTTATGCACTTTTTATGCTTGTCCTTATAGAGGGACTTTCAAAAAAATTTTTTTAAAAATTTTTCGAGTCCCATTTTTTTCTTGTAGTTATGATGATGCGGAAAATTCCAAGCTTGGAAATTTCCATTTTCGGCCCTCGAAACTCGAAGTGGACATAAAACGCCTCGGGGGCTAATGAGCCATTCGGAAATGGCAATAAATGACGCCAGGAATCCTCTTTTAGCCGTGCTTTTTTCCAAGTTTTCGGAAAAACTCGTTTTTTGGGTTTTGATTTTTTTTTTCGCGATTTTTTGTCACTCAATTTTCAATCTCTCGAAAATTCGGGTTTTTTTTTCCATGTTGAAAAAATGAAATGAGCTACTTCAAACCTCTGTTTTTCTGAAAGTTTAAAAAAATAATAGAAAATGAATTACTGTCAACAAACTTGGGCCCCCAATTTTTTTACTCCATTTTTTTAATTTTTCATCTCATTACTCGGCTTCTTTTTATCCTCCACGAATATATTTTCATGAATCTTAATTTTTTTCCCTCCGTTTTTTTTATACGGTTTCGGCTTCACTCTACTACTTTCTGGGGCATTTTTTGCATGTTAAAAATCAAACTTTCGAATTTTTTGTGCTGAATTTGCTTTTTTTGATCTGCGGTCATTTTTTAGGGCTACTCAGCAACTCCAGAGTGGTCCCTATAGGAGCCCTTGGAGAGTCCCCTCAAAGGATCACTTTACCAAACCCGATAGGGGCCGCTATAGCTTGCAATAGTGGTCCCTTTAGGGGTTTCAGTTAGTGGCTCCTAGTCGATAATTTTATGACTTTAAACGAAGAAGTATTTTCATGCGAAAAACTAAAAAAATAACCTTTTTTGATCAATCTGAACGACCCTTTTAGGGTTCACTTGAGCTTTAGATGCTAAGGGATCAGACCTTGAAACCCCTATAGGGGCCACTTTATTTTTTTACCCCTATAGAGACCACTTTTCCGGTCCCTATATGGGATTTTTCCTTTCTAACTCCTATAGGGACCACTCAAACGGAAGCTATTTTTCGACTTGACTTCACATTTTCATTTGAATTTTTCTTTTTCGAGTATATATTTTTTGCGATTTTTTCACACTATTTAAAGTTTGCTCGGATTTTTCTTCTTGTTTTAATTTTCGAAATTTTCTTCATATTCTTCAATCTTAAAAATATTTCATTTGCAGGTGACTCCGAGAAAACTTCTCTTTCCAATGGAAGAACGAGGCTGAATTTCAAGAGAGGCTGAAAAAATGGCGCCGCGAGCCGAGGATGAAGATCTGGTGATTGAGCCGGCGGACGATGAAGGACTGCTTTTCGGAAATTCCTCGTGAGTTTGGTTTTGTAAACGTTTTTTTCTGTTTCAAATTTGATATTTAATAAGTTTCCACTTTATGAAGTTAGTAGGTAGGGCAAAAGAAAAAAACAATTTTTTTCTCAAAGAAAACAAAATTGAGGCGAATAGAGTATTCGGTTATAAAATAGTTTTCATACTGAAAAAAATTAAATCTAACAAAGTTTTTCTAGTATTTTAGCTTATTGACATGCTGGAAAAAAACCGTTTTTTTGCAATTTTTCAAAATGATCGAAGTTTTTTTGAGCCATCAAAATGTGATTTGAAAATGTCGTAAAATGAAATATTTGTGGTGGAAAAAAATTCATATCTTCGGTTTTTTTCAAGAAAATTTAAAATTAAATCTATTTTTATTTGACATGAAATTGAAAAAAATTTATGGAGAAAAATATTTTTTTAAAATTAAGTTTGGTGGAAAAAAATAGATGAAATTTAAAAAAAGGGGGTTTTTTTCTAAAGTTTTCTGAACATTTTGAAAAAAAATCAGGCTTTTAAAATGTTCATAATGTAGATAAATATGTACTTTGAACTCCTTTGAAATCCAAAAAAATTTTTCAAAATTTGAAAGGTTGAAAAAGTTTTTTTGTTCACTTTGAAGCTTCCTGTTCACGGAATCGTTATGAAATTGAACATTTTTCAATATTTTAAGCATTTTTTTGAAATAATTTTTGAATGACGGAAAGGGTCGAAAAATGCTCCAAAAATTTTCCTTTTTTGCTACCTTTTTGCGCCATTTCATCGGCCTTTATGCACCATTTTTGCTGCCTCCCCCTTTTTCCACCATTTCTTGAGTTTTTAAAATCCCAGAAAAATAAAAGGCTCGAAAAAGGGACCCTCTTTGCTGCCTTTTTGCTACCTTTTTTCAGCTTTTTTTCAGCCTGTATCTCTTAGCGGCCATTATCCATCATTCCGACTTTGCTTGAGAGGAAACCTGTAGATCCTGAGCTACAAAACTTCCAATTTTTTTCTAGGAAATCAGACAATTTTATTGGAAAACTTTTTCAAAATTCATAAGTTTCCTGTACTCTTCCGATTATTTGCATAGCCGTCCCTTGTAGGAAAATGGAGAAATGCATAAAATAGGCGTATTTTGGAGGACCAGCCCCTGTTCCAGTGACCCTTGTCCATCTCAAATTACGTTTATTTCGCCATCAGAATATATATTCGGACGCTTGTCTCGTTTTGTATTGATCTTTTGGGCTTTCTTGAGTCTTTTTTTGTACTTTTTTTAAAGCTCCTTTCAACAAATGTCACTTGAGTTCCCAGGATGCTTTAGAAAGATTTTTTTCTAACTTTTTTTAAAAGCCCTTTTTTTATTCATCATATATTCATTTAGTTTTTTTACTTTTTTTATGAAGCTTTTTGAAACAGTATTATTAGTAATTTCAGTTTTGAAAAAAATTTTTTGAAAAAAAATTTTTTTCCTATTCCGGAAGATTATTAGAAAAAAATTTCTGTTGATTCCAAAAAAAAATTACTTTTTTTGAGGTTCAGTTTATCGAAAATTATCCTGAGGTCTGAAAAATATACTCAGAATATCAGAGAATTTTTTTAAATTACTAGTCAGTTTATTTTTATTTTTATTTTTTTCCGCACAGAACTTGACAAAAAAAAATTTTTTTGGTGTGAAAGTGGAGCCTCAATTTTTTTAAATTTTTCTGAAAAACCACTATACGAAAAAAATACAAAAACATTATTCCAACAATCATTTCTATAAAAAAACTTGTCGAAAATCCTGACAAAAATGTCAAAACTGAGCCGCGGCTGAGTTTTCACAGCTCATTATGTTTTCTTAATGAAAAACTGAGCCGCTGCTAAATTTTCACGGCTAATTTTCTCCTCCGACTTCCTGTCCTTCGCAATGCGATAACGTCTTGGCGTCACTTAATGGTGTCAAAAAAAGGATGATGAGAGAAGAAGAGAGCGCCAGAGAAACAGACGGTGACCGTATCTGACTGACAAACCGTCCCATGACGCGTCGGATAATTGACACTTTCCGTGGTTTGGCCCAATATTGAGAGCGTCGTTTTGCCATCCCCTGTCTACGCTCTAGAGTGGGTTATTACCTCGGGTTTCGGCAGATTATCCGGTTTCATTGCGGGTCTTGGAAGCTGAAGCTCATTTTTGAGGAAAAGAGGGTCAGGAACTTCACAAAAAGTTCGAGCTGGTCCAGCTCTTTTCATAATATGGTGTTCTGGTCCAGCTCTTCCTAGGGCTTCAAGATTTTTCCCGCCCAAGCAATTATCAAGGTTTTTGACCTGGTCCAGCTCCAAAATTTTAGCAGCTAAGGAAATATGGGAAAAGCTCTTGAACCGATCGACCTGGTCCAGCTCCATCGAAACTTTCAAATCGAAACTTTTCAAGCCGTCCGACCTGGTCATTTTTGGGGAACGGTCACATGCAAACTTTGACCTCGACCAGCTCCAAAAATAGTCAAGGGACTTTGAGATCTTTTGAGGACTGATATAAGGGTCAGTATCACCATCCTACACTGAATATGACCTCGTCCAGCTCTAAAAATAAAGTGAGGCTTCAAGATCTTATGCACAGAATTTGATCTCGACCAGCTCCAAATAAGTGTGAAGCTTCAGGATCTTTAAAATTACCGACACAAGACTCGAAATCACTTTTCTACACTGAATATAACCTCATCCAGCTCCAACAAAGCGTGAGCCTTCACAATCTTCAAAAATACTGATGCCGCCATGTCTTCCTTACACAAGGTTTTACCTCGTCGAGCTCCAAAAAATTGTGAAACTTCAAGATCTCCTACGCAGAATTTGACCTCGTCCAGCTCCATATAAGTCAAGCTTCGATGATAAAATCACCGGAATTTGATCTCGATCCTCTCCAAAAAGGCATGAGCCTTCACGATCTTCAAGAATGACTGCCCTACCCAAAATTTGACTTAGTTCAGCTCCAAAAATGAAGTGAGACTTTAAGATCATCTACACAGAGTTCGACCTCGTCCAGCTTCATAAACAGTCCAGACCTCATGGTCTTCAAAAATACCGATACCATGACTGTCCTACCCAAAATTTGACCTCGTCCAGCTCCAAAAACATGACCCAACGTTGCAAGAAGAGGCAAATGGACCTCCTGCTGATGTCTGCCGTTCTGTCGACTCGAGTCCCCGAGTCGAGTCGAGTGACCTCTGCCTGTCACTTATTCGGATCTCCTCCTCGTTTCCTGCACTCTTCTCTCTCGAAGTCTTTTTGCTTTTTTCTCGCACCCCCCCTCTCCTCCCCCCGCCGATCCTGTCCTCCTCCATCATTCACTGCGACACGGAAAATCGACGTCGGCGTCGGTTCCAGTTATTTATGACCCTCATTGTTAATGTCGTCGCCGTTTTTTTTTACTTGTCTCATAATAAATTGCCTTTCACGCCTCCTTGTTTATTATTTTTTTTTGAGGCCGATTCAAACTTTGATCTATACTTTATAGGCTTCTTGTTAGAATTGAAAGCTGATTTTCTAAAAATCTAGATCCATGAGGCTCCACAGAAATGCTCCTTTTTTGCTGCCTTTTTGCGCCATTTCATCAGCAATTATGCACCATTTTTGCAGCCTCTCCCTTATTCCACCATTTCTCGACCCTTTGAAATCCCAGAAAAATGAAAGCCTCGATAAAGGGACCTTCTTTGATGCCTTTTTGCGGCCTTTTTTCAGCCTTTTTGCTGCCTTTTTCGAGCCTCTTTGAGCCGGCCATTATTCATCATTCCGACTATGTCCGAATCGTAAGCTTTTGGAGCCCTTTCTTGTCCTAAAAATTAATTTTCTCATTCTTTTTTATAAATGGGTCTTGTACCTTGAAGATAACAATATATGTTATTTAAAAAGTAGAAATTTCAACGATTTTTTTAATAAAAATAACATATCATTTGTTGGAAATGACGTTTCCGTTGTTATAGGTATCTTGTTAGAAGAATTTCAGTTTTTTTAAAAAAAATATTTTTTTATAGATCGTGAAGTTTTTTTGAAGATTTTTTTGAACGTTTTTCATTTTTTTATCGACCTATAGTAAGTTTAGCATGAAGTTATTACTGTATATTTTATTTTTTTGATCCAATTTTTGATCTCTACTCTGTAGGTTCCTTGTAAGAATGAGAAGCTCGTTGAAATGATTTTTTTACAATTTTTTTCTAGATTTTTTTAAAAATACTTTTTTTCGTTAATGACGTATATTTTTTTGAGCATCATTTTTTTCATAACGTCACTTTTTTTCTCGTTCTAATGGATTGGTCTAAACTTTTCACGTCTCTTTCTTAACATTTATTTTCGGAATTGGGTCTTTTAGGTTGAAAATATCTTTTGTAAAGAAATTAAAAAAGGGGAAAATTTAGAAGAAGAAGGTCAAAATGTTATGATTTTTTTCGCACCTTTGTGCTTTTTTTCGCGCCAATTTATGGTTTAGCACCTTTTTTTGACCTTCTATGTTGTTCTGAAAGGCTTTTTTTTTTTCTTTTTTTCAATAATGGTCTTCGATTTAATTAGAGCTATTGTTGTACAAAGAAGTTTTCTGTAGCTTGGAAGGTCCTTTATTTTTGAAACTCGAAACGATTCTTCTTCTTTTTTTTGTGATATTTGGACTACAAGAAAGTTACTGGTTCATTCTCTTTTATTCTCGCCGTCTCACAGATTTTTTTTTTCAATATTTCAAGCTTCATAATCTCCTTCACCAGGTTGATCTACAGTCCTTTTCGTACATTACTTTCCCTTTCAAAGTCCTTTTTTCATTACCCTTTGGTCCAATGCATTATTTTGAATAACTCTTTTTGAATAATCTTTTTTCGAAAAATCTTGCTGAAAAAATTTCTTGGAGGTCTCAGAACGCAAATTTTGCTCTATTTACTCTTTTGTACCGAGTATTAGGGCTGAAACTTTCAGTAGGGGACGTTTTCAAGAATTCGACTGAACTTTCGATGAAACTTGGCTGAAGTGTATTTTAGGATCTCCTGATATCAGAACGAGATCTCCTAATAGATCTGTTTTTCAAGTTATAAAGCTTCAAAAATCTTGAAATAGTACCGCCTTTCTATAATATTAGGGGGTTATGTATCTTTTGATTTTTTTACCCCCCTTTTTTTCTAGCAATCAATTCTTATTTTTCACTTCAAGCTTCAAAGTCTACAAAGTACGCAAATTATGACAAAAAAGCGCTATTTCAAACCTTTTGAATCGTCTCAACTCGAAAAAGAAAAACATTTTTTTCAATCAGATAAAAAAATTAATTTTTCAGCGATTTTTTTCATCAAAGGTTCAAGCAGGGTCTGAAAAAAACGTTCCCTAGCCAGAAAATGTTATAAATAGCCCCTTTTATCCGCTAAAAAAAGTACAAATCTTTATCCGTTTGCTTATCTATCATGTCGGCTATCCGCCCCGATACTGTTTGTCTTTTTTGTTCACCGACAGATACAGCGGTTTTTCTTTGAGAGTTATTGATCTTTTCAAAACATCTTTTTTGATAACTTATCTATTCAAAAATTCTTGAGGACATTCTATCGGATCATCTCAGAATTTTAATGAAGCAGGGTAATTTTTTTCCCCAACTTTTTTCTTCCAAAGGACGGTTAAAAATTTTTTTCGACAGAGCAAACGTTTTCAAGAAGAAGTTAGGTCATTTATTATTTTCTTTCCTTTAACTTCTTTACAGTTTTTCATAGGTTTTTCCTTAGCTATTAGTATTGTTTCCCTCTGAAATTTGGTTATAGAGTGCCTTTTTTTCAAAAATAATTTATAATCCGTAAAATCAAGGCTAATATTATTCATCCAAATACAGTGCATAGACCAAAAGAACGATCCATGTGAACTTCTCAAATTAAATTGAGTATTAAAGCTCGAAATTTTTAGTTACAGGTGCAATTTTTTCGCTTTTTCTTTTTCTGACAAGTTAGTTCAACTTTCTGAAAATTTCCTTGATGTACCAGAAAAAAAGATTCTGAAGGTCTCAGCTTGCACAAATACCTAGTTTTCGAGAACTAGGAGCCTAAAGTCCTCTAATGGCCATTTTTATCCCTCTCGGTTGAACTTTTGCTGAAACTTTGCTGAAGTGTACTTTAGGACCCACTGATTCCAGAACCAAAATAAAATATCGCAATAGATCTCGTTTTCGAGTTAGGACTCTTCAAAAGCCAGAACTAGCCCTTTTTGGCGTATTTTTCACACTTTGAAGCTCCATAACTCGGAAACAAGATCTATTGCGAGAAATTTTGTTTCTGTTCTGGAATCAGGGGATCTTAAAGTACCCTTTGACCAAAGTTTCAGCAAAAGTTCAACTGGGGGGCAGTTAAAAAAACGTTCCCTGGTTAACAGATTTTTTTGAGATTTTTTTAACTTGACTTTTCAACCAATTTTGATGGTTTTCTTTGACTTTGAGGCGTTTTTCTTAGGTATTTATATTTTTTAAATATTTTGAGTTAGAATGATAGAATCTAAATTTGAGTAGGATCTAGTGATTTTTAAAAACGATGTGTTCGATTCGAACCATGAGGTGAGCATAATCCGTTCTTCAAAAATTAATAATTTGTGTAGGTTGACATTTTCGATGTTCCCATCCTAATAAGAACATTTTTTCTTTTCAAAAAGAGTACAATCATCAGCAAAACCCATCCAAATACGGACCAGAGACCAGATCCATGTGGGTACACCTGTGCTTGGAGGCAGTTGGCTGCCCCCCTCTCGGCCACCCCGTTCCCCCGAGTCTCAACACACGAGAAGCTGGCCATCGTCCCGTTCTCTCGACCCAATCCGTCTTCATCATTTGCCTATTTACTCGCGTTTCGATTTATTGCCCACGAGGAACCGCTTCTTCAACATAATCTGACTCACTTGCTCGAGTTGCCAACTTTTTTTGCAGTTTTTTTAAGAGATCACTTAAGGGATAAGGGAGCTTTTTCGGTAATAAAAAATAGAATTTTAAAGCTCTGACTCTGAAAAAAGGTTTTTTTTTGAAAATGTTAGAGTCTTCTTATTTTTGGCTTAACTCAAAAATTAGATTTTTGTTAATTATTTTGTACCGCCAGCGTCTCGCGTTTACTCGGAAGTTATTCTTAGTCTTTCTAAAACTTTGCGCGTCTTTTTTGATAATTTCCGCAAACACACTACAACCACATTGCACTCGCGGATTACCGTAACCGATTTTTTTAAACCTTGACTATTGAGGAAGTTTGGTATAAAAAAATTCGAAATCATTATTTTTTTCTTTGATATGAAATGATAAAGGAATTTTTCTGGATTAAATAAGATCTTTTTCTTGTTAAAAAGCTTTTGGCTGTTCAAAAGACTTTTTTCGAAAGTTTGCCAAGAAAAAAAAAATTTCAAAAAAAAACCCTCAAAAACTGAAGATACCTTTTTTTTCTCTTCATTTTCCCATCCTCTTCAAAAATCCATCGATTAGAGCACACTTGATCGATCGGATTAGGCCGTAGAATAGGTTTTGGCATTTGTAAATGGTCCCACCCCACATACATACAGGCTCCCCACACACTCGAGGCTTTCCGGGGGGTCAAGAGCTCATAATCTCGTCGTGCCGCCATATGTCTTTTTTAAAAGGAATATTTCCCGTTTTTCTTGACTTTTCGGGGATTTTCTGTTGGTGGGAGCTGTGAAGATGATATAAATAGTTAATTTTCTGAAAAATTATCACTAGAGTCGTCATTTTGAACGTTATAAAACTTTTTTCTTTCTTGAGATTTTCGAATTTAGTGACCACAGACGTGACATTTAAACTCCTAGAAAACCTTTTGTAAACGATTTTTGAACTAAATTTTGGATCAAAATTGAAAATTTCCAAGTTAAAATTACGGTTTTCCTGTTCTTTTTCATTTTAGACGGTCATTTTTCGAGTAAAAAAGCACATCTTTTCATATTTTACCGCTTTAGTCGCACGTGGAATGGTTGAAAGTGCACCTAATCTTTCTGATGCCTTCTAGCGAAAGTCGTTTTGAGTCGGACGGTTTTTTTAAAATCGAACGGTATTTCAGCGAGCTCTGACGCGACTACGGACTTTCAAGCTCTTTTTTTATAATTCTAAAAAAATTTTGAAAAAAAGTTTGTGGCCAGCAATTCAGTGCTATAGTTCGCTAGAGCGCACTTTCAAGGCTCATATTTTATTCTGAATTTTAAAAATTGTAAATTCAAAAAAAAAATTTAAAAAGCTAAAATTATAACGCTCTTGAGCATTTCTGCTCTATTAGACAAGCCGTATCTGGAAGTGCAAGATTTCATTTGAATGCATCCGACTCAAAACGACTTGCGCGAAAAGGCGTTAAAAAATACTAGAGTGAGCCATTCCACGTGCGACTCCAACGTTAAAATTCAAAATAAGTTTGAAAAGTGCTGGACAATCGCTAGGAATCACTTAAGAGGTTCCTAAAGGACTACTTGAAGAGGACACTAAACTGGCCGCTAAAATTAACTTTATTGAAGCCGCTTATTTGCGTCTTAGGGGCCAATATAGTATTTTTTAGTAGTACCACTTAGACTTTTGAAAAGGTCACTGAAGGGGTCACTGATTCGACCGATATACTTAGGAACTACAGAGTGGTCCTAATAGAGGCAATCTTGGAGACCACTTTACCAACCCCTATAGGGGCCTGAAGAAGTGGTGCCTTTAGGATTTTCAGTTAGTGGTCCCTAGAGGGGACATGCTAGTCGTTAATTGTTATGAGCTCTGAGCGAAGCGATTTCATGGGTAAAACTGAATGAATAACTTTTGAATGAAATTGAAAGACTCCTATAGGGTCCACTTGAGCTTTAAGGGGCTCAGGGGTCAGATTTTAAACCCCTACAGGAGCCACTTTAATTGTACCCCTATAGGGTCCACTTGAAGTTTAGAGGCTGAGAAGTCAGACCCTAAACCCCTATAAGGACCACTTTTTCGGCCTCTATAGGGTTGTTTTCCTTCCTAATCCCTAAAGTGGTTACTAAAAATTTTCAAGTGAAGCTGAGAAATCGAATTATTTCATTTGGATGGCTTTTCAAAGCTCCCAGCCTGACCAGGAACTCCATAAATCATATTATTCAAACAAGACGAAAATCGGGAGAATCCATCAAATTCGAACGAAAAGGCGGCGAATTAATTAGGCGCCAGAGACGATAATGGGCTGAGGTTGGAGGTCTCCTCTGCTGGATCGAGATAGGAGTCTGCCTTGGAGCGGCCGAGGCCCAATGGATGGCCTGTCAGAATTTGCTCGAGGCCTGCCCATTGAGTAATCTTCGCGCCGGGGCGTTAAACGCACTCGCGACAAGCTTCCAGAATTTATGGGCTTCTTCTCTCTTTCTCTCCATTCGTCCTTCTTCAGACGGACTCCCGGTGTCTTTTGCTTTGGAACACCGCCTTTTTATAACATTTTTGGGAGTTATAAAGCTTTTGATCTCTTGATTCTGAGAGCCATATGTAGAAATGTTCACGTAGAGTAAATTAGAAGACGTGAATGAAGTTCCAAAAGTGAATCTTGGATTTGAGTTGATGAACATGACTTCCGAATCTCTCTTTATTACTGCTTTTTATTTTTTCCGACCTTTGGTTGGAGTAGAACAATTTTTTCAATAGCTCCATAAGTTTCTAGAATTTATAATCTCTTTCTTGCCCATTCTTCCTTCTTCGGACGGACTCCCGGTGTCTTTTGCTTTGGAACACCGCCATTTTTTAATATTTTTGGGAGTTATGAAGCTTTTGGTCTCTTGGTTCTTAGGGCCATTTGAAGAGAAGTTCACCTACCCTAAATTAGAAGAAGTAAACGTCCTTTCAAAAGTAAATCTTGGGTATGAATTCACTCACATGACTTCCGAACCTCTATTTGTTAATGCTTTATATTTTTTCCGACCTTTGGTTGGAGTAGAATATTCTCTCAATTTTTTCAATAGCTCCATAAGTTTCTAGAATTTATAACCTCTTTCTCTCCATTCTTCCTTCTTCGGACAGACTCCCGGTGTCTTTTGCTTTGGAACACCGCCTTTTTATAATATTTTTGGGAGTTTTGAAGCTTTTGGACTATGGGCCGTATGCATGATCGTTTACTCAGCGTAAATTCGAAAGCGTAAATGAACTTCAAAAAGTATAACTTTATGTCATACTCTTATAAGACACTTACAGCGAATTTTTTTTATTTCTGACATTCCTAAAAATTTCAAGTCACCGGATTTGAGTTCATTTACGGTCCGTAAAAGTTCATGCCAACGGCTTCTGGTTTTTAACTGAGGTACATGACTTCTGAATGAATTTTTACTTCTGCTTGAAAATTTTTTTCGAACCTAGGCTGGGGTAAAAAATGTTTTCACGTTGTTGATTGTCTTCAGAATTTATGTTCTTCGTCTTTTTCTCTTTTTTCCTTTTTTGGCTCCTGCTGTATTTTTTTCAACAACACTGCCTTTAATTTTTGAGAGTTGGACAGCTTTATATCTCACAGTTCAGGCACATCCAAAATATTCAGAATTACTAATTTCAACTTTTTTCGATCCTTGTTTGGTAACAAAAACCGGACGCACTCTGGACGTTTTCGAGCAATCCTAGGGATCACTTAAGAGTTCTGAGGCTACTATAGTGGTCACTAGAAATGCCCCGATACGTCCGATTCGCGTTACCATGGTCCGAACGGTTGCAGCAGGTAGCTAAAATTTTTGGCTCAAACTCTGACCCCCACCCCCCATCCCCCGCTGAGCAATCAAAAATTGAAATTCTTCGACCTATTTTTTTATTGGAGGTATTGTGAACTGTGAAAAAACGTATTAATGATCGGAATTTGTGCGATTTCGAGGAAAAAATCGATATTTTTTTTAAATCTTGAACAGTCGATTTCTGTTTCAAATCATCCTGAACCGATGATTTGAAACAGAAATTTATTTATTTAAAAAAATGTTGCTAGGACATTGGGAAAATGTTTCTCAATTATATGGTCACTATACGATTCAAAATGAGTACTAGACGATGGTCATTACGGACGAAGCTTAACTTGCCGCCGAGAAGAGTTGAGAATAATTAAAAAGAGGCCGACGAGGCGATTTTATGTGACAGACATGTCCGTGTGTGTGTTGAAATTGCGTGTTGGCAACCCAATTTTCTGGTCTCTTTTGTTGGAACATTGGAAAGTACTTGAGTTGTCTGTTTGAGCTGAAGAATGTGTGCTCCAAGGATAATTTTTAATTTTTTTTCTCTCTTGTTTTTTGTCCGAAATTTAGAGCTCTGAAGTTCAATAAAAGTAGTTTTTTTCAAATTTTTGCACCTTCTGAGGAATTTCTCAGGGGTCCCTATAGGCGTTTGTTGTTTTAAAGACCCCTATAGGGGCAAAATAGGGCCCTTTATAAGGGTGAAACTCTTAGGGGTCCCTATAGGGTAATAGGGGCAGACTCCTAAGCTCCTAAAGCTTAAGGGTCCCTATAGGGTTTCACTTTTTTTTTCCTTCCCTCAGCTCCTTTTTTTTCAATTTTTTTTTGAAATATATTCGAATTTTTGACTTTTTGACTTTTTTGTTTGATCTACCTTCGGAGGACTTGAACTAGAAACCACAAAAAAAATTTTTTTTTTTTAGGGTTTTTTTCGTACTCTGTATTCTTTGAATCTCGGCCATATTATCTTTTAATAAATTTTCTAGTTTTCGATAAAAATAGTTATGAAGTTCGAAGAAAATCGTTAGAAACCACAAAAATAGGCCTGAATGAGTCTTTGAGCCCTAAGTTTTCGAAAAATCTGAATTTTTGCAATTTTGAGACTGTCAGAATATTCAACTGGTACGTCTGGCAATTTTTCCGAAAATTTGAAACTTCGAAGTAAAATCACCTCTCAGATGCTGTTGCTTCTTATTCGCTTCGAAATATGATAAATAAAAAAAGAACAGAAAAATTATTGGTTTTACAGGATGGAGGGCACCTCCAACGGCCAAAGGCCGTACATCCGGCTGACCTCCCAGCTTCGGAATGCGACGAGGAACGCCGGCGGCGAAGTTCGTTTCCGATGCGAGGCCCTTGGAACGCCGCCCCTGCGTTTTATGTTTGTTTTTTTTCGAGAATTTCTTTTCCTTATTTTTGAAGGCTTGATCAAATGAAAATGAGATTGGAGAGGCTAATGCCATTTTCTAAATCTTTCATCAACTTCAAAGCGGTCTTTTTGAACTTTTACAATACTGGGAAGATTTTTGGTGGCCACTATAGAGACTCGCCAAGGACTATTTGGAGAGGACACTAAAGTGACCACTAAACTCACCTCTATAGTGGCCACTATTTTCCGTTTTAGTGGCCACTTCAGTAGAAATTCATCCAGTATTCCTTCCAGTAACTCTGATCCATTGACCCCTAAAGTGGCCACTAATTTGACTACTATACTGGCCACTTAAACGTCTAAACCCTCTAGTGGCCACTAAAAGTTTTCTCAACATTTTCTAAAATGTGTCGCCAACTTTAAAGCGGTCTTTTTGGACTTTTACAGTGTATTCTTTCTTCTAGAAAAGGAAAATTACCTAAAAATTGAAGAGAAAATAATTTGGCTTGTTAAAAATGAGGTTTGAATTATTGATGCTGAATTTTAAAGCTTTTCATCGAGTTTTTTTTTGAATAAGTGTCTTCTTCCGATTACCTTCTAGTTAAAAAAAGGAAAATGTCTGAATTCGCACCGAAGCGAATTTTTTTGCAGAAAAAGTCGCTCTATGGCCAATAATTATAGTTTTTTTATAGTTTTTTTAAAGTCTTTTTCTTTTTTTCTCTAATTCTAGCGACTTTTTTTAAGCTGAAAAAAATTTTACCAATTGAAGTTCTTGGTGAAAAATTTTTATTAAATTTCTGGATAGAAACCATCAACTTCAGGTGGCTGAAAAAAACAACGCGCCGGTGGAAAAGTCGAAGCGGGTCCGGGTTCGGGAGAAGGAGACGTCTTCAAGACTGGTCATCTCCCATCTGGACGTCCTCGACAGCGGCTATTACCAGTGCGTCGTCTCCAACACAGCCGCTTCGGTTAACACGACCAGCGTTCTTCGGGTACCTTTTTCTTCTTTTTTTTTCAGTTTCTTTTTTTGTAACTTTCATTTTTCGCTTTGACCAACATCCCTTTCGCTAGCGCTTCCATGATTTTCCTATATATGCTCCTTTGAATCGCTTAGTTAATACTGAATGGACTTCCGTCAGCTTTTGCCTAAATTGAGAATAATAGAAGCTTTTCTGAGTTTTCATAGGTGTTTTTTTTTTCTCAAAATTTTTCATTTTGGCTCCTTTGAATCCCTCAGTGACATGTGTATGGACTATGGTCAGCTTTAGCCGGAATCTAAAAGCACAGAAGCTTTCATTGAACAATTATCTTTTCGCGACGAAATTCTCAAGCTTTTCTTAACCATGCTCCTTTAAAAACACCCTAGTGAAAAGACTATGGTCATCTTTCGCCTAAATTGAGCTTTCATGAAAGTTTTCCATAACTTTTTTAGCTCTGGACTTTTAAATTCCTTAGCTACTGGTGAATGGACTATGACCAGCCTTCGTCCCCTTTTTTCGCGTCGAAATTTTTGTGATTTTCCTATCCATGCTCCTTTAAAAACTTCAAAAGAATATGGTCATTTTTTGCCGAAATTGAAAATTTTCATGAGACTTTTTTTCCCAAAAGTTCTTTTATCTCTGTCCCTTTAAACCTATCAGTGACTGTGATGAGACTATAGCCATCTTCGGCCTCCATTTTTTTTTTCGCAACAAAATTTTCATGATTTTTCGATCTCTGCTCCTTTAAAAACACCCCAGCGATTGACGAAAAGGCTATGGTCAGCTTTGGCCCATACTTTGAATAATATAAACTTTCTTTTCGCCACGAAACTCTCAAGCTTTTCCGATCTCTGCTCCTTTAAAAACACCCTAGCGTCTGACGAAAAGACTATGGTCAGCTTTGACCCATACTTTGAAGAATAGAAATTCTCTTTTCGCAACGAAATTCTCGAGCTTTTCCGATCTATGCTCCTTTAAAAACACACTAGTGACTGGCGAAAAGACTATGGTCAGCTTTCGCCCAAATTGCGGAAACGAATACCAATCGGAATTTGGCGCGGGGGTGAGTCAGCTCATTAGAGGAAGAGAAGCTCTCCGGAAGGTCCATCGCGTTTGATTCGAGCCCTGTGTCCTAAAAAGGGAAGTCCACCAACGGCTATTTCTCCCTCCCGAATATTGGCCACCACTATCGCCGTCGCGCATCTTTCCCCATGTTTCGCAATTGTTTCTTCTTTTTTTTTTGGTCCCTCCATCGTCGCTCGTTATTTATGACTCGTTGGCAACAAATTGCGAGGGATTTTTGATGGGAAAAGTTTCTGAACTTCTATTTATAGGCAAAATCGGAAAGGGTGGAAAAAAGGCTCCATAAAGGCTCCTTTTTGCTGCCTTTTTGCACCATTTCATCGGCTTTTATGCACCATTTTTGCAGCCTCTCCCTTTTTCCAGCATTTCTTGACCCTCAAAAATCCCAGAAAAATGGAAGGCTTGATAAAGGGACCCTTTTTGCTACCTTTTTGCTGCATTTTTCCAGCCTTTTTGCAGCCTTTTTTGAGCCTCTCCCTTTCAGCGACCATTATCCACCATTCAATCTTTGCCCGAGTTTTTAGGGTCTGTAGTGAGAGAAGTTGCGAGTTTTAAAATGAAAGCTTTGTGAAAAAATTGGGATTTTTCTGTTATGTATCTCACAAAGATAAATAGTTGGGGAATTTTTTTATGGAATTTTTTTTTCTGATATTTCTTTTAAAAACGACTTTTTTTTTCAAGCTACCGGAAAAATCTTGAGCTATGACGTATGAATCAAATTGATCTACACCGAAAAAACAATTTGCAGCAATAGCAACAAGCTTATATCCGTGCGAGAAGTTCACGTAGTTTTAATTTTTGGTCTGAAACGTATTCAATGTCGTAAATGAAGCCTTTATCGCATTATTAGTGGGTTTGAAGGTATTTATTATTCTTGATGCTAAATTAGAATTTTTTTTAATGATAAGGTATCGGCGATTAGAGTGTAGTTTAGTCGTAAAAAATCAAATTTCATCAAAATTTTCGGATTTCGGAAATTTTGGCTAAGTCAGGAATGTTTTGAAATTCAATTTTCGAACAAATATGATTCGAAATAATGTTTGAAATCAATAATTGTCTGAAATATCGAGAAATGGACGTTTTCTGTGAAATTTCGTCGCTTATAACCCAGAATTAAATCAATTGAATCAAAGAAATTTGACTCCTATTAAGCTTTCTAGGTCATTAACCATCAAAATGGATAATGGCCGCTAAATGGCTCAAAAAAGGCCGCAGAAAGGTAGCAAAAAGGGTCCCTTTATCGAGCCTTCCATTTTTTCTGTGATTTTAAAGGCTAGAGAAATGGTGAAAAAGGTAGAGGCAGCAAAAATGGTGCATAATAGTCCATGAAATGGCGCAAAAAGGCAGCAAAAAAAAGGAGCCCTTTTTCCGACTTTTCCTATGTATAGTTAATGCAAAAAATAGCCAAAAATGGTTAAATGTAGCTAGAGGAAAGGAAGAAAAGCTTCATGGTCCCTTTTGTCAAAAAACAAAAAATTGGGTTAGTTTTCGACGAGTACGACCTATCAGCAGATTGAATATGTTGAGGATTTGCGGGTGGTGTCGCGGCGGTGTCCCGCCCGTGATGGATGCGTTTGGGTGGCCGACCGGCCGGCCAGACCCTCCGGTTTCTTGTGCCAAAACCTCGTCTTTGTCAGTCCCTTCACTGCACAACCCGCACCCTCTTTTTGTTCTTCCGTTGACTTTTCTTTTTTGGATTTCGTTCAAAACTTCTTCATTTAAAAGTGTTCTACTGGTGATTTGGGTTTTTATAATCACACTACCTAGGCAAAGTCGGAAGAGACTCCTTTTTGCTGCCTTTTTGCGCCATTTCATCGGCTTTTATGCACCATTTTTGCTGCCTCTCCCTTTTTCCACCATTTCTTGAGCCCTTTAAAAACCCCGGAAAAACTTAAGGCTTGATAAAGGGACCCTTTTTGCAACCTTTTTCCGGCCTTTTTGCTGCCTTTTTGAGCCTCTCCCTTTTAGCAACAATTATACGACGTTCCGATATTTTAGCTTCCGAATCCTTCTTTTAAAAGTTTAAAAATAGTTCATAAATGAATTTTTCCTTCTAACTTCCATTCTCGGTGTATACTCCGTGGTTTTTATTCTTAAGGAAAAAGGCTCAAATCGTGCGTCATAAATATGGACACTTTTTTTGCTATTGTAAATTTGCTATTGTTCGAGCGAATTTTTAAGCGAAAAAAATATTGAATTGACTCATAAATCGTAATACCTTCAAGTTTCAACCTTTTTTTTTGCGTATTTTCCAACTTTTCAGTATGTTAAATGTCTAATTTTTAACATGTTGAAAATTAATTTTTTTTTTCCCCTACTCTTTTGCCTTCAATTTCTTGTACATTTTCGTCGTTATTAGTGTCGAAATATCTATTTCCTATCAACCATAATAATCCTCTGCTAAACTTGCCCATATCATATTTGCCGTGCCATGAGTCGACCGGCTTGACCTCACCAAAAAGAATAATCCCGCCTTGTCGCTTTCTGGCGAACCCCCCGTTCTTTTGTCGCGCACTTTTTTGTCTGGTATATTCGACGAGCCATTTGATACCTCCTCCCCTTCCACGCGCCTCACTTTTTTTTTCCCTTTTCTGACCAGCGTACTTTTTTTTCTTGCAAGTGTGGCCAGCTGCGCGCCGTTTTTTGGAAAGTTGCGTAGGCTCTAGGAGGTTTGAACCTTTTTTTTTTAATTGTTGCAGAAAATGTGAAGGAAAGTTGGAATAGGCTTCATAGAAATGTAACTTTTAGGGTGAAAAAGGCTCCTTGAAAGCTGATTTTTTTAAAATCCAGATCTATAGGCAAAGCGGGAAAGAGTGGAAAAAGGCTTCATAGAAATGTTCCTTGTTTGCTGCCTTTTCAGGCCATTTCATCGGCTTTTATGAACCATTTTTGCTGCTTCTCCCTTTTTCTACCATTTCTTGAGCTTTTAAAAATCCAGAAAAAATGGAAGGCTCGATAAAGGGACCCTTTTTGCTACCTTTCTGCGACCTTTTTTGAGCCTCTCCCTTTTAGAAGCCATTATCCGAAATTGCCCCTTGGCCCGAGCGGAAAGTATGGATTTTTATAATGAGGAAAACTTGAGGTTACGATTGAGTAGAAGAATTTATCGATTCATTCAAAAAATCGAGAATTTTCGGTTCATTTTTTCGAATTTATTTGGAATTTTGAGCCGTTCCCTGTTGAAGTTTGTGTAGTATAAAATGAAGATTTCGTGAAAAAAATTGATTTCTTTTTGAAAAATTTTTCTTTTTTTGTTTCATTATAAATCTTTATAGACCTTCCAGAAGTTGTAAAAAAAGGTTTTAATAGAAAATAATCGATTCCGGTGTAAGTTTTGAATTTCACTCTTGTGATGTTCGAATTCCTGATTTATTATTTTTCGATTTTTCCAGCAAACTCTAGAATTTTTTTCTGTTTGTTGGTCATTAATTTTTCTCGATTTTACTCTTTTTTTACTATCATTGGGTACGAAATTCTCATTTATTTTATTTTCTTTTTGGAGATTGTCTTTCGTTTTTTTCTCCAACAGACCTCCGAAGATTCCCTGCGAATTTCTAATTAATTTTTTCCAAGCTTTTTCCATCCCCAACACGTTTTGATTAGCTGTAAAATCGATGAAGAGCGGAAAGCAAATCACTCTTTTTCGGAGCAAAACTCGTAAAATGCGGACGCGTCTGCGCCTTTTGATATATGGCTGATAAGACGGGAGGGTGGACACGGCGTCGCCTGACCTTTGTGCAATTTTTCTTCCCCGGCTCTTTTCCACGTTTTTTCTTCTTTTGTGTGTCTGTTGCGAAGAAGTTTGGCTAACTATTTTCCTTTTTACGACGAAATTTTGGATTTTGGCTTGAAAAATGACCGGTTTTAATGATTATAGGCTTCTGAAAAAATATATGGACCGCGAAAAGCAACATTTTTCGTTTTTATGACTATCTTAATGGCGAATAGTTCAGATTTTCAGTTATTAAGATCGAAATTCCTCAAAAATGAGCCGAAATTCATTTTTTTTAGCTTGGAAAATGACCGTTTTTAATGGTCATAGTCTTTTTCCAATGTATATATTGCCCCGAAAAGCGATTTTTTTACCCTTTTTTTAAAAAAATTTTTAAAAAAATGTTAGAAGCTTAGATTATAAATTTTTTTATTTCCATTATCATTTTTTTCAAATGACAAATGGTCCCTTGAAAATGAGCCGAAATCCATATTTTGGCCTAAAAAATGACCGATTTTCGAGGATTCTGGTCTTTTCCAAATGCATCTAGAGCCAGAAAAAGCAACATATTACGGTTTTATGAATGTAACAGATGGGAATAGTTTGGATTTTCAGTTTTTAAAATGAAAATTCCTTGAAAAAGAGCCAAAATCCATGTTTGAGCTTGAAAAATGACCGATTTTCGATGATTTTAGGCTTCTCCAAATGTATATTAAGACCGGAAAAGCAGCATTTTACGTTGTTATGACTGTTAGAATGGCGAAAAATCCAGATTTTTATTTTATTTTTTCCAATTTCTTGTCTCAAAGTTCCATTTTCACTACAAAATTTCCTTGAAAAATGAGCCAAAATCGATATTTTATACTGAAAAATGGCCGACTTTTAATGATTATAGTCTTTTCTACTTGTATATTAAGCCCGGAAAAGCGGCATTTTACGGTGTTATGAATGTTACAAAGGCAGATAGTTTGGGGGTCTCTCGAATTTCCAAACATTTGGAGGTCGTTTTGGTGGGGCCGCCGCGCAATTTGCATGCATATGAGAGTTGATGGGCAGCTGGAAATAGCCTCGTTTCGTTTTGTTTCACTTCGTTTTTCTGTTTTTTTAGTTTTTGGCTCAAAAAGTTTAGATCTACTGATAGATTTTCCAATTTTCAAATGGTCCTCAAAAAACCTAAAAATCAGTCAGTTTCAAGGTTAATTTGAAACTCAACGTTTTTCTATTGAAATTTGTTGAAGTTTATCAAAGCCCTGAATGACGTCATCGCCTTAAAAGTGGCCACTTAAGTTTACTTACTAGTATGTTACGTTCAAAGTGACCTCTCAAGTGTAGTTCTAGAACGATTTCCAGCCAAAATGAAAGGATCTTTACTGTTGTAGTTACCACTGGACAACATCGAACTGAAGTGTTCCTAGCCACTTAAGTGATCACTTCGTTTTTTCGTTTCTCAAATGGTCCTGAAAAATAGGAATCAGTCAGCTTCAAGGTTCAACTAAAAACTGAAAAAAGAGCCATTTTTTCGAAAAATCGGAACTTCTCAATGAAGCTGCAATGACGTCATCAGTAGGGCTCAAGTGACCGCTTAAGTTTACTAATAGTACGTTATCCCTAAAGCGGCCACTACAGCAGATCCAAAGACTCCTACTATCTCATGTATGGTTTGTCTTGCCCAACTGTCGTGATCTCATGGAGCCATCTAAGTCATAAGCCACTTAAGGGACCACTACAGCATATCCAAAGACTCCTAATATCCCATGTATGGTCTGTCTTGCCCAACTGTTGTGATCTCCTGAAACCACCTAACTCAAAAGCCCCTTAAGTGACCACTTCGCCAGATTCGAACACTCCTACCATCCCATGTATGGTCTGCCTATCTGTCTTGATCTCATGAAACCATCTAACTAAAAAGCAACTTAAGTGGCCACTTCACCAGATTCGAACACCTCTACTATCCCATATATGGTCTGTCCTCTCTGTAGTCTGTTCAGATTTTTAATGTCAAGTGCAATGACGTCATTCAAAAACACTCTGTGGATGGCTCGCTTTCTGATTGGTTTATTGCACCATTATGGGCGGAGCTTGAGCGACGACTTGACATTCAAAATCTGAAAAGACTATATCTGTCTTGATCTCATGGAACCATTCAACTCAAAAGATCCGATGTCACTTGAGTGACCACTTCCCTAGATTCGAACACTCCTACTATCCCATGTATGGTCTGTCTTGTCCAACTGTCTTGATCTCATCAATGTTAATGGATTAGCTGTTTTGAAGAAAGGAAAAGATGAGAGGCAGATATGTCCCGGGATAAATGTATTTGGTTATTAATGAGAAGATTTGTTGGTAGAATGGAGAAGGGAGGTTGGTGGAGAGAAGACGCTGCTGTTGGCAGATGCATCATCACTCAACGTCGGGAGCCGCCTCGACCCATCCCCCTCTCGTTTCCCGACGCTATTTCGTCGGCTCTCGCCATATCTCCAAGCAGAGCCTATCAGTTCCGAAGACGTCGTCCCGGCTCTCCGACGGCCTCCAGATGTACACGTCCTTCCTTTTTTTGGCTTGGATTTTTTTGGAGTATGGCTAGGTCTTCGTTTTTGGATTTGGCTGAGATGAATTGAACTGTTTGTTTTCAAGGTTTTCTTGATTTTGAGTTCTTTCCAGATGCCTTATTGGTATTTTCTTGGGTTTTTTGGACTTGGCTTAGTTTGGAGCACGACTAGGTCTTCATTTTTGACTTGGGTTCAACTCTAGATGGCTCTAAACTGTCTTTTTCTAAAGTTTACTCGATTTTGAGTACTGTCAGGTGCCTTATTTGGTTATTTTGTTGCATTTTTCGAACTTTTCTCAGTTTAGAGCACGACTAGGTCTTCATTTCGGACTTCGGATCAAAAGTCCATTTTTGGCGTTTCTAGATACCTTATTTTCTTGATTTTCTGACTTCAAGCATCGCTAAATCATAGAGTTTGCTTCAAATTTTGAAATTGCCTTTTTGGCTCCTTTCCAAAAAACAATGCGAGGTGATAAAAATGACGTGTTGCCTTATCGGTAGAGCAAATTTTCCCTCTAAAAAGAAGATTTTGATATACTTCTCCCGATTTTATTAATAAATCCTGGTCTGTACCTTGTCAACGAGAACCGCACACGCTCCGGGCGATTCTGAGCATTTTTAGTGACCACTTTAGCGGCGTCGAGTGGTCCCTAGAGTTGTTCAGATACTTTCGGTTTCAGGCCCGATACTTCGGACATTTGTAACGCGAAACGGACGTTTCTGGGCGATTCTAGGGATCACTTAAGACTCCGGAGGCTACTAAAGTGGTCACTAGAAATTCCCCGACAAGTCCTCTTCGCGTCACCAAGGTCCGAGAGGTTTCTCTAAAAAGAAAAGTACTCAATGGAGCGCACTTTCCCTTTATCAAACCCGAAAAAATCGACCTCGAAGCTTCGAATGAAGCTGAAATCGAGAATAAACTGCCGCCGCCACTATCACCACGGCAGTGATCAGTCAAACGGGAGCAGAGCGGGGCGAATAAAATGAATCGAGCCGTCAAACCGCAAAGGATCTGCCGCGTTTGATCTGCACCGCCACTCGAGAATCACCATCGAGCATCGACTGTCTCGAGATTACTCACGTAGCGGCGCGGCTATCATGTTTGAACTTGAAAAAGGCCCATTTTTTCGAAATTTGAATTTTTGAAAAAGTAAGTGGTCTATTGTGAGAGCATAGTTACCGATTTCCGATTGAAACTGAATTTATTTTTGAAAGTGTGTCATTTTTGAGTTCTGATAAGAATAAGAAGCTGAGAAAACTTTCAGCGGCCACTTAAGAGGCTCGCCAAGGACTAATTGGAGAGAACATCAAAGTGGCCACAAAACCCACCTCTATAGTGGCCACTATTTTCCGTTTTAGTGGCCACTATAGGGATTCTTTATTCAGTGGCCACTTCAGTAGTTTTTCATCCAGTATTCCTACCAGTAACTCTGATAATATTAAAACAAACATATTGGACCAGTTATGTTGATCCATTGACCCCTAAAGTGGCCACTAAAATTTTTAATGGTCTAGTAGTAGCACTTAGACCTCTATAGTGCTAACTGATTTTAAACCCCTTAAGTGGCCACTCATTTGACTACTATAATGGCCACTAAAGCGTCAAAACCCTATAGTGACCTCTAAAAATTTTCCCGTTGAGGCTTTTTTTGTTTTTGAAAATCAGTCTTCGTCTCTCGTTTTTTGTTTAAAAATCCCAGAATCCGAGCTTCTTTTCATGATCTTTTGGAGAAAAATGGTGTTGAGAAATGTAATTTTTCGGATCTGATCTCAAAAATTTACATATGACGATCAATTTTTTCGATAAAGTTCACCTCTTTCCCGGATCGTCCAACTTTGGACGGGGGCAGAGCCTTTCAAACACCTTTTTAGCATTTTTTGAGGACGGATTCGGATTCAGCGGGAAAAATAAGTATAGGGAACTGCTTTAGACCATTTTTGGGGAGATCAAAAATTTTGTAACGCCGTCAACTTGACTATCGATTCTGGAGGAATTTTCTGTTTTTTTGAAATTTTTCAAAGTTCCTGGTGTTTTTCACATTGCCCGAGTTCATATTCCTGACTAGAAAACCCATTTTCGAACGCCTTGACTACGGTGACCGTGTCGGAGGGCTCCCGCCTGGACGACCGCCCTCTCATTCGCGCCTCTCGCGACCTCGTCAGTTTGTAAATCGTAAAATGACCGCTGAACGTCTGGTGGTGGCGTTGAAAAGACCTCGTCGAGCGTCTTTTTCCAAGGTTTCTGGCTTGAAAAACGTTTTTTTAAGGGTTCTAGGACTTGTGGAAGCTTCAAATAGGATACTTTTCACCTTTTTTTTCTTTTTTTGCGCGAAAATCTTGATCTTAACCTTTTGGTTAGGGCTTCGAAAAATTGAGCTGGGGTTGAATTTTTAAAACCTTCTCTATCTAGAAATCAATAGTTTTCAAAAATACCAAAAATATACTCGATTTTTATTTTTCTATTTTTGAATTTTTTTTTCGACATTTTTTTACTCATATCTCGACTATTGTACTTAAGAAAAAAGGAATTTAAATTTTTTTTCTTCCCGAAAACTTTTATGATGAGTATAGTAACAATATTCCCAGCCATAAATTCCGCATCGAAACGTTCGATTTCTCACCTTAATTTCGGTTCGTGGCCACATTAACACGGCCATTTGCCCTTCCTTCGTCCCATCGTCTCTTTTTTTGTCTTGTTGGTTTTACCATTTGCCCTTTTATGCCCATCTTTTGAATTTGAAATTTTTAAGAAAATGTGGGTTTTTTGGATTTTTTTTGTTAGGAACGATAGGTTCGCAGTTTCTGGAAATTTTGAAATAGTTTGTTATTTACAATATTTTACTCCTCGTTATTTTTGGGAAGTGACCATCTAAACTGCGTAGAAATCTGTGATTCGAAAGAAAATTATCGAAACTTTGTAGTTTAGAGAGTGTAGAAAAAAAAGGAGACAACCATACGGAGAGAGCAAATTTAACGTGTCTGCGTTTCTGTTTCTACACAGTCTGTAGTTTTTTTTTCCACACTGACTTTTTTTTATAAAATTTTTGCATGGATTTCTTGCAATGTAAAAGAAGTTAGATATAATTAAAAACGAAGAGAAAGTGAGACACAAAGAAAAAATGTTTTTGTCGGATGTCTCCTTTTTTACACACTCTCTAGCTTCTTCGACGGAAATTAGCTAAAAAATTTTTTTCATAGGCTTTTTTCAAACTTGCTGTGAAAATTTTTAGTGGCCCCTATAGAGGCTTCCTAAGGACTATTTGAAGAGGACACTAAAGTGGACACTATTTTCCGTTTTAGTGGCCACTTCAGTAATTTTTTTTTATCTAGTATTCCTTCCTGTAACTTTGATAATTTCAAAACAAACAGATTATGTTGATCCATTGACCCCTAAAGTGGCCACTAAAACTTTTAGTGGTCTTGTAGTGGCACTTAGACCTCTATAGTGGCCACTAATTTTCAACCCCTTGAGTGCCCCTAATTTGACTACTATAGTGGCCACTTAAACGTCAAAACCCTATAGTGACCCCTAAAAATTTTCCGTTATGTCTTTTTTGCATCCTCTAGCTTCTTCTACGGAAAATAGCTCTTCTTTCGATTTCATGAGCTTTTAAAAAAGTCATAATATTCACTGCAAAAAAATACTTCCCAAGCCTTTTTCCCCCATATTTCTTGGGCTCATTTGTCGGCCAGCTGTCACGATAAACCAAACGGGACACGCTTAATTGGGTAACAATGAATCACGGTTCGGAAATTGCGGCGACGCAGTATTTTTTTTCGTGTTGCTTGCCGGAGGATGGGCCCGAAATTCGCCCTCCGTCGGTTGGTTCCTTCTCGGCCGCCCTTTGAAATGAATTATGGGGCTGGCCGGTAGTGCAACAATTGTTGCCGAGGCTCATTCGACACGTCTTTTTTCTCGATTTTCATTTGATGTTCTCAAACGTTTTTTGTTACTGGGCCACTGTAGGGTTTTGACGTTTTGGTGGCCACTATAGTAGTCAAATTAGTGGCGACTTAAGGGGTTAAAAGTTAGGGGCCACTATAGAGGTCTAAGGGCTAATACTAGAAAACTAAAAAGTTTTAGTGGCCCCTTTAGGGGTCAATGGATCAACATAACTGGTCCAATCTTTTTGTTATAAAGTTATCAGAGTTATTGGAAGAAATACTGGATGAAAAACTACTGAGGTGGCCACTAAATAGAGATCCTCTATTGTGGTCACTAAAACGGAAAATAGTGGCCACTATAGAGGTGGGTTTAGTAGCCACTTTAGTGTTCTCTCCAATTAGTCCTTGGCGAGCCCCTATAGTGGCCATTAAAAATTTTCCCAGTATAGCTTTTTTGCTAGCATTTATCATAGCCTGACTTCTTTTTTGTCGATTTTGTCTGGGATTTATCAGTTTTTTCAAACTTTCAACCGAAATTTTCCCTATTTTGTTCCGATTTGATCTTTTTCTTATTTTCATTTTTCCAGGTCAACCATGCACCTCCAGAAACTGTGAAAGGACGGAAATCAGGTGGAAAATCGAATTCGTTTGACGATTACGAGGACTACGAGGTGGGTATCTTGATTTAGCTAAACGGAATAATTCAAAAAAAAATTTTTTTGTGTATTTTTCAAAAAAATATTTATAAAAAAAATTTTTTTTGAAAAAAATGAGAGGCCCCTATAGGGTCCCCTTGAGCTTCAGGGGCTGTGAGAACAGACCCTAGGCTTCTTTAAGGGCCACCTTAATTTTACCCCTTTAGGGATCACTTTTTCGGCCCCTATAGGTGTTGTTTTCGCCCCTAACCCCTATAGGGACCACTCCGGAATTTCTACGAGTACATTTGATGTAATGGAGAAACTTAAGCTGATGGACCGAGGCCGGTTACCCGATGAAGAGGACGCGGAAATGTTCCGCGTTCCGGACGACGCCGCCGGCGCCCACTACGCCCCCGTCGGCGTCACCGAACGATGGCTCGACGGCGTCAAAGTTTGTCAAGAACACCGGGACGTCTTTAAAATGCGAACGTTTGCAGTACCGCGTCGGCGACTGCGTCCAGTACCGCGGCGAGGCCTGCCGCTCATTCTTGAACAACCGATTTGTGATGATGACCAATGAGAGCCGGGAAGAGATGTATGACATCGGTGAGCGAAATTTTGAAGATTTTTGAGTTTGAACTCTGGAAAACTATCTTTTTGACACGAAAAAACTTTAGTGGCCACTTAAGAGGCTTCTCAAGGACATTGGTAACGCGAAACCGTGCTCCGGACGTTTCTGGGCGATTCTAGATTTCACTTAAGAGTTGGGAGGCTATTAAAATGGTCACTAGAAATGCCCCGACACGTCAACTTACTGACCTGTCTGCGCTCTCTTTTCCGTCTCTGAAGAGGCGAGAGAGCGCTAGAAAAAAGAGGGCGCAGAGAACAGGAACTGTGAAAATTTTAAGTGGCCACTATAGAGGCTCGCCAAGGACTACTTGGAGAGGACACTAAAGTGGCCACTATACCCACCTCTATAGTGGCCACTATTTTCCGTTTAGTGGCCACATCAGTAGTTTTTCATCCAGTATTCCTCCCAGTAACTCTTATAATTTCAAAACGCACAGATTGTACCAGTTATGTTGATCCATTGACCCCTAAAGTGGCCTCTAGAATTTTTAGTGGTCTAGTAATAGTACTTATACCCATATAGTGGCAACTGATTTTTACCCCTTGTGGCCACTAATTTGACTACTATGGTGGCCACTAAAACGTCAAACCCTATAGTGACCACTAAAGATCTTCACAGAAATAGGAATTTTCTCATTTTCAGACCGGAATCTTCGCGCAGCGATGCTCTTCATCAATTCGGCGCCGACGATATCGCAAAAATGTCGGCAAATCTCGCAGGCCGTCGCCTGCCACCACATGTACAAGATTTGCGACGGCGGGGCGGGCAGCTCGAAAATCGTCGCGATCTGCAAAGACGACTGCGAGACGATTCAGGTGAGCGATGTCGCAGGAAAAACCAGTGGAAAAATGAAGAAAAGCAGATTTTTGAGAAAAAGATGGTGAAGAACTATAATTCTTGAAAGGCTCAAAAGATCGTAGAAAGGCTCAGTAATGGTCGAAAAAAATGACACGAAACTTGAAGAATATGGGAAATATTTCAAATATATATTTTTTGAAAATCGATTTTTTTCCTCTCATTTTTTTCTGGTGAAAAAAAGGATTTTTTTAACAGTCTAAAAAAATATAACAAAAAAAATAACAAAGTGGGCTATTTTTTTGAACGCTGAAGTCGCAGTGAATGTATTTTTTCGAAGTTATTTTTTTCAAATTTTTCCTGCAAATCATAGGAAAGAGGCAAGTCAGGACCTTGAAAAATAGTTTTTTTTTTACAAAATTATATTTTTTGAGGCTCTCATTAGATTTTTTTAGTTTTTCCTCCAGAAGATGCTTCAAACTGGTCCGAAATCGGATCTATTAACAAAAATTCATAAAAAGTGAAAAAATGAGGTTTTTTAGCAGTACATGCATATAGGTTTTTATAAAATTATTCCTGTATTTAAATTTTTGGTATTTAAGCTGCGAGAAGATCCGACTGGAGATTTTACAATGAATCATGAAATTTGAAGGATCAAGATATTTTCAAGAAAATGGTTCTGAAGCCATAATTTCTTTGAGAAGTTTTAATAATGAAAAAAGTATGATCAAAACAGTTTTTTCGATTTTTGAAGGCTTCTTTTAAAGAAATCAGCAAATTTAATTTTGCCGGTACTTTTTTTCCTTTTTACTGAGTTTATTGAAAATGTTCCCTTTTATCTTCATCGAGCATCTTGGTTTGATGGATTTTTCGAGATACGATCGGCGTCTTTTTGAACCAAAATGTTCTTTTTTTGAAGACGGAAAGAAAAAAATGAAATTTCTTTTTTTGACTAACTTTGAGCGCTCGTCCAAAAATTTTTGACCTCCTAGATCATGTTCGAAGATTTTTCCCCGCATTTTTTTCCCTTTTTTCGAATTTTTTTCTCATCTATTTTAATTATATGTGTTTTTTTAGTTTTTATTTTGCTTCGTCTTTTTTTCAAATATTGAGGTTGCTTATGAAATAATTCCAGAATACAAAAAGTAAAAAAAAAATATTTTTTTTTGTTATTTTGATACTGCGAGGATTACGTATACAACCCATCCTATTGGATTTTAAGGAAATTATCTAATTTTTTTTTTCTCAAACTTATGAATTGAATAATTTCAGTATTTAGGTCGTCTTTCAAGTATTATTGTTGAAAAAAATTGGACTTGAAAAAAAAAATTTCTTTCTCCAATTCTATGAAATAAATTACAGTTTTAAGTCCTTCCATTTCATTTTCTGGTGTCTTTGATATTACATTTAGGTTAAAATTGTTATTTTATAATCATATAATTTTTTTCGGATGGTCATTTTCAAGTATTTATATTTCGAATTTCGGATTTTTTTATTTTTATTTTTGAAATCCCCCAATTTATATTTTTCGAAATGGTACGGGTTGTACATGAAAACATGATCTGAAATTTTTCAAAAAGTACCTGCAAAAAAGAAAATTTTTGTCACATTTTGTACCCTTGAACATTCCTTGTCAGCCTTCAGATCCGAGAGAATCATAAGAATGGCATTTTTTCAGAACAAAGAGTGTCCAGCGGAGTTGGCCCTAGCCGCGCAGCACGAGCTCGTCGGCGACAATTCCAAGGCGCTTTTCCCGCTCTGCTCGAGACTCAGCGCCACTTCGAACTGTATCCCCGTCCTCGACACCGCCAAAACTATGGTACCGTATTCTTATACCTTTTCCTGGGGTCTTGACACGACAATTTTCTTCTGGAAAATAGATAAATGAGGTTTAGGAATTTGCCTTTTTTGGTCATTGGAAAAAATCACACAGACCTTGTTTGCTAGTTTTCAAAAGTGAAGTTCATATACCGTAATCGATTGGGTCTCACCACGAAAGTTTTTTCGATTTTAAGAACATTTGAAAGCACCTGAGAAAGCCCATCTCTCTCATTGGGTTGGAAGTTTTTGTGAATAAGCCGAGAGGGCTGAAAGTTATATAACGTAACCAATAGGGTCTCACCACAAAATTTTTTTTTACAGTTCTGAGAACATTTGAAAACTACTATAAAGGCCTACCTCTCTTATTGGGTTTAAAATTTCATGGATGAGCCAAAAGGGCTGAAATTTATATACCTTAACCTGTTGGGTCTCACAAAGAAAGTTTATCGACTTGAAAACAGCTGGTCTTTTTGCAATAACACAAAATTACCCGAATGGTGTCTCTTTTATTGGCTTTGAACTTTCATGGATGAGCCAAGAAGGCTGATTTTAAATACTGTAATTTGTTGGGTCTCACCGCGAACGTTTTTCGATACTAAGAACATTTGAAAAGAACTGTGAATGATTTTTCAAAGCCGTTGTAAGCAGATAAAATCACCGAAACGGTGATATCACATTCGAATTTTTATGTGTGTTTGGATGAACCCAAAGGGCTGAAGTTCATATACCGTAACCTGCCGGGTCTCATCACGAAAATTTTTTTGACTTTAAAAACATTTGAAAACAACTGTGAAGGCTTTTTCAAAGCCGTTGTAATCACCTAAAACTTCCCAAATAGCGACACCTCATTCGAGTTTTTATTCGGTCTTGATGAGCCGAAAAGGCTCTATATACCGTAACCTGTCGGGTCTCACCACGAACGTTGTTTCAGACGGTGGCGCCACCGGACACGCGGAGAGGCCACCTGACCCATTGGTGCTACGTCGACAGCGGCAAGCACTACGAGGGCAGCATGGCGACGACCGTCAGCGGAAAGTCCTGCGTCGATTGGGCCGATTCCACTTCTAGGTATCGGTTTTCTTGGTATTGTACTTACAAGGATACTTGAGTTCACCAAGGGAAGCTTCTGGTTTCGGTTCCTTGAAAGGTGTTTGGAAGCTTTTCAGCAAGTGGCCTTTAAATCCTAACACCTTACAGTTACCTACTGGAGGCTTGCCGACAGGCTGCTGACAGGCTTTTTATTTTTTAGCCTTCTTAAGACCATTTGAAGGTTTTCCTTAGTACAGGCTCCTATTGTATCTGTAGCAGTAGACCTATTTTATAGGAGGATAAAAGTTCAAAGAGTACTGAAAATCTGTAGTTCCAGGTGAAGAAAAGTTCCTCTGAAACTACCTAAAATCTTGTCTCAAGCTCATCGTCTGAAACATTGACTCCCCCCATTTTTCAGAGACTTCAACGTGGACCGATACCCGGAGCTGAAGCATTCCAAAAACTACTGTCGGAACCCTGGAGGCAAGAAAACGCGACCATGGTGCTACTCACAGCCGTTGGGCCAGGAGGAGTACTGCGACGTCCCTCAATGTCCCAAAGACATGTACCCGCATCTGGCTGAAGCGCCGAGAGGACATGGAAACGGCGATACGGTGAGTTTACTGACCGGGTTCTGCTTTCACCAGGGAATGGTCTTCGGGCGCAGTGGTACTTCTGCATTGAACCACGTCTTCTAGATGAAGTTTTTCACGCTGATCCCGAATCTGGTCTCAAAAAAATGCCTGGGAAGTCTGTGGGAATAGTTATGGACCCTCAAAAGTTGGTAACAAGAAAAATCGCCATTAAAAGAGGAATTTTAGAGATGGCCCAGAACTGGGGTGAATGAATTTATGAAATCTTGGCAGAAGGTAATTGGAGACATCAGAATCGGAATCAGCATGAAAATGTTCCTCTAATGGTTACACTTTCATTTGAAAGCCCTGGAAAGCGTTTTGAAGTTTTTATGGGTCAAAAAGCCATTCCAAATGCGACCCTTGTCTCTTCAAATTTGATAAATACTCGGTCAAAGTCGGAATGGTCGATAATGGCCGCTAAAAGGTAGCAAAAAGGTTGCAAAAAGGCTGCAAAAAGGCTGCGAAAAGGTTACAAAAAGGCTGCAAAAAGGCTGCAAAAAAGAGCCTTTTGCACCCTTTCCGACTTTGCCTAGGCTGTTGTATTCAATATCAACTGATCTTTGACCTGCTTTTTCCAGAACGGAGGTCTATCCGAATCGGTGACGGCCCTGTGGGACTCCCTGGCCCCTCACACCCAACTGGCCGTCGTCGGCGGCGGCGTCTTCGTCTCCCTCCTGTTCCTGCTCCTCTTCTGCTGTGCTTGCTGCTGTCGGGCCAAGAAGAAGTCGCAGAAAGCCCGCCAGACCTCCGCACATATCCCGCTTCACTCCTCTACCGCTCCGAGTATCATTAATAGGTGCGTTTTTGGATTACGACTATTAACAAGGAGAAAGAGGTGAATGAATGGAAGCGTAGAAATCCAGAAGCTTTTCAATATGGGATAATCGAATAAATCTAATCGCTGAGAGTTTGAGACGACATCGACAATCCCATAGCCTGATCAAAAAAAAAAAATTTGAAGGAGCATTTACTTGTTTCGTAGTCCCGAGCCGAAGTGCCGGTGGAGATGTACTTGGGACCATGTACAAAGTGGTTTGAGAAACAAATTGTGCTGCTATGTGTTTAAAGGAGCGCGGACTCATTTCAAAAAGGTCTTACGGCAAAAATACGTTTCCAGAGATGTTTAAGATCATGCAAGGAGCATCGATGATTAATACGATGGAAAGAATCACTGGAAAAAAATTTATATATTTATCAAGCTTTCAAAGGAGCATGGGCTGATTTGAAAAAAAAAAAAAGGTCTTGGGACGAAGAGACGTTTTTAGGGATTTTCCGCGCCTTTGAACGTGTTGAATAAAGTTTTTTTTCCAAAAGATCAACGTATATAAAATTTTGTGGCGTTTTCCCTTTGAAACTCACTAGGCGTTTAAAGGAGCATGGGCTGGTTTAGAAAAAGGTCCTGGAGCGAAGAGACGTTTTTTGGGATTTTTTTGCGCTCTGGAATGTGCTGAATAGAGTTTTTTTCAAAAAACGTCAATGTATATTAAATTTTGTAGCTTTCGCTTTAAAACTTGCTATGCGTTTAAAGGAGCATGGACTGGTTTTTAAAAAAAAGGTTTTGGTGCGGAGAAAAGTTTTCAGGGATTTTTAAGGTCGGGTAAGAATCACCGATGATTTATTTGATATTAAAAACGTTATAAAAATATTTATGAGTGTTTAAAGGAGCATAGACTGATTCAAAAAAGGTCTCGGAGCGAAAAGACGTAGTTGGAAAAAATTACATTAAAAAAGGGTTTTCTTTTGAAGGAGCATGGTCCTAAAAGCTGAATCGAAACCCAGAAAATTCGACTTAAAAAAAAACAATAATTTAGAGAAATAATCAGAGGGTTTTACATTTGGACGGCCATTTTTTTGAACGAATTTCACGGACATTATACGTTTCTAAACACTAGTTTCAGCCGATCCACTTCTTCTTTTCGTTTTCAATTTTGATTGATTGTAAAAAAAAAACAAATCAAAAAGGAGCTGACCGGCCAAATCAGAGGCCCAGTTCGTTGGAGCGACCTTTCTCCCGTGATTTTTTAAAAAAATAGTTATATTGACATTTTTTTCCACTGAACTTTCCGTGGACTCTTACCATTCCTTTGCAATAAAATATGTGTGAAAACACCGATTTTTGGTTTGAAAAACGTTTAGAAACGTGCTCTTTTTGTGTTGTTTGCAGCGTCACGGGACGCGGTGTTTGCTGCTTTTTAGTATGTTTTTTTGACATTTTTTTGTCTCATAAGTCGGAATTTTTCTGGATTTTTTTGTATTCGTTTAGAAGTTTTGATGATGAATTCCACAAATTCTCTTCGTTTAAAATGAAAATTTTTCGATTTTTTTGAGATGAAGGCGTCAAAAAGTAGTTGGAAACTCTACGGAAAAATCTTTAAAAAAACTTATTTTTTTGTCAAATTTTATGATTTTACTTTTTTTATTTTTAAAAAGTAAATAATTCCGTTCCTTATTTTTCCAAGTCATGTGCAAAAAAACTTCAAAGGGAAAAATTAAACGAGATTTTTTTCCAAAAAAATATTTTTTTCCCTCTGTTTGTCCCTCCGTTGATTTTTTTCAGAACTACAAGTTCAAATCCGGTTACTTTTTATTTCACAACCACTTTTTTTGGTAGCGTAGTTTTTATACGGCGAACAAATGTTGTTTTTTTCCAAATTTGATCAAAAAGTGCGTCGATAATGGAAATGTTTACACGTCGATTTGCCACGATTTTGAGTCATCTTTAGTTTTTTTTTTTTCATTTCATTTCATTTTTTGATTTCGGTTCTTTTTTTCCTTTTGTGAGTTTCCTGGTTATTTTTTGAATTGATTAGCATAAGTTTTCTCAGATATTTTCATACTTCTTTCAAGAAATGCATTAGAACTTCGCTTCTAACTTTTTTTCTCGTCAATTTTCGATTCCAATAGTTTTCATAATCAAAAAATAACTTTTCTGCTTCGAAATGCCTTTTTTGCTTACTAAGAACTAATATTTTTGATAAAATTCTCCAAGTTCTTCAAAAAAAGAGAGCCAAATAAAGATTAAAACCCGATTTTTATAGCTTTTTCGTCAATTTTTTCTTTTTTTGCAAAGTTTTTTGGAAAAATTTCATCCACATGACTCTCAACGCAAAAATCGAATTTTGAGCTTTTTCTCTTCAAAACGAAATGATCCGCAAGTTCAAGGCTGAAGAAAGTGTTTGTTTCTAGGGTTTTGACGTTTTAGTGGCCACTGTAGTAGTCAAATTAGTGCTCACTTGAGGGGTTAAAAGTTAGTGGCCACTAAAAAGGTCTAAGTGCTACTACTAAACAACTGAAAATTTTAGTGGCCACTTTAGGGGTCAATGGATCAAAATAACTGGTCCAATCTGTTAGTTTTGAAATTATCAGAGTTATTGGAAGGAATACTGAATGAAAAACTACTGAAGTTGCCACTAAATAGAGAACCTCTGTAGTGGTCACTAAAACGGAAAAGAGTGGCCACTATGGAGGTGGGTTTAGTGGCCACTTTAGTGTTCAAGTAGTCCTTGGCGAGCCTCTAGAGTGGCCACTAAAAATTTTCCCAGTCTGGCCAGTTTTCAGGAGAATCCCAAACAAAAAGTTAAATGACCTACAAAATCTCAAAACTAGAGAAATGTAGCTCTCTGAACTATTTTCGGTTGCTTTTTTGGTCCTTTTCCCGTTCTTCGCTCTAAAACCAAAACAAGGTTGCCATGCGAACGGCCCCAAGACACCAATGTTCAAGCCGTCTTCTTCTCCTTTGCATTCCTCGCCGTCATATTTGTTTGAACGCGCCTCCTCCGTCTCTATTTTTCCCCTGATATAAATCCTATGGCAGTTGATTTGAAGCCCAAGCCATGTTCAACCCGTTTTTGACCTGTGGCTTCCAAAATACTGTCAACGATGCCTATGTGATCCCGATCTGTGCCCCGAGCAAGGGCCAAGACGACGATGATCAGGCCGTTTTCTGGACCGGCAGGTTCGATAATCGCGACAAGGAGAAGTTGGTTTTTCAGTTTTTATTGATGACCTCAAATAACCCTGAAAATGGCTTTTCGTCTCGAGACCTTTATTAGATTCAGCTGTGCTCCTTTAAAATATTATAAATGGAATTTTTGAATGGACTTTATGAGGGAATACATTTTAGGTTTTGGATGGCTTTGGCGACTTAAATGGCCTTGAAATTGGCTTTTCGCTTCGAGACCCTTTATGAGCTCGGCTATGCTCCTTTAAACAATGAAGCTTGTTTTCGAACGGACTTTTTAAAAAAAAGTTTACTAGGTTTTGTAGGGATTTTTCGACAGGAATAGCTACCTCAAATAACCCTAAAAAAATGGCTTTTCGCTACGAGACCTTTATTAGAGTTAACTATGCTCCTTTAAAATATCAAATGAGATTTTTTTGAATAGACTGTATGAGGGAACATTTTAGGTTTTGGATGACTTTGACGCCTTGAATGGGCCTGAAAATTGGCTTTTTCGCCTCGAGACCTTTATGAGAACCAGTTATGCTCCTATAAACACCAAGCCTTGATTTTGAATAGACTTTTTAAAAAATTTTTCTAAGAAGTTTTTTTTTGCTTATTTTTTTTTGAAAATATTTCCATTTTTCCAAGCAGTTTCAACTTTCAAATAAAACTTATTGAAAAAAATTGGAATTTTTTTGGAAAATATGAAGAAAAAGTTCTGATCAAAGTTGGTTTTTTTCACAGTTTTCCTTGAAGAAATCAATGATTATCTTCCTTTTTCTCGTCGCCATTGAACTTTTTAAGTGATAAGTGATCAGTGATCATAGTTTCTATAAAAGACAAGCTTTTTCTCCGTTTTTCCAAAGTTTCAGCTTGTATCTTTGACGTGGCCTTGTTTATTTGAATAAGAAAGGTGTTGACTTTACTGGGGACTGTTTTATAGGTATGTTTATTCGGTTCTTGAGCCGATTGGGCTGCTCTTGGGGTTAGTGGATCGGAAATCATGTTTTGAGCGGGTTTATGATTGGGAAATTGATTGGTTGGGGTTTTTTTCAGTGAGTAGAAAGGTCAATAAAAGGCTTAGTGATGGAAATAGAATAGTAAGGTTGGATTGGAGGTAGTTTTTTTCCAAAAAAATTTTCACAGGGAGGGACTTGGTTCAAGCTGATTTTTTTAACTTTTTTTAAAAATATTTCTCTTGAAACAACTTTTTTTCGAATTAAGACTATATGGACTAAAGTTCTTTGGAATCAGTCTGTCTAAGAAAATATGAAATTACATTTTTGGACAAAAAAAATGGCTTAATCTGGCTTTTGAACGATGGGAAAATTCATAGAAAATCAAAAAAAAGGGGGATTTGGTATGAATTTGCAGGTTTTGGGGAGTTTGAATAGTAAGAAACCTCAGGGAGCTTGAAAATTATCACAGAAAGAGTCATTATTTCCGAGAATTAAGATTAAAATGAGCAAAAGACGTAAAAATTGAAGCTTTGAGGATCCTCAACTGATTAGAAAAGCGTTTTGAGAAAAATCCCGGATCTTTCTCTTTTTCGAAGACTCCAGAGGGGTCCCTATAGGGGCCGTACCCCTTTAGATTCCACTAAAGCTTGAAAAACTGGTCCCTATAGGGATCATGATACTCGATAATAGTTATGGAATCTAAGCGAAGAAGCCTTTCTATGCGAAAAACTGAATAAATAAGCGTTTTGAATGAAATTGAGAGACCCCTATAGGGTCCACTTTAGATTCAGAGGCTAAGGGATCAGACCCGAAACCCCTATAGGGACCACCTTGATTTTAACCCTATATGGACTGCTCTGTCATTCCTAAGTTTTACTGATCATCTGTTATCAAGACTCCATTTTCAGTGCCGCCAACTCTGCCTACTACCGCAAGCTGAATGGAACATCGACCCCGATCATGTCAACCCGAGGCCCGGGCGGCGTGGAGATGTCCTCCCTGCTCCAGCCCGGCAGCATAAACCACCTCGGACCTCCGCCCTACGCCGACCATTCCGCGTTCCCGATGCGCAACGCCGAACCGCCCATCGCCGACGAACATCCCTACCACGTCCTGGAGATCTCTCCGTCGCAGCTCAGTGTCAGAGAACTCATCGGCGAGGGACAATTCGGCATGGTCCATTCGGGTGTCTGGACCGGAGGGTTGGTCAGCAGAGAGCCCCTGACCGTGGCCATCAAGACTTGCCGAGCCGACGCGACCAACGCCGAAAGGGTCAGCCTGGAACAGGAAATCAGGACTGTCGCTTCGTTCGACCATCCCCATGTGATCCGACTCCTCGGCGTCAGCTACATCGAAGGGAATCTCACCGCCGTCTTCGAATACATGGTCCATGGAGATCTGCACGATTTGCTGAGGCTGAGAGCCCCGGCGAATGGAGACAACGACCTGGAACGCATCTCGGCCGACAATGAGGACTTCTTGAGGATCGCTACTCAGGTTCGTTTTCATTACGAAGCTCTCGTTTTTACGCGCTATTCTCATGCTTCACTAGTAGATGAAAACGAGCGACATCGCAAAAGTGTTGCATTGTAGCCGTGCCGGTCTGGCGTTTTTCTTGCCGCGATATCGCATTTTGAAGATTTTCAAATCTTGTTGGCGATATCGCGAAAGTGCTGCATTGTTTCCTCGCCGGTCTTGCGTTTTCCTTGACGCGATATCGCGTTTTGAAGATTTTTCAAGTTTTTGAGAAGCGGAAGAAGGCAAAAAAGCAGCATATTTGCGAGATTTTTGATATATCGCGAGAGATATCGCTTTTCTCCTGCGCCGGTCTAGGCGGTTATCTTTAGTGTAACTTCACCGCTGAGAGAAAAAATAGGGTAATTATTCAGTTTTTCATTTTCAGATCGCCTACGGAATGGAGTATCTCGCATCGATGTCCTACGTTCATCGGGACCTGGCGACCAGAAATTGCCTCGTTGGCGATAATCGAATCATCAAGATTGCCGATTTTGGACTGATGCGTGCCTGCTACGATAATGATTATTATAAGGTAACTTTTTACCAGTATCCTTTTTTTTAACTCCCAATTTTTTGATAATCATTTGAATCAATTCCAGATGCTTCACCGATCGTGGATGCCGGTCCGTTGGATGTCGAAAGAAGCTCTCGAGCAGGGCCGCTTCAGCGAAGCCTCCGACGTCTGGGCCTTCGGCGTGACCCTCTGGGAAGTTTGGAGCTACGGTCGGCAGCCCTACGAGTGCGCTTCGAACCAACAAGTCATCGAGCTGATCGCCAATCGGCATCTCCTCGAATGTCCCCACAACTGCCCGCCGAATATCTATAGGTGAATTTTGTCGAAAATGTCGTTGGCTTTGTTGGTCTGATATCTCTTCTCTCTACAGAACGAGAAGCTTCTGCGCCCTATGGGTTTTTTTTTCGAAAAATTGAAAAATGGCAAAAATTTTAAACCTTGAGGGGACTCGAACCAGCAACCCTTTGCACCTCAGAGATAATTGCTAGCCACTAAGCCATTAGGAACTCCACAAAAAACGTCCAGGATATCCAAAAAAAAGAAAGGAATTTTTGCAATTTAGATTTTTCTCATTATCTTGTTAGCCAGAGAGTCAAGACGCTGACAAAATGCCCATTTTTTCAATAAGTTGGAAAATGGCAAAAATTTTACCCTTGAGTGGAGTCGAACCAGCAACCCTTTGCACCTCAGAAAGAAGCCTTAACCGCTGAGCTACGACCTTTTTTTAACTAAAAGTCTTTACAGTTTGATGGTCGAGTGCTGGCACGAGAACGTGGATCGACGGCCGACCTTCTCCGAAATGCACAGTCGGCTCCAGTCGTGGGTCCTCGCAAGCCCCGCCCACTCTCTGATGCAGAATCGCGCCGGATCTCACAGCGGTTTGTTTTTCTATTATTTTCTATTTTTTGAGTTCTAACCAACAAAAAAAGAATAGAAAAGCTATGAGTTTGAAGGGACAAGGCGTAGTTACGAAAAATTCCCTTCGAGACCCAAAAAAGTCTTAGCGTAATAATTGATTACTGTTACAAAAGCTTTTTAAGTTAATTTGGCTCAGCTGTGAGGCTATTACCGCTAACGAATGTACACTATGGGCGCACATTTAAAGGCGCATATACAAGAAAACGAAAGATGTTTTGAAGCGCATTTTTTTTCTCTCATGCGCCTTTAAATATTGAGAGTTCCTAGTTGTTTCGATTCTTTTCCGCTTTTTTCAATCTTTCTTGAAACAATCGATTTCAGGCTCATCTGGAGCGGGTCGTCCCAACCAACAGAAGCCTTCCTTGCCGCCGACACGCAACGCGGGCTACCAGGCGTCGCGGCCGCCGCGACGCGGTGAAGACGCGTCGCCTTTGATGCGTCGCGACGCGAATTATGACTACAGCGAGGACGGCGACTCGGATTGATCCAGGAAAAATCAAATAGGCATCGATCTTGTCATTTTATGTAAAATGCGCTCCATCGAACCTACTTTATCGTTGGAGCGCGTTTGGCCAATTTTTATAAATTTTTGGCGTGTTCAAAGTTTTAAGAACCCTGTAGTGATCACTTGATTTTTTTTCTGGCTTAGAACTCGCTGTTATGTACATACTGTGTTCACCGCTGAGGATACTGTAATCTTGTCCGTTTTCCAAAAAATAGTGCAATCTATGGACCTTTAATAATTAATATAGTAATATTTTCTGGACCAATGAAACTTGAATGATCTTGCACTTGCCTTTCTGTGTTTTATTATTCTTTTTTTTTCTCGTTTACAGGGTTTTTTTCCATCGATTTCCCCCACACTTTATTTGTACATTTCAGTACCAATTTACCTCCATTTTTCAACGATTCGTGTTAATATTCCACCAAAAATCTTTCTTCTCCTTTTTTTTTTTTTGAATCATTTCCGAAGATTTAATGCAACAGGGTACCCCAAAGAACTTGATGAGCTATTATTTTCATTATTTCTTATTTTTGATTGTTTTTTTCTTCCCTAATTTTATGTAATAATTTCGATTCGGAGCTGTGATTTGTTTCCGTGAGAATAAACGCATTTGATTATTATAAATCAGAACTGGATTTCGAATTTGGGTCATGAAAATTGAAGATTTGAGAGATTTCGAGACGTTTCCACGTCTTTATTTTGGCGCCATGTCGCGGATTTTCGCCTTATTATTTGTACTGATTTTTTTCTTGGGACTTTCGAGGCGGTTCGTTTTGAAATAATGAGTTTAGAAATCGTTTTTTTAATTCTTGAAGGGGCTGAAAATCGAATTTTTTTAAAGTTTTTTGGATAAAAAGCGAAAAAAATCATTTATTTTTTTGAATCTGAACGAGTTAAAAAAATTTCCTCGATTTTTTTCTTTTTGGAACACAGAAAAACTTTTGGGGATTCTTAGAAACGAAAACAGTCCTAAATTTTTGAGATTCTTACCAAAAATTTCAGATTTTCTACGGATTTTTTTCTATAATCCTTTGTCAAAATTTCAGAATTTAAAGTCGCATAAGCAGTTTTTTTGAAGGTCTCAAAATTTTTTTCAGGGTTTTTTTCGTCATTTTAAGTTTCTGCACCTTTAAAAATTACAAAAAAAAATTTTTTTCAAAATTAACAATTTATTGTTCCCAACACCGGAGGTCATTTTAACTTTCGGTTGGGAATTTTCTGAAAATTGGCTGGGACCCTTCTTGATGTGCCAGAAGAAGATTCTGAAATTCTCAATCTTGTGGGGACATTCGAGGAGATGCCGATTGGCGATCAGCTCGATGACTTGTTGGTTCGAAGCGCACTCGTAGGGCTGCCGAAAATTGGCTGGGACCCTTCTTGATGTGCCAGAAGAAGATTCTGAAATTCTCAATCTGCATAACTCTCTCGTTTTCGAGAAATAGGGGCCTAAAGTACAAAATAGCCCATTTTTATGGATTTTGAGGGTTTTCTTTGACTTTGAGGCGTCTTTTTTCTCCAAAAACGAGAAAGTTGTGCAGGTTGAGACTTTCCGAATCTTTATTTGGTACATCAAAGAGCATTCTGGTCATTTTTTAAGAGAATCCCAACCGCGAAGTGAAATGGTTTTATTCGTTGACGCACTAGAGAAATGAGAAAAGTGTGGATTCACTTGAGTGTTTTTTTTCTTCCTTCAAAGCATACCTGGAAATTTAAAAAAAAGTTTGGAACTTTTTAAAATTCGACCACTTCTCAGCTCGAAGTCCGCCAAGTTTGCGATGCCTACTTCGACTGCTTGGAAGACCGGAGGACCCAGGAACTCGCCTGCGACGCGAAATTCCCTGCCGAAAGGTCCATGGCGAAAAGAATCAGCTATCCGAGACCTTCTCTGACGCCTCATTGTGGTGCTGAACTTCGTGGCGACTACGAGGAGCTCGAGAAGGTCAGGAAAAGCGTTGGCGAGCAGATGCGACGTTGCGTCAACGAATCGGCGCCGGTCGCGGTGGCCATGTTGCAGATGAAGGTTTCTTTCTTGATTTTCTCATGGTTTGTTGGAAAAAAGGTTGTATAGTCGATTCACGGCTAGCTTGGGACGCTAAGAGGCCGTGTCTGCGCTCTCCGCCTATTAGGCGCTGTCTCCATTTTATCGTCTCAGGACCCATTTTTCGATGGCTCAAGCCCTCCTTAGCTTAGCTACACCCAAAAAAACCCATTAAGGTCTCAAAGCGAAGAGCCACTCACAGTGTTATTTTAGTGTGCTCCGCTCGAGACGGTAACGTTTTAAAAGCACTTCAGAATGAAAATCTGACGTAGTCACAGCTCCTTTTTGCACTGATCTACAAAACTGAAAAAAAACTAAGAAAAAGGAAGGTCTCGAAGCGAAATTTGGGCAAATTTGGTATACGATCTCTTTCTGAAGAAAAAGACCAAGGCTTTTGTGATTCTAATAATTTTTAAGTTAAAAAAAGGCTTTTTCCGTCTAGCTTTTCAAGAGTTGAAAGTGCGCTCCAACGATAAAAGCTTGATTCTCTGGGTTTTCGGGGTTTTCTAAGACGAGCCAGAGCCACGTATTTGTTAGAAAAACGCCTAAAAGCCTGAAAATTTTGAAATTAATATGTCGCCGACTCATGGCTAGCTTGGGACCCCTGTCTGCGCTCTCCAACAACCAGGCACTATCTCTTTGCTTACCGTGTCAGGACCCTTTTTTCGGTGACTCAAACTGACCGTAAGTCAGCTGTAGATTTTTATTGTCGAGCGCAATGACGTTACTTATAATTCCCCTCTGAAGTACTGATTTGTTCACTGCTGTATTAGGGCGGAGCTTGAGAAACTGTTTCAAAAGTTTTCACTGCATCTACAATGTAAGAATACATGTGCAATCGACTTTCATTGATTTAACTGTGTTTTTAAACGGCGGCAGGAACTGTGGTTTAGGCAGAGAAGTTGTGAATTTCGCTCGTAGAACGCAGGTACAAGAGAGGTCGTAGGAAGAAGTACGGTGCCGGTTTTCCAAAGACCGATGGCAGAGATTGAGCCTTTTCGCTGCATGCAGCTCCCAATTTTATCTACCCCGGAGGGGTGAAAGGCTTGGCCGACCTCGGAGGGACTCGAGCCTACGACCTCGCGGAAGTTAGAAATTATTCTTTACCAACTGAGCTTTGCCGCTATACGGAGCTAGAGAGATGACTTAAAACCTGAAATCTGAACAGACTGCTCACCAGCCTTGTTCTATGAAGAAAATGAGGGGAAAGATGGCTTCAACCTAAAACTTTATCGTTTTAAACAGTACCTGCTTCTAAAAATGCAAAATTCGGTCAAAAATGGAATGATAGATTTAACCTTAAATTTTATCAATTTAAACAGAACTTTCTTAAAAAAAAAAGATATTCATATTGATATTGCTGCAGGCAACGTTCTGCGAGCCGTACATGCAGCGGGTCCCTCGCCAGAAGCCGAAAACCCTCTCGGAATGCTGGATGACTGTCGCCAAAATCGCCAACACCTGTTCAGCTTTGCGGCAGTGCTGCGATCCTGCTGCGCGGTACTTTTTTTGTCTCGTTCAGTTATTCACTATATGGTGTTCATAGTAATAGCTTGATGGCTTGACGTTGAAAATTTGAGCAGAGTAATTTCAAGACGAGAAAAATGATCAATAAATCCAATATTTCTTCAAGATGCGAGCAAATCGCCGAGTACAGCGAGGCCGGGAGAACTGCGGCCGGCCTTCGGGAGGAAATCGCCATTCAACTCGCCGAGTGCAAAGAAAAAGGTGCTTTTCATGGAATGTTACGGGATTTTTGTGGTTTTGACGTCTTCCCGCAAAGTTTTGTCTGAACTCCTGAAGTCGCGAAATAACCGATTTTGAGGGTCTTTTAGAGATGGAGCCTCCAGCCTCCTTGGAGGTGTTCTTTTTCAGAAACTAGGGATTTGTGAACAAAAAAGACTTTAATTCAAATTTCTAGACGCCCCTACACCAGCCGTCAACGTTTCTGCCCCTGAAACTGAAAAATCGACCAAGCCTTCTAAAAAGAAGCAAAGGATCATCGAAAAACCACCATTTTCGCTTTGTCTGCGATACCTCGAGTGCCAGAAAAAGAGCCACGAAATTAAAACCGAGTGCAGTTCGATCCAAAATGAAGATGTAAACCTAATATTCGAAAAGGTTACGAATGAATTTCCCTTTCAGGCCTGGACAGTGGAATCACTGAACGTCGACCTGCCCCTAGAAGGGAAGGCCAAGAAGTGCCGGGACAAGCTGAAAACCGACGCAACGCGGCTTCAGAAGAAGCGCCAGGAAGCCTTCGCCTACCTGGATAAATGCGTTCCTCACGCGAATGTTACCAGGGAGTTTATGATACAGGTAATATTGGCGTAAAAAGGCTCCTTTTTTTGCTGCCTTTTTGGGCCATTTCATTGGAAATTATGCACCATTTTTGCTGCCTTTCCCTTTTTCACCATTTCTTGAGTCATGAAAATTCCAGAAAAAATGGAAGGCTCGATAAAGGGACTCTTTTTGTGGCCTTTTTGCGGCTTTTTCGAGCATTTTTGCAGCCTTTTTGCGGCCTTTTTGCTGCCTTTCTGCAGCCTTTTTTGAGCCCTTCTTTTTTTAGCGGCCATTGTCCAACAGTCCGACTTCGCTCGAGCAGTGAAAAAAAAAATTATATAGAATTTTTTTTTTTCGTACAGAATTTTTTTTTCGTATCTTTACTTAATCACCTGTATGCCGTTTTTTTATATTTCAATATCTTTCTTTTTGCTGATTTTCAAATTTGATGATATTTTTCTTCCTCTACACAAATTTTCGAATGGCTTCTAGAAGAAAAAGTTTTTTCTAGGAAAGAATCTGCAAAGCGAGCGTTCTGAAGAAGGAAACCAAGCCCGAAGTTCTGAGTCCCCAGAACTGTCGAATGCAGTTGGCCAAGAAAAGAAGAGAATGTTCATTGCTACGGGATTGCTGCGTTCAAGCTGATGTGTACGTTGTTTGAAAATTAAATTATCTTTAAGAAATAAAAAATTCATTAAATATATAGCTGATTCACGGATAGGTTAGGACGCCAGGAGGCGTGGCCTGTCAGCAACCAGGGGCTGTTATTTTGGTGTCAGGACCCTTTTTCCGAAGGCTCAAATCCGTGAATCAGAAAAGTAAAATTTTTTTAATATTATTAGCAATTCCGAGTTTCCTACAATGTTCTTAGGGTTTGAAATTTCGAGTCTTTTCTCTTTTTTCAGTATATCAAAAAGTCTGCTCAGATTTAAAATGTAAAGTCATCGCTCAAGCTCCGCCCCTAATGACGTGAGAAACCAATTAGAGAGCGAGCCACCCATGGAGCGGTTTTGAATGACGTCATTGTACCATTTTGAATGACGTCTAATCATTAAGAGACCAATTACTTGACTGATACTTCTTTTTCAGATGTGAAAGAAGCGCCCTTTATGCAGTATTATCCGACGAATATCTGATGCTGAGGACGGAATTGAAAATGCGGCTGGCAAAATGCCCGAAAAGTTAACACATTTGATAATAAATGATGAAAATTGACGGTCACTGCTGAATTATCTTTAATAATTCCATGTAATAATTAATTTTTTTAGATTTTTGAAATCTTGTCACGTTTTTTCGTCTTGCATAAATTTATTATTTTTTTATTTTTTTGGTTTTTTTTTGCTCGTTCCATACGATTCAAATGCCTTTATTAGTGAAGTTGGACTCAAAAATTTTTTCAAATTTTATTTTTTGGTTTTAGTCAGTCAATACGACTAGTAGTTGAAAAAGAGTTTTTTTTGAAACTATAAAAAGATTTTTTTGAAATATATTTTTATGTCTTCATACCGTCCAATAACTCATTTATATACAATTTGAATCATATTTTAGATTTCTTAGTAGCGTTTATAAATCGCCGTTGCATCTCGCGTCGTAGCATTTTTGCCAGTTGAAGTCCTCGCGATCTCCTTCACGAACTCGATGGCTTTCAAGCGTTTGTAGGGCGCTAGTTTCTCTGAAAAATCGAATTTTAAGCTTCAGGAATAAGGGTTTTTTGAAATTTAAATTTTCTCGGAAAGTGCGCTAGGAACTCTTTCAAAAATAAGAATTCCATTTCAAAGCTTTTAAATTTTGGGCTCACTGGCCAATAACTTCAACTTTTTCGTTTATTATAGAAGAGAAATGAAATAATTGGAATTTTTTTAGAGGTTTCAAAAATATTCCAAGATTCCAATTGCCTAGAATCCCGGGAAAAACTTTTTTTATTGGTTCCATTTTTTTAGAAATTAATCTCTTTTTAAACCTGCTAATATGATTCTCGAGAAATTTTCAGTACTTACTGGAAAAAAACAAAGGTTACTGTACTTGTCGGTCCGGCACTCTTTGAAAACTTTTTTTATCTCTGTTTTTTTCTTGTATCTTGTGGCTTCAAGAAAAAAAAATTATCAATACCCCAGCTGCTGACAAAGACGGCAAGCTCCAAAAAAAAGAAGCAATTTAAAAGGTAAAACAGAAAAATATGCAAATTTTGGACACATCTCTGTAAAATTTTGACAAAATCAATACTCCAACTCACTGCCAACGAAGTCTTCAAGCTGTCGAACGTCGACATCAGACGAGACGACGACCGTTGCGACGGGCGCCTCGCCACGTCGTTCATCAACAACTCCGAAGACGCAGGCGTCCCTGACCGCCTCGTGCTCCAGAAGCACCGACTCGAGCTCGGCCGGCGCGACCTGCTTTCCGTTGACCTTGATGAGCTCCTTAGCGCGGTCGCAGATGAACGTGTCGCCGCGCTCGTCGAACCAGACGATGTCTCCTGGATTTCGATTCCTTGATCTGGTCTGGGTCTCTTGGGACATAGAAGTTTGAAAAATTCATGTTAATGTGCTGGAAACGTTTTTCAGGTCTAGCCAAACACAAAAATAGTTGAAAATCTTTTTTTGTAGCTTGAAAAGCCCAGTAGAGCGCAGAAAAGGTCACAGTATATCAGAACGCGCAAGTAGTTTCATGGTCGCGTGCACTTCTCATACGCATTTTGATATTTCTACTTCAGCCGATTACAGTAACAGGGTGGTCAGAAGCGAGAGAACCCGGTTCGAAGAGAGGCCAGAGAAGCAAAGAATCTCTCGTTCTCTGGCCTCTCTTCCGAACCTCAAAACTCTCCCTATAATAAGCTCAACTCAAGAAAGCAACGGAGACCTAGAGGAACTTCGAAGAACCAGAATTTCTTTCTCTGCCGTCTCTTCAGGTTGCGGGGCTTTTTTTTCTGAACGAACCAGTCCTGAGGAATCCGTCGTCATTCAGGACCTCGGCCGTCTTTTCCGGCTGCCTCCAGTAGCCCTTCATGACCTGTGGACCTCGGATCCAGCACTCGCCGATTTGACCAACCCCGCATTCGTTTCCGTTCTCGGAGATCACCTTCAAGGGGATAGGTAGAAACTTTTTCCATCAAAGATTAGGGAGACTTGATAGGTTACCGTCATACGAACTGGAGCAGGTGAAGAGGATTACCAAACTTTGGGAAGAAAATGCGTAAAATCGATTTTGTTTCATAGTAGTAGGTTTTAGTTTTATAGGAGTAGTGTAAACCTTCATTTCAGTGCCCGGAACAAGGCGCCCAATACTTCCCGGAGGACTTTCCGGGCTCATGAAATGGGAGGCGCATGTAAGCTCCGTCATACCGTAACCTGAAAAAAATTGTTACTTTTTTCAATATTATTTTTTTTTCCTACCTTCCCCAATCCGGACATTTGGCAGAATCTTCTGAATCTTCCGTACGGCGCTCTGCGGAAGCGGTGCGGAGCCGCTGCTGATGGATAAGACCGACGAAAGGTCGAACTTGGACATTAGTGGGGAGTCGCAAAGGCGCAGGAGTACTGCAGGGACCAGCGAGAGCTGCATCAGCTGCGAAAAAAGACTTTTTTGTGGGATTATTTGGTAGAGGAAGGCTTGAAAAACCCTGTTTTTAGCGGCGGGACGAGTTATTTTAGACTTTATTCATATACCAGCTTTTTATAATTTCATTTTCTTCCTCTGAAATTTCCATGCAAAAAAACTTCAGAAATGCAAAATAAACCTTTTTTTGGAAACTTTTCAACAACAAAAAAAGCTTGGAAAGTCCATTTTTTTCGGCGGCTTTTCATCAAAAAAACTTGATTACAGATTTTTTTCCCCCATATTTCAGCTTTTTAATAATCCCCACTTAAACTGGCGAAAAAAATTCAAAAAAACGCAAAATTTTTTCGAAGATTTTTTTCCGGCATTTTAATGAAGATTTATTGGACTAATATTGAAATTAGGAGACTAAAATATTTACTTAGTCCTGAGAAAATGCAAAAAAATTTTGATAATTTCCAAAAATTTGATTCCTTGCTGTTTAGTTTTTTTCAATGTGAAGGTTACATTAAGAGTATAATATAATTATATTTTTTTGGAGATTTTTTTCATAGGAATGTTTTTCATTTTTTTCCGGCAATATCAGACTCGTCTGCCCCAAAAACCCCCAAAAACACTTTTTTGGTCTACCTTGACCTACCTAATATACACTGAACCGCGTGGTTTTCGTTCTTAATTTTTTTTTTTCACAACACTTCATTTTTGATTTTTATTGTTTTTTTTGTACTTTAGAAACTTCTGAGTGATTTTTATAGGGGCAAAACTAGGGCTTGATTTAGGAGCTCAGGGGTCGGTTCCTAAACCCGCATAGAGACCACTCCCCCCCCTCTCAACTCACCGCGTGTTCTTGAACAAGCTCCAAGACACGTTTCAGGTCAACTTTTGCCATTATAATTTGAGTCGTCCCCTGGTAAATCGATACAAATGACCTGAAATCTTATTTTTCATTCAATTTTATTTTTAAAATTTGCTAAAAACCCCACCTAAAAAGTCCCATAGCGTGGTAAATCGGCAAAAATTGCAAAGCCATCGGAAGAGCGAAATCCTCCGGCAGACCTCTCTTCACCATGTCTTTTCCGGTTTTCCTGAACGGAAATATTTTTTTAAGCCACAATTTTTTAAACTTTACAATACGAAGCTGGTTAGCATTGAAGAGTAGTTCATGTGTGTGATCATGACGCCCTGAATTTTTTTCTTTTTCTTTTTTGACTTTTGAATTTTTTATTTTTTTCAAGTTTGTTTTTCCAGTGATTTTTCTCTGAAAATTCGGTAATTTCTAAGTTTTAAAGTTTTTTTTCTCGCATTTTTAGGCTAGTTATTCAACATTTTCTTTTCAGGAACCAAAACCTTCGGCTTTCCGGTCGTCCCGCTCGAGTACGGCAGCAGAAGAAGGTCGATTTTGAGGTCAAACTTTGGAGGTACGAATTTCCTCCTTGATTTGTAGTGGAATAACTCGGAAATATTTAAATTTGAGTCAAAATTTGGAGTTAGACAAACAAAGTCCTAAATTAAAAAAAATTAAGTTTGAATTTTTTTAGCGAATAATAACCTTAATCCCTAAATTGGAACTTATCGCCTCTTTAGCCGTTTTTGAATGTATATTTATCAACCACAACGAGTTTCGCTGTAGCATCTTCCAATTGACCAGAAAGCTCGTCTGAAATCCATTTTCTTGAGAAATCTTATTTTTAATTTAAACATACATTTTGTAAATTGTGGACTCGCGCAGGAGACGATCAATCCAGCATTCCAACATCCCAAAATGAATGGAAAGTACCGCCAGTCGTTATAGGTGCAAATTAGGGCGATATCGCCCTGAAAAGATTGTTAAAATTGAAAAAAGACACACGCAAAAAAATTAATGATGAAAGCTCGTATGCGCAATGCGCTCCACGGATAAACGTCGCGAAAATTTTCATTTCAATTTTTTTTCGAAAGACCCCAGTTTTCGGAGTTTTCTCTTTCCATTTGCCTTTCCTTTGTTAAATGATAAACCTTGATATAGCCGTGATCTTGTAACCAAGCCGATACACCCAAAGAGTAATCGTGGAGCTGTTTGAAGGTGATAGAGTCATTTGCGTCTTCCGCCGCGACTAACGCCGTCTTTTCCGGCCATTCCAAGCATTTATCCAGAATCCGCTCATGAACTGTCTTTGTAGGTAGCTCCAACCCGAATTCGGACCTAACGATCATCTTTCCTAAGTCTTGATTAAGGTTTTTTTGAGGGTTTTTGAAGAAGCGGGACGAAAAATGATGATAGGAATTTCCTATAAAGAGATTATCATATGTAGTTTGGGATTTGAATATTTTTTTAAAAAAATTCTTTTTTTCTCAATGTTCAAAATCGCCCAGCCAGTCCGCCTTTTTTTGTTCATGAAATCAGGTGTTCGAACTAGATTTTAATGAAATTTATTGATTTTTTTGCAAATCGAAATAAATTTGAATCCAGAACAAAAGTATTGATAGGTTTCAAATATCAGAAAATCAAAAAAATGAAAAAAATTTTTTTGATTTTGAGATTCTAATTAAAAAAACCAGTGTAGTCTGTGTCAAAGCGGAATTTTTTTCAACTTATTTGATTTTTTTATTTACTAAAATGTATCCCTTAAAAGCTGTTTTTAAATTTTAGCTATGCGCCTTTAAAAATCCCAGCAAAAGTTTTATAACTGACTTTAGAGCGATCATAGTATTATTGAGGAACTGAAAAAATATTGATAAGAAGCTTAAAAGTCAGCTTTTCCCCGGGAAATTGCAAAAAAAAGGGAGAAAGTTCAAAAGAACTTCACGAGAAGGAGCAAATTTTTATAAATGAACGAAAAAAGGTCCAAAAACCAGGCTGATCCACCAATCTCGCCACAAGTTTCGCTACAACGTACCCTCTCTTTCCCTACATGCGGCCGCCGAGAAACGGAAAATTTATTTTATCGAAAAGTTCTCTTATCAACAACAGATCATTCTGAAGAAACAACACACACACATGCGATATGGATAACTACGGTCAAGGCAAAAATGAACCCATTATTTTGAAAAATTCGAGGAAAAATAGGAAAATGAGGGAAGACAGGATAGTTTCAAAGCTGAAAAAACAGAAATTTCGAAGGATATTGAGCTTTTTGGACTAATAATTCGACGAAAATCAAATTTCTTTTTTCGTAATTTCCGCTTGATGGAGTTCTAAACGAATCAAAAGTTCAAATTCTCGAAATTTTTCTTTATAAAATGAAAAATAAGGCCTTCGACTGATTATTTACGGTCCGTAAATCAAAAAAATTTTTCAAGCGTAGGAAAAAAATCGAAGAATTTGCAGCAGGGGAGATTCGAAACTCGGAAATTTACTGATTTTGGACCCATTTACGGACTGTAAACGATCGAAAAAAAAATTCCTGTATTTTTGAATAGAGATTTTCAAGAAAAAAGAGAAAAAGCCATTTCGTGAAGATTTACGGTTCGTAAAGGTCTAAAAAATGGGGCTTTGAAATGAAATTTTTGCAAAACGTAAATATTGATAATAAGAAAAAAAGTTAAATTTTGAATTTTTCCTTTTCTGGAAATCATTTAAGGTTCGTAATTCGCACAGGAATGAAAAAAATCGAGCTGATAAAAAAAGAAAACTGAAAAAAACAATTCCCAGAGGTCATGAAAACTTCCTAAAAAACCCATTTTGAACAGAAAAAAAATTCGAAAAATTGAAAAATTGTATCACAATAGATAAATCGATCACATAGAATTTGAACAATTTTCAGAATAAATTTCTGAAAAATTAATAAATATTTATGCCCAAACGTCCTCGACGTAACGATCCGTCTTTTTCAGCTCCAACATCCTCTCTTTCGCTTGAATTGGAGTTAGTCCTGGAAAAGTTCGATTTGAACTTTTTGCTGTTCTTTTTGAAGATCAACCTTCTCCCTGCTGAACGATATCAGTGAAGCACTGATAAACGTCCTTTGACATTCCTTTCGCGTCGCCGCAAATGTAGATTTTCGAATTTTCCACGTTTCCAGCCTTTAGGAAAGGAAGGACCTTAAAGTTTGATGTTGATGGCGTTTAGGGACTCCAGAGTGGTCTTTTTAGGGGCAACCTTAGGATTGCTTGAAGGTTACCCTTTAGGGGCCACTCTGCCTCCCCCTAGAGGGGTCACTTTCGCGGAAAGTTCAATAACTTGGCGATTTTTGAATGAAAAGTATCAACAGAGGATCAATTGATCAAAGCGAGACTTGAAACTGCTGTTTTTCTCTGAACCCTCCTCGTCTCTCGGCGACCCTCTCCCGTAGAAGTGCTCTTTTCATGTTTCTCTCCCTCCCCCGGCGAGAGACAGAGAGACGCAGACACTCGAAAACTTTCAAGTCGCGGCGAATGGACTATAACCCCTTCCCGCTGAATTTTTACCTTCTCGGTTGACTTTTTCAAGCCTTCCTGAACACGTTCGTTGTTCACTTGGCTCTCGCAAACCACCAAGTCGCTCAAAATCCCTTCCCGGAGGAACGTTTTCAGCTCGTCACTGTAGGAAAAATCATGAGAGTTTTCGATTTTTTCATCAACTCACAAGTACAAAGAATCTTTCTTTGCGTCTCGACAGCCGAAGAACAAAATTCTAGTAACACCTTTAGGGAAATTCGCCTCGTCTTCAAGCTTGGCTTTCCTGGAAAAAGGATGAGCTATAAAATCTACAAAAAAATAAAGTGCGAAGATAAACGCGCTCTACGGAGAAAAAGCCCGCAAAGTTTGAAAAACAGAAAAATTAAGTTTTTGAGTTTTGCCCATCTAAAAAGTCCAAAAACGCTGTGTTTCTATAAATGATCTAAAAACAGAAACTTACAACAAAAAGTGACAGAAGGACAGGAAAACGGCGACGCCGGTGCCAGGTCCGACCATCAGAAGGGGCATTTTCAGAGCTTCGGCCTGGCTGGCTGGAGGCGGCGGCAGACGGAATCTCGCTGGCTCCTTGCCAAGAACCTAGATAATTCACAAATCGACTTCTTCTCTACATGTGTTTGACTTGAACAGCTATATGACAAAAAATAGGTGCGTAAAAATTGCGAGTCTTTTGGAACCTGATAGCAGAGTCTAAAATTGTAAAAAAAAAATTCGTGCAGCTCTTTTTTTGAACCGATTTCTCCTCGGCAATTTTTTCAAAGTTATTCGGAAACCATGATACAAACATTAAAATTCGGAACAAAATTGCTCGTTTTTTTTTAGAATTATGATGATATGACCCCGGAAATTAGTAAATGATACCTTTTTAAAATTAGGGTAAATGAACGGGGTGCAAAATTCTGCCGTACTTGACGAAATTTGGTTGAAACTCGTGCTCTACGGACAACTTGTAGACTATTTGATGCCCGATTCTTTTTTAACCAATAAAATGAAAGGTATTACCCGTGGAGCGCCCTTTCAAACCATTTTTTTTTTACTGACTGCGGCAAAAAATTTTCATCGCTAATTTCTCGTTGTAACCTTCTAAGATTTACCACTCTAGGGGGCACTATTTTGTCCCCTAAAGAGCTTTTTCTTTTCCTAATCACTCTAGGGATCACTCTGACTTTTCTAAAGTTGTTTGATCCTAAACCCGTTTTTCTGAGGGCAAGTGGGCGTGGCTCCGTGCTCCCTACAAAAACTCACTTGAACGGTATCTCCGACCCTCAGACTCTGGAGCCATTCCGTGGCGAGTCCTTTCCGCTGATACCTCCGGCCTTCCTCAGCCGTGAAAGTCATCTCGGAGTAGACGAATCTGACCCTTCGCTGATCGTATGATGACATACTGTAGGGACGGGGCATCAATCGTGGCAGGAGTTCTTCAATTTTCAATCAACTTCTGATTTTTCCGGATTGAACTACCAATAAGTCGGTCTACTGGAGGTCTGACACTGGGGAAGGCTAGGAGGACGTCGACGACGGAGATTCCGGCCTGAATATGGGCAAAAACTTCAAAGAAAACTGTTTTAAAAAAAACTTCAAAGAAAAATCTTCTCACTGAAACTTTCACTTATTCGCTTTCAAATTTCAAGCTATCTGGGTGTATTTCGATCGCTCTCTTCTCGAGCAAATTCACCTTCTTCTAACCGTTCCTCACTCCGATATTTATTACAGGTCACATTTCGACTTTTCAGCTCGTATTTCCAACATTCAATCATAGTTCTCGACATTTACCAATGAAATTTGGTCATATTTCCCAATCTACCTGGCGAATAAACTCTGTGAAATCGGCCATTCCCTGGGCACTGCACAGCTCCAACAGACGACGTCGTTCCAAGGCGTTTTGGGCACTGTCGGCCAGAATTCGGAGTAGAGGCTGTGGTAAAGAATTCTTCAATATGTAATCATAATTCATTTTTCTTGGCTTTAAACTGCGGCACTTTCCGTACATGGGAAATTTCATTGATTGTCCTTTTTTATTTTTTCTCAAGTTTCCTGTTGAAAAATTCGTTTAAACTTCAAAAAAGATTCTTTCGGATTATATTTTATATTGGGGCCAAAACGCGCCGCAGCCGCTCTGCATCTGAACTGCCGTTTCAAGCCGAGAAAAAGGGGATTGTCAAGTTCAAAAACCCGTCCAGGCGCTCGACGAATGTCCAAACAGTAGGTGAAAAGATGTCTCAACGAGCTTTTCTGATGGACATGCCCGGGCAAAGTCGCGTTGATTTTCTCGGTTTTCGGGTGGATCGATAATTCCAAGACTTGATCCGCCACGTCTAGCATTCCGGCTCTGTAGATTTATTCTTGTTTTATGGATTTTTAGGGGTGAAAAATGGATAAATTTGATGAAGTGTGAATTTTTCGAGCCAGTGTGTTTTTTACAACGAAGATCGCAAAAAAATGAATAATTTTTTTCTACGAGTTTAGCTAATCAAAATCATTTTCAATCTAAGAAATTTGAAACTTCAAATATGTCACTTATTTTTCCTCTTCAAAAAGTATCTTTTTTTATTGGATGGATCTTTCAATTTATTTTCGATGACTTTCTTGTTAACAAGATAGGAAGTTTGATAAGTTTCCCAGCCTTAAAAAGCAACAGTTTTGAATGACTTCGCTTGAAAATTAGGCGCTTTTCACTTTTATTAAAATAAAAACCCTCGATAAAATATTTCCATTTTGTTTTCTAGTTTAAAAGAACGATAATCCCTAAAAATCAGTGATATTTTCCCACAATTTGACCAGGAGCTTTTTCGAAATCCATGTAAGAACCTTGGAAAAATTAAAATTTCTTCATTTTCACCTACTTTTCTCCTAAACAGTTCTAGTAATAAGTCAAATTCGAAGAAAATCCCAACTTTTCTCAATTTTTCGAACAAATTTTCGGAATTTGCATTTTCTGTACATTGAGAATTGACTAGAAATGCGGACTTTCAAAAATTGCCTTTTTGCCTTTTTTCATGCCTTTTTTCCCACGCTTACCTTTTCAAGATATAATTAACTTCGGGCTCCGGGTTCGGCACAATGAAATACATGGCATCGCCGGGTTCATAGGCCAATCTGCTCGAACTTTCTAAAAAAAAAATTTGTTTTCAATTTTATATTTTATCTTTCTAAGTCACCTCCCAAATCGATAAGAATCTCCCATTTCGGCTTGGCCGCCTCGAAATCCGTCACGATTGCCGTCCCGACAACCCTCGCTTCGATCGCCTCGGTTACTTAGAAAAAAAGGATATCAGATTCAAAGTGAGCTTTTTCATTACCTACACCGACCATTTTGCATGCGTTTTGCCATTTTAGGTCTTTAGGCTGGGACCATTTTTGGTGGGAAACGGTCGAAACGATGTAATGTTGAGGGGCGATCGGCACTCGGAGATTTTCGTCTTTTGACAAGGCTTCTTTGCCTTAAAATTCGTCGTTTTTGAGAAAGTTCTTTTTAAGGACCAGTGATTTTTTATTAATCTAACTACACGGGCAAAATCCTAAAGTTCTCAAAAAAACCTTTTTCTGAAAAGGACCTTTAAAGAAGGTAAGAAAAAAGAAGGAGGCAGTGAAAAGATGAAAAAAGGAGATTCCGAAAAACTTTTGTCCCCTTTTAAGGAACTCAAAAAAGAGCTTCAGGCCCTTCTTTTTAAGACTTTTTTTTTTACGTCGTTTAAACTTTTCCTGTGTACTTTTTTCCGCATTTCATATAAATCCTCACGCTTAGTAAGATTAAGACTCACTGAGAATAACTCTTCGTCTTCAGAACTTTATTAAATTTTGCTATGCTCCTTTAAACACTTAGTAATCATCTTGAATCGACGAAAATATGAGCTTTCGCCTTATTACGGGTAGTGAAAAAGATACAAAGTTGAGAATACGATGAAAGGACAAAAATCAGTGTATTTTAACACTTTACATGGTTTTCAGAGCTCAATCTTCGAAAATTCATCAAGTTTTTAAAGAAAAAAAAATGGCAAAAAAAATTTCACTCGAAAGATTCGAACCTACATCATGGACTTCGTAGCGCAAGGCCGCTAGCCACTACACCACACCGCATGGTGCCGGTTTAAGTTAGCCGCCGCACCATATTCCTTAAGTTAATTTGCGTGCAAACTTTGAGGGCCATGACTCGACTAAAAAGTAAAAAGCGCGCTTTTTTTTTCAACTTCTGTGGAATCAGGGTGTTTTAGAGTACCTATGAACCAAGCTTCATCAAATTTTCATTACCCGCTTTATAAAATTTGCATATTCTTCTTCAAAAACCCCAGCAATCACCTTTGATCAACGAATACTCTGGATACTCAAACGGGACACTTTGTAGGGTCTTGTGCCGTTCCGCACTCAGAACGTCGATCTCATGCTCGTGCTCCTCCTCGAGCTTCTCCTCCTCCTTGAGCTTCTTCTGCTCCTCGAGCAACGCCTTCTTCTCCTCGTCGCTCTTGACCGGGTTCAGCGACATCTTGGCGTCGTTGAGCAGCTGCAGCTTGTCGGGATTCAGGCCGAACCGCTCGCAGAGCTTCTTGAGAAGTTGCTCGACCCACGGCTCGACGGCGAGTTCCAGCCTGTAGCTTAGTCGTGAGTTTGGAACGGGAAGTTCATTTTCAAACCCGACTTGGTCATCGGCGGCGCCAGTTTCGATCACTTTTTTGGCTCCGAGGGCCTTTAATTGTCGGTCGATTCGTTGGGGAACGGCCTGGTAGCTCGAGTAGTTGGAATCGCCGAGTCCTGGTTTTGGGAAAAATGGTCTTTAGAACGGATTTTTTCGTATTATCTTATCTTGCCAGAGTCTTGGGTTTGAAATAAGTGTGATCTTTGAAAGGCAAATATTTCAACTTCTATTTCGGGTGAGAAAAATCCACAAAATTTTCAGAGTGACGCTATTTTTTTTTTACATGAAAATGCAGAAGTTGGCCGTTTTAATCCGAGAAAAATGGAGTAATTTTGAAAAAAAGCCTTTTTAACAAATTTTGGACAATAACTTAACACAGGGAGACCCTATAAAGTCCCTATTTTTTTTTTCAGAAAATCAAATTACGCTAATTCATGGAGTATTATGTCTTCTGAAGAGGCCACTTTTGGAGGTGAAGTGGTCCCTAGAGCGCAACCTTCCAAGACCCCTAAAAGGACCACTCTGTAGTTCCAAACATGATGATAAAAGTTTGCTTCGAAAATTCATTTCAACGATATTTTTGATGAAAATAAATCCCTGTTTCTCGGGAAATATTTAAGGAAAACAAATCAAAAAGAGCGATGAACATGTGGATATGGCGATTTAAAATTTCTGGAAAACGAAACCAAAAAAAAACCTAACAAAGCGTACTCCAAGCCGGCCAAATAATCATCGGCTAGTGTTTTTCGCGAAATCCGACGAACAAAACGGGCGCAATTTTCCGGGGAATCTCCGTCTCCGGTCGAGGAAACGACTATTGTGCAGAACTTTTCCTCATTCAAGTTAAACTGAAATGAAAGAAATTAGTGTGATTTTTTTCTTCCTTTGAACATAAAAAGATTCACTTTACTTGCAAAAATTCGATTATGAAGCTGGCGCTTTTTTTCTGAAGGTACTGTAGCTTTCTGGAAGGAGTTTTGGTCCGCAAATTTTCGTGAGCGTGAATTGTGCATACACCAATCATGGAGGCTCACAATAAAACGACAAAGGAAAGAAAAAATGAGAAAAAAGTCAAAAATTAGGTGAATTTTTCCAACAATCGTTTTCCAAGATTCAAGTTTTCAAAGATTGGTGTATGCACAATTCACGCTCACGAATATTCGCGGACCCAAAATTTTTCTTTGTTATAGTCAATGTTTCCCGACTTGAAAGGCGAGGGAGGCGGGGCAAGGGGCGGGACGCGTAGCGTGTGCGTACGCGGTTCTTGGCACGAGTTCAATTCAATCGCCGCCGACTAATTAAAAAAAGCTCGGCAACCGCTCTTTTTTTTTTTCTTCTATTTTTTTGATGCACACATGAACATAATCAATAAATAATTAAAAAAGAAGTGAAAAGAGCGATAAATAAGCTCTCTGAATGCTCGCTAGCGGTTGAATTGAACACGTGCCAAGAACCGCGTACGCACACGCTACGCTTCCTGCCCCTTGCCACGCCTCCCTCGCCTTTCAAGTCGGGAAACATTGACTATAACTCCTTCAAAAAAACTTTGATAGACTGGGAATCGAACCCACATAGTTGCTATCTGCGGAAAATTTCAGTTTTAGAGATATAATTTTTTTAAATTGCGGAATATGGATTTCATACCAAATTCTTCCAAAATTTGCAACCTCTAAATTGGAATTTTACACAGATAGCGACAATGCGGGTTCGATTCTCAGACAAGGATCTTTTGAGCAAAATTACAAAAAAGTTTTAGAAAGATCTCAGACACTTTTCGATAATTTTGGGACGAAATTGTTTTTCTAATTAATTTTTCTCTTCCAAAACTCTCAAATAAATCCAAAATGTTGGCGTAACCACTCTAATAACCGCCAGCTTGTTTCCGAAATTTGATAAAATCGAAATATTTTTCAATATTTTCGAAACAAAAACAAATAAAAAGTTTTTTTCAAACTTTAGTATCTATTTTTGACCTTTTTACCAGTTCTTGAGCCTTGCAATAGAAATAGAAGCGTTCAGTTTTGAAAAAAAAACTTCTCGTTATGCTTGTCGAAAAAGTTTTTCTTTGAAAAAAAAAAACGGATTTTTTGAAATGAACTACTAATCAATTTTTAAAAGTGAAAAAAAAATTGGTTGATTCCAGAAATAAGTTTTTTGGACTCATAGGGAAATTCCTGATCTATATCTCATGTAAAAATTGTAAATTTATGACAACAAAGTTTTCGAAAAAAAAAATCACAAGAGACAGGAATGTGAGTGACAATCCAACACTGGATTTGACATGAAAATCTAGAAAGAAAGTTCGAAAAATTTCAAATTCTCAATTAGTTTCTTCTCAATTTAACGCCTTTTCGAGTTTTTTTTTTTCAAAAATTTCAATTTTTCACCTGTTTCTCGTTTTCATCAAGAGTGAAGAGACGAGGCTTGAGGCCCAAAACCTCGGCCTTATCTTTGAGTTCCTTGGCGATCGTCTCCGCTTGGCCCGTATGAGAGCCGTAAGCTATCAGGAAATCACCCATCTTAAGAATTCCCATGAAAAAATGAAATTCAATACAAAAAAAATCGAGAAAAAAGCAGCCAAAAGTGATGAAATTTCGGAAAAAAAAGTGAGGAAAAAATAAATTAATTGAAAAATTAATACAGAGGGACATCAAAATGACTTGAAATTGTTTTAAAACATACGAAGGGACACTGAAAATCGGAAATCACTTGGGAAAGTGGTGCGATCAATGCCCTAAATGCAGCGATTGCGTCATAAATGCCGAAAAATGATACCAATGAACAATTTTGAGTATTTATTTTTAGATTTTTCAGCTTTAATTTTGTTATATATTGAGAAATCGACAATTTATCGCAAGTCGGAAAACATTGAAAAAGTATATTAAAGGTTCAAAAAGTAAATTTCACTTAAAAAAATTATTTTTTTAGACAAAAAAATAATGAAAAAAATGTCCAATTAAAAAGGCGATTACTGGAAATTTGCATTTTTTTATTTTTCTATTCATATAAGCTTCCTATTCTTTCAAATCGTGTAAATCGCTAATGACGAAATATAATAAAAAAACATTCGTTTCACAGCGAAAATTTCACCTAAAATCATCAGATTTTCTTCAAAAACTCTAGAAAGCTGTTATGAATAGACTAGGAACTTTCAGCAACCAAAAGTGAGTCCAAAAATGAAAGAAATTGGCAGAATCTGTTTGATCAACGAGAAAAAAGTTTGCCAGCGCTGAGACAGACAAATGCGCCCCAGCGAACTCGTAAAAATTTTTGGCGGGCCGCCAGAACAGCCAACTTTTCTTTCCAAGGTTGTTTTCCAGCACGCAACCTGTTTTCCTTGTCATTTTGTCTGTCAATGCGGTTTCGATTGATTTTTAATGTCCCTATTGTCTAAGTAGTTTTTAAATGAAAAAAATAACGTTACATGTTAAGAAGTGTGTTGAGAGGAAAAATAGTATTATTTTCTTTTTTTCAAGTTGAAATGTGCTATGATTTTTTTTTTTTTTCTGAAATAGCTTCTTATAATTTTAGGGCCTTCTTGTGAAGATTTTTTTATGTATATTTTTTTAAACTTATGTTTTTTTCTGATCCTCTATTTTTTTGCGACCTAGATGCCTTTCTCAATACGACCAACGGAGAAAAAAAAAAAATCTTAACTGGGCTTGAAAATTTCGGGGCATTTCTCTGTGTAAATATTTGATTGAGAGTCGGTTCGTCGAGAGAAACGACGCCCCTAGGCGCGCAATCGATACGTCGCAAGCGGCTGGAAAACTCGCGCACGTGCTTTTTTACGGCCTTCTTGCGAACGTTCTGTTATTCGCGTCATCGCTGTTAAGCTTTTGAATGTGTTTTGAATCTTTTAATTTGTATTTTAGTAGTCATTTAGTTCGCGTTTTTGGTTTTAATGATATAATTAATTTTTTTAATTGTTTGGCGTTTATTTTCTTCAACTTTGATCAAGGATCCTTGTTTAAAGGAGCATGGACAATTTTCATGAAGGTTTCGAAGCGAATAGTTCCAATCCATGCGTTTGAACACCGCAAGAAGATATTTTAATACCGTGTTCAAAGTGATTGCAAAATTATCTCTGACCCTTTAAAATTTGGTTTTTTTTTTCTCTGACGACTATTTTGAACTTCGCGGGATCTTTTTTTACACGACGTAAATAGAAATAATCGAATTAGAAACTTTAATGTGGGATTTGATATTGAAATTGAGCAAGAATTCAATTTAAATTGTTCCCTTTCGAGACTTTTTATGATGGAATTTTAACCAATGAGCCTCAAAATATATTAAATTTTTCCGTGTGAAAATATTTTTTTCTCACCAAAAAAGGGTAAGTTTGAAGATACAATTGAAGTTTGCCAACAGCGACAAAAAAAGCAATTCGATTACCACAAAGCTGGTTTTTTTTTTCGCGTCTTTCAATGTCTTTTTGCGATTGGTCGGCTGGTTGCTGACCGCATTGTGTTGCGTTCGCCGCTCTCCCACTTTACCATCACAATTTATCGATTTTTTTCCCAGGCGCAGGATCAGCCTTCCTCAAGTTTGCAGCTTTCTTCGTGTCGTTTTACCTCTCGAGTTTCGAAATTAGTAGGATAACTTTTTGAAAATTAATTTTACGGGGTTATTTCAAGTTTTTTTGTCGCGTATTTTTTTCAAAAAAAAAATTTTTTCTTGTTTTTTTAGAATGTTGATTATAATCGGATTACTAGGTCTTATTTTTATTGATTTTTCAACTTTTCTGTGTTATATTTGAATATAATGTGTCATAAGTTCTATACCACTATTTTCAGTTGATCCATTGTTTAAGTTTAAAATCAAATTCATTGAGAATTCCGCGTCAATTCAATTTTATTTTCAAAAACCATTTTTCTTCCTAAAACGCGTTGAAATGACCTCATTTCTCTAGCTTTTTTTCATGAAATCGAAGTTTAAGTTTATTTTTAAAAAAAATACCCGTATGTTCAGGACTTTTTCACATGCATTTTTCGTACAAAGCTCCTTGAAGTAATCGAAAAAAAGTCCCGAAATGCGTGAAAAACTGGAAAAATATCGATTTTGCAGCTTTTTTTGTTCAGTTTTCAAGAAAAGTTGCTTGAGTTTTTTTTTTTCATTCGACATTTATACAAACTACTATAGTTAAGAAAACATTCTGTTCCATTTTTCAATTAATTTCCGTTCCCCAATAATGAATCTCTCTTATCTTGAAGAATCTTTTGCATCAATTGACCACGTAATTGAAAAATGCTACTAGATGCTAAAGTGGATCCGATTGATAAAAAGTTCATCAGAAAGGTCGACAAAAAGTGGCCATAAAACTATACGATTTCCCACTGAAATCGATCGATCGCCTCGGGGGGACGGGAAATGCGAGTCGATTTATAATTTTGGCGTCGTCTTATCGCTTCCCCCTCCGACGAATTGAACGTCCTTTCTATTTGATTTCACTTTTTCCTCCCCTCTTCAGCTCTCTTTCTTTGCTGCTCCTCGGCAACATGATACTTTTTCCTTTCATCCGAAAGGGAAAAAAAACGGCCTGAAGAAGACTTGAAACTCGAAAGCTTCCACAAAAAAAAGTGAAAAAACTTGAAATCCGGTGGCTTTTTTCTGAAAAAAAAGTTCTTTTACTGAAAGTTTGAAAAGGTATCTCTTTGGAAAAACTTTCGGAAGGTATTATTTTAGTGAAATTTTTGAAAAGATATCCTTTTAGTAAAGTTTGGAAAGATACCTCTTCAGTGAATTTTTTTTTTAAAAAGTAGAACTTTTTGAAGTGGCTCATCTACAGTTTAATGAAGGAGTTTTTCATCAAGTTTTTTTCCTTTAAAAAATCGATTTCTCAAACATATCTCTTTTTTTATGCAAACGAGAAGTATCGAAAAAAATAGAAATATCCGAATTTTTTTCTTACATGATGCTCAATCCGCTTATACAATAAAAAAAGTTAGAATCTTCGCCTATTATCTGCTTTCTTGGAAACAGAACCACGAATTTAGAGAACAAGTGTTTCATCTTGAAAAATAATACCACCTTTTTTTCTACTGCAAAAAAATTTCATTTTTTTGAGCCGTTTCTGTGTAGAAAAAAGCTCAAAAAAATTTTTTTGGTAGTTCATTTCAATTTTTTGAACCTCTTTCACCTACGTTTCAACACGCTTCTAAAAAAATCTTCCAAAGTGATTTTCTGTTGTCTCCAGTAAGATGTCTTTTGAGATCGAGAAATTTGAAAGGAATGAAAATTTTTTTCCATAAATTACTAGAATCCTACTCGCCACAATAAAATTTCAAATAAGGGACTTAATTATACGCTTTTTTTATCGTTAAAAAAATGATGGAAACTTTGAAAAAAAGGTTTTTATTTTCAGTCTTACTTGACTTTTTTGTTGGTAGATACGTTTAAAAAAAGGTTTAAGGTCCTTTTTGAACTTTTTTTAGATCAAATTTCCATTTTCCTGGTTACTATTCGACATTTTTCTGCCCTTTCTTATTTTTAAATTTGATTCGGGACAGTTTTTACGATAAAACAAAATACCAAAGGAGCTTTTTTCACTGTTTTTGTGGCCCTTCAAGATTTTGCACTTTTAAAACACCGAAGTTTTCGTTTGAATTGAATGTGGTTATTTCAAAAAAAGGACGGAAAAATAAATTTCGATCTATTTTGGATCAAATTTGAATATTCTTTGTTCTTTTAATTTACTTCTTAATTTTTTTGCGCTGATCGTTTTTTTTTTTACTCGTTTTTATGCTTTTTTTTTCTCATTTTTATGGAATTTTTCTTGAGAAAAAAATTTTTTTGAGGGATTTCATAGATTATTTGAAGTAAGGTCTTGAAAAGATCTCTCATAAAACATTCGATTGCTTTGATTTTTTTCAAAAAAAAATTTTTTTCTTTCTTATCTACTTATGTGCGGCAAAAACAATTTTTCTATTCGTTTTGACCTCTTTCAGATCGATTTTTTTTTGTTTTTCAGAACCTTGTCGTGTCTTATTATTTTTTTAAGTCCCGTTTAATTTCAAGATTTTTTTAGGGGATGCGATAAATATAACAATACAATGTCGATCTCACCGTCCAACAAACCGCCATTCACGTCGAAATTCCACTTGAGGCGCATCGGAACGACCAGAGAGAACGTCTCGAAAGTCGAGACTTGCGTTTTGTGAGTTATAATGATCTTGAAAGATTTTTTTGATGAATAATTAGAGCGCTTGTGTTGTTTTTATCATTATGGAGAATTGACTTTTTCTTAAATCTATTTTTGTGACTCTTAGAAAATAAATAATCTCTTTTTTTAAAATCAGAATCACCATATGATTATTCAAGTTGAGATGTTTTTCCCTTTTTTTGTCTATTTTTTTATAATAAAATAGGACGAAAATTGAATTTTTTTCCTGTTTTTCTACAACAAAAAAATTGACAAAATTGCAGTTTTTTTCTCTGTTCCTATTGATTCTTCGGAGAAAAAAATATAGTTTTAGAAACGTGATTTTTTTCACTGTTCGACCATTTTTTTCGTACTTTTTTTATAACAAAATTTGACGAAAAATTGAAGTTTTTTTCTTGTTTCATTAATTCTTTAGAGAAAAAAATACAGAGTTTGAAAATCGTGGATTTCTGGTTTTTTTGTTGTAGTTTTTCTACAATTCGAAAAAAATTTTTTCTTTGTTTCCAACACAAAATCACGAACTTTTGACTATTTCTTCCCGTTTTATCGAATTTTACAATGAAATTCCAGAGTATGAGAAAAATATTTTGTGATTTTCTATTTTTTTTTGTCACAAAAATTATGGAATTTTGAGGATTTTCCCTTTTTTTTAAATTTGAGAATACCTTTTCAGCATCTTTTTTGGGAGTTAGAAGTTTTTTTTTCATGATTTTGGATTTTTTCGAAAAAAACTATCACTTTTTGAAAATATTTTTTCAATGCACCAATGGAACATTTTCAGGCTAAGCTACTACACGAAATTCGGCCGAAACCCGGAAAAATGCGACGTCGTACTGACATCGGCCAATACAAGGTCTGAAATGAAAAAAGGATAATATGCGAAAAAAAAATGAAAATTCTCATGGTGTTTTTTTTTGAGGCTAGGGATTTAGAAAACAGATTTTTTTTTGCGGGAAAAAAAAAAATCATTTTCAAAGAAATTGGAAACCCTTGAGGAATAACTAGGGCCAGGCCTCGAAATTCCCCCTATAGGGGTCACTGAAGCTTGCCAAAGGGGCTATTTTAGGGATTTTAGTCAGTGGCCACTCTAGGGGAGCATGCTAGTGGCCTGTGCGTCTTTTAATTTAAAAATCAGAATTTAAACAATTTTTGTAAGATCACTGTAGGGACCACTTGAACTTTAAGGGCTCTGTGGTCAGATTTGAACTCCTATAGGGTCCACCTAAATTTCAGCCCTGTAGGGACCACTATCTTGTCCACTATAGGTGCGTTTTCTTTAATTTAAACGAAACTTGTTTAAATTGGATACTAGGAACATTTCTAGTGGCCTCTTTAGGGTTTTGAAATTTTAGTGGTCACTATAGCAGTCGAACTAGTGGCCACTTAAGGGGCAAAAAATGTAGAATCCAATTTAGAAGCCCAAGTGGTGCAATTAGACCACTTGAAGTTTTAGAGGCCACTTTAGGGATAACCATAACTGCTCGGGAAAAGTCGGAAAAATGGATAATGGCAGCAAAAATGCTCAAACAAGGCTGTACAAAGGGCCCTAAAAAGAGAGAAAAGATTCTCTTTACCGAGCCTGCCAGTTTTTTGTGTGATTTTGAAGTCTCAAAAATGGTGGAAAAAGGAAAAGTCAGCAAAATTGGTGCATAAAAGCCGATGAAATGACTCAAAAAGGCAGCAAAAGAGGAGCCTTTCTCACCCTAAAAGGAACATTTCTATGGAGCCTTTTTCATCCTTTTGACTTTGCCTATGTGCTCCAATCATCTTTTCTCGCAATTATTAAGATTTCTATGCAAAATTTTCAAACCCCTCTTTTTTTTTTCGAAGCGCCCGACACACATATAATCTTTGTCCCCGTTTTCCGAAAACACCTATAAAGAAAAGGAAAAGGTAGACTTTGCGTGAGTTGTAGCCGTAGAAACGCCTTGGCAACGGCCGTGTTGATAATTGTTTTGAAAAAAGTAATGTCCAATTTATTTTTGGATTCATTCGACATGTCACGAGATAGCCTACGGTAGAGGTAATGAGTGTGACAAAGGAAAAAAAAGCGATTTCCCGCTTATTTCCCCTTGGCATGAAATGGACATTTTGCACGATTACTGTGGTCATTTTGAGCTTTTGGTGCTTAGAACTTCACAAAAATTGAACAGAGTTGATTTTTCATTCAAAAAAAGTAGTTATTTCTACGCTTTTACTGTTTAGAACGTCATTAAAATTGATGCAAATCAAGTTTTTCATTCAAAAAGATAGTCATTTTTTTGAGCTTTTTGGATCACTAAAATTATAATAAATATATTTTTTTATTCAAAAAGAAGGGCAAAAAAAGGTCATAAAAATTTTTTAGTGTTCAAATAACCACTATAACGGCTCATCGTGGCGATACGATTTTTTTGAAATCAGTCAATGCTCCTTTAAAGTTTTTTTATCAAAAAAATTTTTGGAACATTTTTATCGAATTTGAAAATTAAGATTTAATAGAAGAATTGTTTGATTTAAAAAAAGGCCCATTTTTTTATAGCTCATGTAGGATTATTCGATTTTTCATGGGCCTTTTTTTCGAAATTTTAATGATTAAATAAGTGTTTCAAAAAAACGTCAGCTTTCAATTTTCAATTTTAGGCGATCTAATTTTGAGAAAAGCTCAAAAATGCCTCATTTGCCACGACTTGAACTTTTCTGACTTCTCTGCGCTCTCTTTTCTCTCGTTCTCATATGCTATTTCCACGCTGGAGAGAAAGAAAGAGACGCAGACAGGTCAGACTGTTTCAAGGCGGAAGAAATGAAGTATATAGCTAATTCACGTCTGGAGCCATCGCAAAAAGGGTCCTGACACGATAGGAAAAGAAATAGTGCCTGGTTAATGGAGAGCGCAGACAGGCCACGCCCCTTAGCGTTCCAAGCTAGCCGTGAATCGGCTATAGAAACGTAGAAATACATTTCTACCTTGAAATTTTCAGAAAAAGACTTTATATCCAATTTTTTTTTGATTTTTCAAAATTTTATGGAAGCTAAAAAAGAACTTATCAATTAATGAATTTTTTCAAGTTCCAGCCAATCGTCCAACATGATTTCCCGGGACCACGCCGAGATTTTGGGTCGTCGCGACGCCAACGGATTCATCGAGGGCTACACGATCCACGATTATTCCCTCAATGGAACCTATGTCAATGACTACAGGGTGAAAAATTGACAATCAGAAATGAAAAAGAACTGAACGGTTTCAGCTCCAGCTGTGCAAAAACGGCGCCGCCTACGAGCTGAAAGAAGGCGACGTCGTCAAGTTCGGCCACATGAATGGGGCGGCTGTGAGGCCCGGCCAGGAAGCGCCCCAGGTAATGAAGAAAACAGTTTTATCAGGAAATTTAAGGAAGAAACGGAATTTTTGAGGGAAAAATGAGACTTTCTAGGAAAAAAGGGAAATTTTTTGGGAAAAAATAACGATTTCGAGGAAAAAAAAGGAGACTTTCTACGAGAAAAGGTGACTTTTTAAGGTAAAATGAAGATTTTCAAAGTTAAATGAAGCCTCTAGAGGTAAAATGAAGCTTTTAAAGGTAAGATGAAGCATTTTGAGGTAACATGAAGCTTTTAAGGGAAATTGAAGTTTTTCAAGGTGAAATGCAGCATTTTTGAGGTAAAAAGAAGCTTTCTAAGGTAAAATGAAGCATTTCAAGGTTGAATGAAGCTTCTTAAGGTAAACTGAAGCTTTTTAAAGGAGAAATGGAGCATTTTAAAGTAAAATGAAACTTTTTAAAGGCTAAATGAAGCTTTTTTATGGTAAAGGGATACTTTTTGAATGAAAAAAAATAAGAATAAAAAAAATGGAAAATTTTTTTATGGCTTTCCTGGACTTATTTTAAAGACCAGCTGAGAAATTGAAATTTGAAAAAGCTTTTGGAAAACTCAAGGTGTCAGTTTTTAATAGAAACGGTTTTTTCAACCTTTTTTGCCCAGTTGAACAATTTGATAAATTAAAATAAATTATGAGGTTTTTTTTATGAAGGAATGGATGATTTGAAAACTTTCGGAAGGGTAAAAAAAAAGTTTTGAAAAAAAAGGTTTTGTATAGCCCAGGGCCGATGTTTGAGCTTCGAAAAAAGGAAAAATGTATGTCCTAAAGAAATGAGATTCAATGAGAGTTTTTGTTGTTGGCCGGTTGTACTTTTGATGAATCTTAGCTGAAATATAGTTTATGTTCAGAAAAATGTTTTGACGATCCAAAAAGCGTTTTTTTTTTGTGAATTTTCGTTGATTCTGCAAGTTTTAAAGCGTCATAATTCAAAAAGCAATCAATTTTCGTAGGTTTTTTTCCCCTTAAACTGTGCCGGATTGACCTAATTGTCCCAAGCTTCGAAGCTTGGGTTCAGCTTTTTTTTATTAAACTGGGCTAGAGGGGCCTAAATGTCCCAAGCTCTGAAAATTACGGTTAAACTTTGTTTTAAAGACGGCCGGAGAGACATAAATGTCCCAAGTCTTGTTTCTCATCGTCAAAGTTGTTTTCGAAACTTGGCCCGAGCGTCCTAAATGCCCCATGATTTAAATTGCAAGGTCAAGATATTTTTTTTAAGGTTGAGCCGGATAGAAATAAATGTTCAAAGTCTTGAATTTCAAAGTCAAGGTTTTTGTAAAACTTGGCCGCAGGGCCGGAGGTGCACCAAGTTTTGAAAGAAAGAGGAAAAATCTTTCATTATCTGGAAAGAGAATCTTTTTGAGCTCCTAAAAAAAGAGAAAATTTTCAGGCGTTCGCCGAGTTCTCGTTCATCGTCGAAAAAGCCGACCCGACGTTGCCCTACCTGGCCTTCACGGATCAGCATCAGCGGTACAGGGCCTTGTCGTGCCGCGGCGACACCTTCGCCTTCAAGGAACTCGAGCCCGAAGAGCGATATAAATGGGTAAGGGACCCCGTTGCAGGACCATATGGGAAAATTTTAAAAAAAAATTGGGTTTTCCAAGAAAACTAGACTTTTCCTCGAGTAAAATGATCCTTCTTCGTCAATTTATGGTTGGGTTTGAAGCTAGAAACGGGATTTTTCAAAGTGAATAGAACCGTGAGAAGATTTATTAGCCCTTTAGTGACCGCTCAAGCTGTAGGATGGGAGCTCTTCATTGACCACTCAAGCTTTAGAATGGGAGCCCTTCAGTGACCACTCAAACTCTAGAATGGAGCTCTTTAGTGACCACTCAAGCTCTAGAATGGGAGCCCTTTAGTAACCACTCAAGTTCTAGAGAGTGAGCCCTTTAGTGACCACTAATGCTCTAGGTTGGATACCCTTCAGTGACCGCACAAGCTGAAGGATGGGAGCCCTTTAGTGACCACTCAAGCACTAGAGAGTGAGCCCTTTAGTGACCACTCAAGCACTAGAGAGTGAGCCCCTTAGTGACCACTCAAGCTCTAGAGAGTGAGTCCTTCAGTGACCACTCAAGCTCTATAGAGAGGGAGCCTTTCAGTGACCACTCAAGCTTGAGAATGGCAGCCCTCTAGTGACAACTCAAGCTCTAGAGAGTGAGCTCTTGAGTGACCACTCAAGCTCTAGAGAGTGAGCCCTTTAGTGATCACTCAAGCTTCAGAATGGGAGCCCTTCAGTGACCACTCAAGCTTTAGAATGGGAGCCTTTCAGTGACCACTCGAGTTCTAGAAGGGAGCCCTTTAGTGAACGCTCAAGCTGTAGGATGGGAGCCTTTCAGTGACCACTCGAGTTCTAGAAGGGAGCCCTTTAGTGAACGCTCAAGCTGTAGGATGGGAGCCTTTCAGTGACCACTCGAGTTCTAGAAGGGAGCCCTTTAGTGAACGCTCAAGCTGTAGGATGGGAGCCTTTCAGTGACCACTCGAGTTCTAGAAGGGAGCCCTTTAGTGAACGCTCAAGCTGTAGGATGGGAGCCCTTTAGTAACCACTCAAGCTCTAGGATAGTGAAAATTTTGTAGTCAAAAAGATGGAATGACAATTTCCGGACCTTTTTTCGAAGGCTTTTTTAATATAGCTTTGAGTGACTTTCCCGTATGATCAAGTCATATGAATTTGAACTTCATCTGTTATTTTAGTTTTTAAAAAGCTGGAAATGTTTTCTCAATCTTAAAAGGTGAAAGGAAAATTTTTTTCCAAAAGAAGACCAATTTTTGAATTTAATACCACGCAAAAAAGTGAGTCATATTTGTAAATTTTAATCTTCTGTTTTAGAAGGCAGCTGCCTTATTTCCACTCAAATTACCTTGCAAGCAATTTTTCCGCTTCACAAGCTTTCAATGGGTTTCTTACCTACTCAAAATCAGGAGGATTACAATTTTCTCGCTTGAAAAAGCAGCTGCCAATTTTTCCGCCAATTAGATTTTTGAAAAATATGTTTTCTTCGCAAAATCTTAGCATTTTAGGCATTACTCACCTTAAAATTTTGATTTACTGCTTTTCCCATGCCAACCAAAACAAGGAAGTTTTTTTTTTCTGGCTGGAAATGAATCATTTTGGCGTATCCTCCATGTTTCAGTTACGTGGATGTTTGAAAATGCAGGAGATTAAGAATTTATTTTTTTCTTTCATGTTCTTGCATTAGGGCCTAATCCGTTTTGGGAACGCCCTGATGTATGACGATTTTTCGAAAGTTTTAAAAAATTTTCTAGCTTTCAGTTTTTTTTCTCTCTTCAAATCGCCATTAAAAAACGATCCCATTTTTCGAAAAAAGAAGGAAAATATTTTTACATTTTCACCCCGTTCCCAATATGACAATAATAGGCCTGCGAAAGTTTTGATCAAAATGTTCCCACGAAATTTTGAAATCTCATGACCGAAGGAATAACATTTTGAAGAAGAATCGCTAAAAATATTGTTCCTAAAAAATACGGAAAGTGGAAGGAGTTAACAGATCTTTGGGAAAAATGCGTGGGAAAAATTACGTCCAGAAATTGAACGAGAATTCTACTGGAGAAGGGCTTTTGGTGTTGCGAAATTTCGTTGATATATGGCTAGACGCGTTGTGTCTGCGAAGCGGTTCTAAAAAGGATATCTTTGAGTTCATCCTAAATTGAACCGCTGCGCGACCGCGACGCGCTCAGTCATTCTAAGTGCGACCAGTGGGTCTGAATAAGTGGTGATCGAGGTATATCGAACTATGGAAAAAGTCGGCATGACGTTAAACATTCTGACTGTCTGCGCTCTCAAATCTCTCACCGGCAAGGTCCGAGAGAAACGAAAAAGCATACAAAAGCAGGAGAGACTCCGAGAAAAGAGAGGACAGAAAAAAATATTTTTTTTATCATAGTGTTTTATCACTATACTCTCATCGTCAGGAGTTGAAACTGTCTGACCTGTCTGCGCCCTCCGATCCCTCACCAGCAGGGTCATAGCAACACGAAAAGAACACATAATAAAGAGAGCCTAGATACATTATTTCAAAGTCTTGTGGTTCAAAGTATAGTTTGAATAGACTTTTCTCATGAAGATTGGATCAGTCTGACCTGTCTGCGCACTCCAATCCCTCACCAGCAGGGTCATAGCAACACGAAAAGAACACATAATAAAGAGAGCCTGAATACATCATTTCAAAGTCTTATGGTTCAAAGTATGGTTTGACTATACTTTTCTCATAATGACTAGAACAGTCTGACCCCTCTGTTCTCTCTAATCTCTCACCAGCAACGTCAGAGAAAAACAAGAAGAGCACATAAACACGAGAGAGCCCAGAAAATTTTGACCTGTCCAAGTCGTGTACTGTATAATTCGCGTCGATTGGTCTGAAATGACTACGGTTTATTTGGTTAATTATCAAGCGATCACGGGCCAATGCCTGTGTACAAAAAGAAAAGAATGACGTGCAGAAAAGCGAGAGAAACCTGAAAGTTTGGGGCCGACCGATTGGACAGTTCCAACTTGTTATCAGCTATCATTTTTCTCCATTGGCTTGCCTGTTTACGTGAATATCGATGCCGCGTTTTCTTCTCCTCTTTCTTCGTCTTTTTTGGTTCTTCTGCCGTTCATTGGTCGTTATTTTTTGTCTTCCATTGCTTCTTTTTTCTTTTTTACGAGAGATCCATCATTTTCATTGAGAATTGTAGAAAAGGGGACGTAATTTTGGGGTTGGATTTTGATTTACCTAGGGTTTCTTGAGATTTTGAATTTATTGGGAGAGGAATAATAATTTCATGTTGAAAATGAGTGATGAATTAATTTATAAAGGGAAAATTGAGAGGTTTAAGAATTAAAAGACGCTTTTTATGCGGTTTTTTCATTATAAAGCTCCACAGTTTATACCCTATACTTCGAAAATGGTAGATTTTCGAAGAAAAAAAATATTTTTCTCAAGTTTCAGATTGACTTTGGCTCAAATTATTCAATAATTTAGTTTTTGAGATCTAATTTGACGCTTTTTTCATTGTAGAAAATCCAATTTTCGTCTCAGCCGATTTTTTTCCCAACCAAAGTTTCAAGAGAACAAATTGTATGTTTTTTTCTTATTTTTGAGCCTTTTTAATCTACTCGATCCTTTTTTCTCGGAAAATTTCCAAAAAAGCTTTCCTGGGAATGAGAATTTTTGGCGGGATTCGGATCATTTGGCTGATTTTGTGGAATTTTTGGCTTTTCTGTCGGATTTTTTCGTTTTGCAAGGTGTTTGGAATTCACCAGCTTCTATAGTTCATATTTTATTGGCTTGAAATGGTTTTGATGCGATTAGTAAGATAGTGTGGATAGGTAGGAGGTTCAGACGTCTCTGTAGGATTTTTGAATTAAATCGTCTATTTTTTGTCATTTTTTGAAGTCTGCTGTACAAAAGTTGTTCTGCTTTGGGTTTTTAAAAGTTAAAATGGCTTTTTGAAAAAGGAAATGCGAAAAGACCCAAAAAAGTCATTTTCAAGCCTTCTCAGTTTTTTTTTTGAGTTCTCAGATCTTCGATATACGTCTGAATATTTCCAAGAACCTCCATTTCTGTTTATTCTCGCGATATTCTTCTTCCGCTTAAAACTGAACTTTTGAAGTTCTTCTCTTCAAAAATATCAGTTTGCGATAATGTGCATTTGGAAGTCCAAAGAGTATCTTGGCAAGTTTTCAGAATCTCTCCCTGTCACGTTTTTTCCTAGGATCTCCATCTCTCGTTCTCTCGACCCCGATTTGTACTCGTAAAAGAGATTCAAAATAGAGCGATGCAGATTTGTCGGCAACTCTTCTTTGACTTTAGCAACGGGGAAGGAAGGGGGAAGCTGCGTGTTGCCAAGGTGAAATGGACGGAGATGGAGAGTGTCGGTGTGATAGACATGGCTGATATCACGAGGCAGAAACAACCCCCCTCCACGACGACGACACTGTGTTGCTGCTGCTGCTGCAACAGACAGGGGCGGCGGAAAAAGAAAGGAGGCGTGCTAGTAGAGATTTTTTTGCTCTCCTTTTTCTCACCTCTTCATAATCCCTCCCCCTTTGGCGTGATTGTGTGTGTTCGGCTCTCTGGCTCCGGCTCCAGCTTCTGATGTGGCCTGTTTTCAAGGGCTTCGACACTTTGGTGCGTTCTTTTTAGATGAGTCTTTGGGTCAGATTATCCGTGGAGCACGCTACCATGTTGTCATTGCGCTCTCTTATTTTTTTCTCTTCAAACTTTGGGTCAGAAGACTTACTAGAAGCTTGACTTTTTTATGATCGAAGTTTCGGTCAGATTATCCGTGAAGCGCGGATACTTGAACTCTGGTCGAATAACGAGAAACTTGGCTTGAACTCTGGTCAGATTTCTGTACTTTTGGTTGAATCCCGCTCTTCGCTTGCTCTTCCTTGGGTAGATGAATGATTTCATTAACTTTGGGATCTTTACTTTATTTTTGGTCCGAGTATTTTTGGAGCGCAATCCTTGATGATCATGATTCGAATTCTCCTGACTTCTTCTGGCTATCTGCTTTTTTTTTTACCATTGTCGTCATAATTCCTATATTCAAATTCGAGGCAATTGATCCGTTGACCGGCTTGTTATGTAGTTTTTTGATAGTTGGGTTATTTTTTATTCTGAATAATTATGGGCTTTGGTTCAAGAGTGACTTAGAGAGGTGTCATAGCTTTGATTTGGATATTCTCAGTTTTTTGTTTGTCTTGTGATTCGCTTCAAGTATGGATCTTACTCTACGGCGATTATCTTTGGTTCGAAAATGTTGGTTGCCTGACTTTGAATTTTTATAGTTTATCTATGTATTCTCGGGCATTGGTAACGCGGAACGGACTTGTCGGGACATTTCTAGTGACCACTTTAGTAGCGTCAAAACTCTTAAGTGGTCCTTAGACTTGCTCAGAACAATCCGGTTTTCATCACCGAGGTCCGAGCTACCAGACACCAGATTTAAGTTATCAGTGAAGCGCACTTCAAGTTTGTCATTTTGCTGCTTTTTAGCTTCTCTTTTCCCTCTGGTTGATGATAAATCAATTGTTCTCGATTTTGGCACTGATCCCGAGTTTTCGCGATTTTTTCGTGCAAAGCTTTTGGCGTCATTACGAATCCGGAAAAGTCAATTAGGCCGATTCAAAACAAGGTTTTGAAATCAGTACAGGTGCAAAAGGAAATCCAGACGTTTCATTGCAAACAAATGGCAACGCGCCATTAAACATAATGGGGCTGTAAACAGTTTGAATTTCGAACTGTGGTCGGATGATCGGTGGAGCGCGAATGCTGCCCGTTTTTTTCATTAGTTTGAGAGCGTTTGTAGTGTTTAGTGATGTTATCCGTGGAGCTGGTTTAAGAGTATTAAAAAAGTTTTTGGATATTTCGCGCTCTTTTTTGGATTCGAAAAGCATTTTCAAACATTATAATGTGACAAGAGAGATTATAGAATCACATGATCTAATTTCGACGATTTTTCTCCTTAACGATCAAAAAAAAAGAAGATAAAAATGTTATCTCCATTCCCTATTGTGACACCTTATCAATTGGTGTAGTCTTCCATGATCCTCTTGTTTTTTTTTTGATTTTGATTTTAGGGCGTTTTTTCTCATTTTAGTTCTTTTCTCAGTTTCATTCAGTGTTCAAATTCGGAATTAATGTTAAATATACCGATATGTTAGAGAATTGCAAAAGGAAATTTTTTGGCTCCCATTGTTCCTCTGCACCCTCTTGTTATGAAATGCTATTTTGATGCTTTTTTGACCTCTTCGGTGAGGTAGAAGAGGGCGCAGACAGGTCAGAATGTTTGTGGCGAACAGAATACTAGATACAAATTTTTCTTGCGGGACTCTCGGCATGTAATTTTTCCATAAACTTCATGCATTATCGAGGTTTTTAAGCTTAGATTTTCCCCTTCAAGTCAACCTTTTCCAATTCTTCTATCATTCCAGGTCGACGGAAAAGAGCCGCCGGTTACCTTGATCAAGAAGAAAAGTAGCATCGTGCCGGGCTTGCCGAAAGAATCCCCGAACATGCCCGTTTCGGCCCCGCAGCAACGCGATTTCCGCGACGCCTATCGGATGGTTCGTCTTGATTTGAACGGAAGGAGGATTTTTGTTGAAATTGTTCATTTTTCAAGGAGTGGAGTTATTATCTATTTTGATCATTTAGTCGACTAGGAAGTTGCTTTGAATCCGTTCCATTTGAAGGTTTTTAAAAAAATTGTTAGGGAAGGGCTTAATCTGTGATTGTAGGAAAAGGCAAAACCCTAATTTATTTTTCACAGCGATGAGCTTTTAGGAACTTGAAGACAAGGGCAATAAAAATCATTTTTAGCCCAAATATGTAAAAGAAAACACTTTAGCGGATCCTTGAAGCTCTGCATTCGTAAGAAATCCAACTTTCAGGCTACACAGCTAGCCGCGGCGAGCATGGCCACCGATGCGAGGTTCGCGTCGGCCCTGGCCGCCGTATCCGCCGCCCCTCATGCCCTGGCGACGACGTCGCCGTCAGCGACGCCTGCAGTCGCCCAGCCCTCGGCGATCGTATCCATGCCCCAGCCGCAGATCCCTCATTCCTCGGTCGCCACCGACTACAGCGCCATGTGGCTCAATACTTACTGCGGAGTCAATTTCCTTTCGGTGAGCAAGAAAGCCATTCCAAATGCAGCTATGATATCTAATTCCGGCTGACTTGAGGCATTGGGCGGTAAGGAGAGGGTTTAGACGTTTTTCAAAATAGCGGCGAAGTAAATATTACTGTAAGAAGAAGCCATTTCAAATGCGGCTTGGTCAGAAAAACTGAAAAATTCGCTTCCGGCTCATTTGAGATATTGTGAGAAAAGAAGAGGGCTTAGCCATTTCTGTGGTTTTTTTTTCAAGCGAGCGGTGAATGGAGAATTCCTGTGAGAAGGGAAGAACTCTTGCCCAACCGGGTCAGCCATTCCAAATGCGGCTTCGAGCTGCCTGATTGGTCAGAGATGACTCATGACCCATTTTTGGATTGCTCAAGTCATTATTCGAAGAAAAGAGAGTTTAAACGTCTCTCAAGTTGCTAATGAATGAAATCTTTCTGTAAGATGATAGGAGTCTTGTCGAGACAGCCATTCCAAATGCGGCCTGAAAATTGAAGACATTACGCGAAAAGAAGAGGGCTTAGACGTCTCTGTCGTTTCCAAAGAGAGCCGTGAATCTACTATGACTTTTTAAAAGACAAATCAGCTTGGTTGATGGTAGGTCACATTTGGAATGGCTCACCATATCTTTCCTGAAATATAGAGTTCAAATTTAGCTCCACAGATCACTTGAAAACCTTGTCCAAAGATGCATCCATGATCAGTTTCCCAGACCAACTAGGGACCCTTTCGACTGTCTTTTCTTTAAAAAAACTTCATACTGCGAATTTATCGTTCTCCCGAGCTGATAGTAAACAACTTTAATTGGAAGATAATTTCGAAAACTCGTGATTCTCAACTTTCAATTAGTTTCCCATGATAATTGGAAACGGTTCTTATCTCTAAATCATGTGATACTCTTCTAATTAGTTTCCCAGGCTAATTAGAAACGATTTTTATCAGGAATTGATGATTTTATACTTTTCGAATGGGTTTCCCAGGCTTATTAGGCCTGTTTTTCATATCAATTAGAGGTTTCATACCTGAAAAGCTCATAAACTTTTCAGGGACATGAAAATCGAAAGTTATTTTTCATAGGTACAGAAATTGAGCTTCAACTAGGCTGAAAATTGTCGAAATTTTTCAGTCATCTAAATCAAACATACGCGGAGTGTCAGTGCATTTATAGTGGTCACTTTAGTAGCGTCAGAACTCTCAAGTGATCCCTAAAATTTCGCAGAAACGCACGTCTGTTATGCGTTACCAATCTGGGAAAATATTAGTGGCCACTATAGGATTTTGACGGTTAAGTGGCCACTAAGGTAGTCAATTTAGTGGCCACTTAAATTGTTAAAAATTAGTGGCCACTATAGAGGTCTAAGTGCTACAACTGGACCTCTAAAATTTCTAATGGCCACTTCAGTGTCCTCTCCAAGTAGTCTTTGGCGAGCCTCTATAGTGGCCACTAAAAATTTTTCCAGATCTCCGAGTTTTAATCCGTGTGCGATAGAGCGCACTAGCCAGAGTTGTGTGTAGATCGATCTTTCCTTAGAATGAATTTTAGTTGAGTGCCAGAGTTTCTTGGTAGAGAAAACTTTGGAAAAGGAAAAGGGGACACGGAAGTAAAAATTTATTTTTATTAGGCAACTCTGGACAGAATATTCTCATTTTTCAGCAGCAGCAACAGCAAGCGAGCAACCAGAATTTCCTCCAGCAGCTGGCGTTCCTTCAGCATCATCAGCAGCAGCAAGGCCGTTCTCAAATCAATCAGCAGCTTCTGCAAGCGGTTCTGAACCCACATGTGCCTACGACAGTGCCCACGACCTTGTTGCATCAGCAAATGCAGAAGTTCCAGGTAGAGATAATGACGTCATGAAAAAAGAGAACGATTTTATTTGAAGAATTATAACATCTAGTGGTCACTTAAGAGACTCCTCAAAGGTCTACTTGTATAGGAGACTGATGTAGGAACTGAAACCATCGCTATAGAAGCCTCTAGTACGCCTCTTAGGGCCCACTATAGTGGTCCTCTTTTTGGTAGCCACTTGACTACTATAGTAGCCACTAAAAAAATATCAGGAAACTCGGAGAAGGAAATATTACTAGGAGAGCTTCTAGTGGTCACTTAAGAATTTCCTCAAGTGGGGAGGACACTAAAGTGGCCACTGAGACCCATTTTATAGGAGCCACTATTCCGCCTCTTAGTGGCCACTATAGCATTGTTCAGAGATCTAGTTATACCACTAAGGCTGCTAAAGAGGCCACTTGAGTGGTCAATAGCTCGACCACTATAATGGCCACTAAACCCTAAATTGGCCACTTGAACTTTTCTCGGTATTGTCAAGTTATGACGCTTTAAAATCCACAAAACACACAAATTCGGAAGAAAATAAAACTTTTGAAGCTTTTGAAGAGTCTAGAGGGCCAAAGTTACCCAAAAAATAGCTAATTTCCATCGAATGATCTATTGGAGAACAGGAGAAGAACTCGGGAAAATAACAATAAAAAATGAAAAAGCCCTTTTCCAGAACAATCCGCTGCTGGTTTCGCTTCTGCCCACACTGACCCCCGAGCAAATCATGCAGCTCCAAGCCGGCATGCGACCCGCCGGAATGGCTCATCCTCCCGTCCAGAACCAGAACGCCATGCCGTTCAACGCCCCAATGAATCCTAACGTGCCCGGAGCCGCAGGCGCTGCCCCCGAAATGCAGCAGGTGCTGAAAAGAGCGCGAATTTGACATTTCTGGGCTTTTTCGCAGTAGAGCGCACATGTGCCTGATTTTTTGAATTTTTATTGTAGAAATTTTTTTTTCGAATATTCAATTTTTCTTATTGAATATCAATCCAACACCGGGTAATTTTTGATTTTTTTGAAAAAAAGCAGAAAAAAAGAAACAATTTATATTTTATTTATGACCTTTGAAAAAAAGCAAAAAAAGAGTGCTGGTGATAATATCTTCTGGTTTCAGCCGCTAGTCGTGGTCAAGCAGGAGCCGGTTCAGTCGCCGCCGATGGAGTGCGACAGCTCCGTTCCAAGCCCTCCCAAAGCGAACGCAGCCCCTGTGGTCAACACTGCCGATATCGTCAAAAGAGGTCTGACCGACTTCAGATGGATCAGAAGACGTCGAAGACTTTCAGAGGTGCAATCGGAAGAAGGCGGCAGTCCCCGAGAATCGCCTCATCGAGCCCCGGCCCCGGCTCCCTGGAACAGTACGCCGTCGCCGCGAGCCCGCGAAACCCCGGAAACGACTGAAGACGGCGAACATCGCAAGCGGCACGAGTCCTCGGCGATCGCCGCCGCCTCGCGACCCGAGAAAGTGACGTCTTCGTCGTCGACGCCAGCTCCACCACCGCTTCTCAAGATGAAACCCGGCGTCGTGGTCGTCAAGCCTGAACCGACAGAACCGCCCGCACCGCACCACAAGGCCAAGAAGAATGAAGTTCGTACCAAGGCATCAGTCTACCTTTGATAGTTAGAGAGCACTGGTAAACAAGAGAGCTGTTAGAGAAAGAAACTACGTTCACACTCTCATTTTTGAACGCTCTCTAACTTTCGAAGCTGTACTAAACGGAAAAAATGGTGTAGAAACAGCGAAAATTTTAAGCTTCAGGGGAAGCTTCGAGCTAAAAACCTTGTGAATTTCCAGCTGGAATTTTGAGAGTATAAAAGTTTAGAATATAGACAAAAATGGGTATTACAGTGAAAAAGCGTAATCGAGTTGGAGACCTTCAAAAAAAACTGATCTTATATACTGATTTTAATTTTTGAAGGCTTGGACTGAGGGTTTTGAAAACGGCCATGTATGGGTTTACAAGAAGGAATTTTCAACGATTCCATCGAAACTGGACTTTTTTTTAAAATAGGATTGCTTTTGGAAGCGAACTCGATGCCGTGTTCAAAGTAATTTCCGCGAAATGCAAAATTATCTCTGACTCTCCAAAATTTAGTTATTTTTTTCTTTCTCTGACGGCTGTTTTCGTTTGTCATTTTGAACACAACATGAACTAACTGGAAATGGAACTGAAAATGAAATGAATGATTTTTTTTTTTCAATGAGCAACCTTGCTTCACGACACAATTTTCGCCAGTAAACGTTTTGATTGGTCCCAATTTGACCGTTTGTATCACAAAATTCGATTCAAAAGGAACTTTCAACCTTTTTCTAACCATAAAGCTTTATAGCGCGAAATTTGAACCAAGTTTTTATTTTCTCCATAGAGCAACCTTGCTTCACGACGCAATTTTCGTCAGTATCTATTTTTTTTCTTAACGGGAAGGCATTTTGAATGGCAAAAATGGATACAAAAGTGAATTTACAACCTTCTTCTCACCATAAAACTTTATAGCGCGAAAGTTTTGTAAGCAAAGTTGAACTAACTGAAAATGGAACTGAAAATGGAGTGAAAGGCAGTATTTGTCTATTGACAGATTGCGCGGTTGCTCGACGACCTGACCGAGAGTTCTTGGATGAACCATGTGCGACGAATCACAGCTGAGTGGGAACGCCGAGAATCGATAGAGAACCTCAAGACGAAGGTCAGCCCCCTCCTTCCCCCTCCCCCACTCCCCCCAACGACTTCTTCTCCGTCTTCATCTTCATTTTTTTGCGTCCTTGGCCTTCTTGACCGTTCCCTCAGTTCAATTACCTTCTCTTATTTTAATCTTTCTTGATTTTTTTTTTCTTGGTTTTCAAAGTGATTCCGCGAAATAAAAATAGCCGTCAGAGAAAGAAAAATATAACTGATTTTTGGAGAGTCAGAGATAATTTTTATTTTCGCGGTTGTTACTTTGAGCACGGCTAGAGACAATTTTTCATTGCGAATCAACTTTTTTTACTTTTTCGAAAAAAAGAAAAAGACTTTTTTTGGAATATACTACCTTTTTTTGATTTAAATTTTTATAATTTCTAGGATTTTGCCTATCCAAAAAAATGGTTGAAAAAAACGGCTTCACATTTTTTTGTAGAATTTTTAACAAGTAGCCTCAAACAAAATTCATTTTTTTCCGCATTTTTCCAGATTATTCTTGTTGATTTATATGGGATACACATATGAGTGGGCTAAGCTGTCACAAAAACGAAGCCACGCCCCTTTTCATAAGCTTTTCATCAATTTTTCAAAACATCCTATAATCATTTCCGCTCAGATTTTCGCTATATTTATAGTGTTTCTTTTTTTCTTTGATTTCTCGTCGTCAAGCGTGACATGAATCATTGGAAAACCACCAATTTTCGTCCCTCGTAAGCATTTTGATTGAGTGCTACCGTTTTTTGAAAAATGAGCTTTATACGATTTTTCCTTTCAAGGGAGTTGTGTTCGAAAATTTAACAATATGGCTTTGGGACGCAATTTTTTGAGCATTTCTTGTTGAAAAACGATATTTTCCTCAATTTCTAGATGAAAATATAGAGAGAGGGGGTCATAAGTTCATAAAATATAGGTGAACCATGAAAAAAATTGCGTTTTTGAGTTATTTTTTTGCTGTATTTTTCTTGCAAGAATTTTATTGAAGTGGTAATTTTCTAACCTTTCAGTTCATTTTCAGTTTTCGTTTCTATAAAAGTTCTAGGCTTTCTGAAGATTTTATAGCGCTTTTTTTTTAAACTCTTGAAAGTATTTTTTACAGTCGTTTGGCTTTTTGAGCTTCTGTGGGATTTAAAAAACAGTTTTTTACGCTTTCTATCCTTTTTCGATTTGATCTGCTTGATTTTTGTAGTTAGAAAGAGTTGCGAAAAAGACACATACATCGGCTGGATCCCACAAAGCCTTTTGCGCGCGAAAAAAAAATTTGAAAATTTACGGAAATAGGCCGCACCCCGGGGTGGGACCCAGCCGACGTATGAAAAGACATATTTTATCCAAACCCCTCATTGATACTTTTGTTCACTTTCTATCGATTAAATAATACGGAACAATTTTTTCAGGAAGAAATGGAACTGATGCGTAAGGTGTCAGAGTTGGTCGCTCCCCTCCCGCCTTTGAAGAAAAGGAAGATGCGACAGCTGAGCGACGAGTCGAGCGCGAGCAGCGACTCCGACGACGACGACGTCGCCAGACCGGCCGACGCGCCTTCCTCGTCGGCCAGGCCTACGTCGCCGCCGAAACACACCGCGACTGCGGCCGCCAAACGCGATGTCGTCGGAAAGGTGACTTTTTTGAGGCTACCTTCATTGATGAAGTGGGAAAGGGTGGAGCATTTATTGTCAGAAAAAAGCAAATAATTATGGTTTAGATAGGAAGGAAATGAGCTTAGAGGTCGGACCCTTAACGTCTATAGGGATCATTTGAATTTTTATTCTCTGGGGAGCACTACTCTGCCCGCTAAAGCATAGACAAAGTCAGAAAAGGCTCCATAGGAATTTTCCTTTTTTGCTGCCTCCTCACCCTTTTTCCAGCATTCCTTGAGCCTTTAAAATCCCAGGAAAAATGGAAAGGAAAGGACCTTTTCTGCTGCTTTTCTTGAGCCTCTCTCTTTTTTCATCCACCATTTCGACTCTGCCCGAGCCTTCGAGTTAGAGAGCTTTCAAAAATGAGAGTGCAGCCTTTTTTTCTCTCTACAAGCCCTCTTGTTTACCAGTGCTCTCTCTTTCGAAGATCCTTTTACTCACTTTTTGAAATTTTTGAACAGAGAACAAAGTTTTATGGACCTTTTGTCAAAAAGTGCATTAATGCACGGCTCATCGAATTTCGGCAATGGGATGCGTAGGAAAGTGAGAATATGTGCCCCATCGCCAAATGTTTGGAGTTTTTTGAGGGATGGGCTTTTTTGGAAAATTTTGGGATTGATTTGATGATTCATAAGAAGAATAAGTTTTTAAAAATTTTCGGATTTTTTCGGCCATGTTGGATTTCATCGAGAAGAGGTTGAGATAAAACTATTTTTGAACCTAAAATCTCACTTAAAGAACACTTTTTTGACTTTTTACGACATGTTACTCTACTCCTTGGAAACAGAAAAAGTTTGTCACTTTTTGAAAAGTTATTGATCGACTTATCCGCAATTTGTCGCACTTTAAAGGTTTATAAGTGCAAATTTAAGAGTTGAAAAATTGTAAAAAAAAAAAGTACCCAAAAAGCTCTCAATTTCAAATACTTCTGAGCTTTTCTCTGTTTGAGCGAAAAGTTCGAGCTCTGTCTTTGAAGAAGGTTTTTTTCAGAATCTGAAAAATCGAGCTAGAAAATCAATTTTTAAGACGGTAACAATTTTTAGAAGCGCAAAGCGCGTGCATCATCCAGCGACGAAGAGGCGGATTCTGAAGACGACCGGAAGAAGAAGAAGCCGAGGAAGACGAAGGCTGCAAAGGAAGACACCGGAAAGCCCGCCAAAAAAGGCCGTGGCCGAAAGAACAGTGGCTCGCCGCTGCCTCAAAGCTCCGCCGTCGGGAAGAAGAAAGCCGGACGAAAGGTGAGCCTGTGGCCGAGTGGCGTGTTCGCTCGCCTGCCATCAAAAGAGTCATTGGTTCAATCCCGTTTTACAGCCGAAAAACGTGATCGTCCAAGAGGAGCCGGTGGCGGATCCCAAGTCAGAGTGCGGACTTTTCGCCGAGTGCACCCATCCCGAGGCTGACGCCGTCAACTGGGTGAGAGATTGGGACTTTTTGAAGGATAAGAATAACGGGAAAGTTCTCAGAATTCCATGAAAGAAAGGAATCTTGCCAAATTTCAAGGGAATATTCAGTCGTAGGCGTTTTCTCTAGAAAAAAAAAACTAGATTTTTTCTTAGGATGTTCGTCAGAATTATCTTTAAATCCATCTTAAAAAGAAGATTCATTTCAAAAGTCTTTCCCATAAAATGAATTACTACTGACCTTAGAGGGGTCACTCAGAGAGTTATTCGTTCCAATTTCTGACTTTTTCGACGTTTATCAACATAAAACCGCCTTAGTAGCCAATATAATGAGGGATATTCTCTCCCCCCCAAGTAGACACTTAAAAGTTGTCGAGTGGTCACTTAACGTTTAGAAGAAACCTCTAATCGAGAAAACTTGTTGAAAATGTTAGAAAAAATCGTTTTTTGCGTGTTCAACTACAATTTCAATTTTTAGATCAAGCTTCATCCCTTTATTAGGCGAAATTTTTATTTATTTAGGTTTTTTTCGATGAGCTTTGAACTGGTCTGAACACAAAAAAATGGGATTTTTCGAGATATCATGTGCAAATTTGAATGCTTAAAGTTGGAAAAATTCTTAACTATTATTATTTTTTTGGTCTTTTTAGAGGTTTGAAAAAAATCAATTTTTTGGCCATTAAAAGGTTTATAAAACATTTTTTTTTTTTCAGCCATTGAGAAATTTAGAAAACGAACTTTTTTGGCATTTTGATGTTTAGAAAGAATTTTTACGGACTCTCAGAAATTTTTTGAAGATCTTAAATTTTCATATTTTTGGTTTTTCAGAATTTTGTGATTTAATTTTAGCGATTCATTCTTTCCAGATTTGCTGCGATAAGTGCGACCAGTGGTACCACAACATCTGCATTTTGGGCCGCAACGAGCCGCCGACCGACGACAAATTCTACTGCGGCGTTTGCCAGACGAAGAAAAGCCACACGAAAAAGAGCCGCAAACGGACCAGCAGCGACTGATTTTTCCCCTCTTTCCTTGTTATTGTTTTATTTTCTTGTTGACTCTGGAACTTTGGTAATATTGATAGACCTTTTCCTGTTTTTATTGGCTCTTAGCATATGGCAAACTTGGGTTTTTATAACTCGAAACTAATAATTTAGTGTCCCTCAAGTGACCACTAGAATTTGACTTCGGGGGACCTTTCCTCAAACTCATTCATGTATCTAAATATTCCTTACCAAAACCGATGCATTGCTTTAAAAGTTGATTTTCATACCTTATTCGCCACGCCTAGAGAGAAGAGAGCGCAGACAAGCTAGAATTTTCCCAAACCGTGGCGAATGAAGTTTCCTTTCCTGTTTCATTTCTCCGTGACCGTTTCCCAGATTTTCAGCGGGTCCTGTCGACGGGATGGGCGGTTTTTCCTAATCTTCTTATTGGGTACTTCATTCGCGACGACCTCTGACCTGTCTGCGCTCTCTTCTCTCTGCGTCGAGAATTATGAGAGAGCCCAGAGACGTCAGACTGTCTGGCGAATGAGGTACAACTGGGAATGAATTAAATTTTCTTTATTGGTTCGGAACGAAAGCATCCCTTTTCCTACTACTACTATTACATATATCTCTCTCGTTTTGACGGGTTCTTCTTGTTAAATTGTTTTCCATGTTTTATCGACCCCTCATTCATTTTTCAAAATGACACACACCCCTCGATATTGGTCTACTTCATGCAAAATTCCACTTTTTCATTGATCTTTTGATCTTCCCTTGTTTTTTCTTTTTCTGTTGGCCACTGTTGGCATTCTGTGAGTTGGAGAACGAGAAATAAAATGGTTTTCTTCGGTTTTTGGCCTTTTTTACCTTTTTGGATTGACTATTTTCATTCATATTTGTAATGTGAACAAGTTTTCTACGTGAAAACGGATAAAAAAGTAGGTTTTTATTCTGAAATTTTGATGCAAATTTTTTTTTAAATTTAGCCATGGAGCAGAATTGCCTTTTTGAATTCTAAGGAGTTGATTTTTCTTTTTCTATAACTTGGAAAAAAAAAGAGAAACCAGTCAAGGGTCCCCTAAGAGAGCCTAAAGTGGTCACTTGAGCAATGGCGATTTTTTTTTGGGCTTATAGGGCCTTCAGTTAGAAAAATTCTTATTTCGTGAAGTTTGAAATTAATTCTAAAACGTGTGATGAATTCTAAAGGGGCCACTTCAAATAGAAACTCCTAGAGTGATCACTTCAGATTACCTTTTTTTTTACGAATTTTCAAATTTTTGACAGCTTTTAATGCCTTTTTCGAATATTTCAAGAATTTAATGAAAAATTTTGTAAATTTGACTTTTTTTTTCCCGTCTCCATGACCTATTAGATCGAAAAATCACTCAAGTGTCCCCTTGGAAAAATTTTTTTATCTGATTTTTTTAGTGATTCCATATTTTCCTGACCGAAGAAAGGAATAATTTCTCCAAAAATAGCTTCGGTTTTTTTTTTCTCTCAAGTGACTTCTTCAGCAAACTTCTGAAGCGGCTTCTTGAAAAAAAGAGTCATTTTTTTCATTAATTTTTCAGTAAAATTTCCATTATAGTGACGACTATAATTCTGAATTTCTCGAAAAATTTTAGTGGCCACTACAATAGTCAAATTAGTTGCCACTCAAGGGGTTGAAAATTAGTGGTCACTATAAAGGTTAAAGTGCTACTACTAGATCACTATAGTGGCCACTAAAGAATCAACATAACCGGTCCAATCTGTTTGTTTTAAAACTATCAGAGTTACTGGAAGGAGTACTGGATTAAAAACTATTCAAGTGGCCACTAAATAGAGAACCTCTATAGTGGCCACTGAAACGGAAAATAGTGGCCTCTTCAGTGTCCTCTACAAGTAGTCCTTGGCGAGCCCCTATAGTGGCCACTAAAATTTTTCCCAGTTCGCGGAAATTACTTTGAACGCGATTAATTCCCTCAAGTGGCCACTTGAATCGCCTCGGCGGGAAGGCCAGTCGACGAGAGTCCTTATTGGACCGGTGAGAGACGCAGAGTGGGCCTGTGTGACTCCCTCCTCTTCTTTCTTCCCTTTTACGGAGTTCGGAGCTCCCCACAACTGGCTCTCGTCCCTTTTTTCTTCATTTTTGATATTTTTAGATTCTTCTAGCCTCTCTGAATGGTTTACAACGATTAAAATGAAGGAAAACCTTTTAATTTTTAAAATGAAACCGCAAAAAGTTGAACGAAAAAAGTGGAAAAAGCGATTTTGACGGTCACGCGACGGCCGTGTTTGTTTCGATTCTGTTTTTGAGTTCTTTTGATAAAGTTTTACCTAACCTACTTTTCCGCTATAAATATCTTCATTTCATCGTTTTCGAATTCCATTTTATTCGTTCTGATTGACTCTTTGTAGGTTTAAAGGCACCCTGCGCCTTTAAAAATGAGGTTTTTGTGATTTTTTTGTAAAGCAAATATTTGCAAACTGTACGAGTACGATTTTTGAGCTTAGTATCAGTATTTTTATAATTCTAGACATTTGCCGAAGAAAGGTAATTATTATATAGCATATGGAAAGTTGATAAAAGGCATAACTATATTTTTTTGGAAAGCGGTTTTACATTTTTTTCTCGTGTTTTTTTATGATAAATTAGTTTATTAAATGTCATTTTTTTCGCTATAAATTTTTCGTTTTTCGACCTTTTTGCTTTTAAAAAAAGACGAAATTTATTGATTTTAACGAAAATTTCAACGTTTAAGAAGTGGAACTTGAGAAAAAAATCGGAGAAAAAAAGCTTGATTTTCATTGATAAATTCATTTTTTTATCTAAATTCATTGAAATAACCTGTTTCTGAAGATCTTTTTAGTGTATTTTTAAGGTCTGGAAAAAGAGGAAAAAAACATTTCGGAAACATTTTTTTCTTGAGTTTTTTTATAAATTTTTCTCAATTTTTCTGTCTTTATCTTCTTTCTTTTTTTATAGAAAAAGGACTCAAATGATCTCTAGGATCATTTTTTTAAAAGTTTTTAATGTTATTTTTTTGACTTTTTTCTAGGTAACTATCAAGTGAAAATGTGCGGAAAAAGGGGTCTAAAAATTTTTTTGAACCTTCTGAAATCTGAAAAAAATCTCTTGAATCTGAAAAAAATCAAGCCATTCTGAATCATCAAGATCAAAAAAGATGACAAGGAAATAGAAAAGATTTCGCAACCGATGGCAAATCGATTTCCATTGTCTTTAATGAATAAGAGAACCTTCGAATGTCATTCGTCTGAAGGGTCGCTGTAACTTTTTTCGCGATTTGCCATCGGTCGCGTTGGTTTCTATCGATCGAATGGCTTCCTTACAAAGGAGGGTTTTTTTAAATTTTTTTAATTTTGGGATTTTTCGAAAACTGGCCAAAAATCCAGATAAAGGAGAATCTCAATTTTTCAAAAAAGGGCCTTTGAAAGTCATAGAAAGGTACCAAAAGCTGGAAGATTTTTAAGATTATCAACCTTTTTTTCTTGAAAAAAACAAGTACTTTTGAAGATTCACACTTCTTTTTTTACAGAATTTTTATTTTTATTTTTTTATTCTGGAACTTTTTTTGAAAACTGGCCAGAAATCCAGTTGAAGAATTTGAAGAATCTCAATTTTTCGAGAAAAGGGCCTTTGAAAGTCGTACCAAGGTACCAAAAAGCTGAATGACTTCAAGATTTTTGTACTTTTTATTTTCAAAATCTAAGTAGTTTTGAAAAATTCAGACTTCTTTATACGAAGGATTTTTTTCATTTCTACTTGGAATTTTTTTCGAAAACTGGCCAGAAGTTCAGTGGAAGAATCTGAAAAAAATCCTTTTTTTTGAAAAAAACAAAAAAAGTCATAGAAAAGTACCAAATGCTGGATGATTTTGAGATTTTTTTACTTTTTATTTTTCCAAAAAAATAAGATTTCTGTCAGATTGAGAATTGTTACCTTCACTTTTCGAAAAAAATAATGATTTGTAAATATTGAAAAAAAAATTTTTTTATCTAGTTTATCAAGGAATTTTTCTGGAAAATTTTTTTCAAAAAAACGTCTAGAGTTAATAGTGAATTTACTTCCTTGTATGGATTTTTTTCTTTTTATTTCTTTGTTTTTGATCGATTTTTTTCCATCAAATTTTATTTTACTGATAGTAAAATTTTTAAAGAATTATGAATTTTAAAATTCTATTGTCCATTTACGGCAGAAATTTCGCCAAGTTATAATAGATTATTGAGATTTTTTTTCTTGAAACCTCTAATTTACGGTAATATGTTACGAATACTACGTAAATAGGTCTCTTTTTGATCTTTTGAAACTTTTTCGAGAATTTTGGTTGAAGAATTTTGAAATTCCAAAGTTCTTGTTCACTAGACGCAGGTGGAATCTAGCTACTCTAGTTTATGATTTGAAATATTTCACCTGTTTTAATAATTTTTTTCCCGAATCATCTAATAGATTTTTTTAGTAATCATATTCATCTGCTCGATTTTTTTGTGAAAGATTCTTAAAAATTTGATACATTTTTTTAAACTTATGTGGAGTAAAAATTGGAGTTTTTTTGAAATATTTTTAAGCTTAAAAAAAATTTTCATTTACTGAAGATTATAATGTAGAAAAAAACAAATATTAAATTTTTTTAGAAGAAAAAAATGAAAAAAAGAATTTTTTTCCGGATATTTTTCGTAATTTCCGGCGTTTGCGAACTCATCCAGTCTGCATGCACGCCCGCCGGATTACAGTAACCTTTTCCAATTTTTTTTTCTCATTTCCGTCGTGATCCTTTTTCTTCTTCCGTTGTTTTTCAATTACTTTTTTTCTTAAATATAGAACAGTTTTCAGGGCGTTTTTTTCATCTGTCATATTTGGCCGGGGTGATGGGTAATTGCTTGCCGACGCTTTTCGGGTTCTCGCGACAAAATGACGAAACTCCGATGAGAAGGTTTCGATTTGACATTGATCGTATTCATTGATAAAAATGGGCATGTTGGTTTGGTTTTTTTAGAATTTCCGAAGTTTTTTTAGTTCAAAAATTATTAACAGTTCAGTCATCAAAAATACGAAAAAAACGGTTTTTTTGCCTCATAACTTTCTTTGTATTGAATTCAATTTTTTTCTGGAACTTTTTTGAAGTTTTGGTGACTTCTATTTCATTTCGATTCAGTTCGAAGAAAAAAAAAACCAAGTTCACGACGTGATAGGAAGATCGTGCTCCATGCAAGGAAGTTAAAAGCGAAAGTTGTTTTTATTATTTTTCCTTAATTCAGATTTCGTATATTTCTTAACAGATAAATTGAAGGTTTAAAATAATCAAGTATTAGTGATAGAAAAGTTAATATTTCGAGGTTTTAAAATGAATCAATGGTAATATTTTGGACCCGAAGTTAAATTTGTTACATGCAAAATGGTGTTTGATAAGATTCAAAAGCTTACTCGGTTGAAAGTATAAAAAAATAGAAAAAAAGGGAATTTTTTTGAATGTTCGAGTGATATTTTTGGGAAATGAGACTTTATTCTGTTTTTTTAATATGAATAATTATCTACACCAAGATCTTTAACATCTTAATAATGTTGATAAATCTTTGAAAAGTTGAAAAAATGGCCAGCTCGGGCAAAGTCGGAATGGGGGATAATGGCCGCTAAAAGGCTCTAAAAAGGCAGCAAACATTGTGCATAAGAGCCGATGAAATGGCGCGAAAAGGCAGCAAAAAAGGAGCCTTTTCACCTAAAAGGAACATTTCTATGAAGCCTTTTTTAACATCTCCGATTTTGTCTATAAATAAGCATCCCGAATGAATTTTATTTAAAAAAGAAGATTTTTCCAGAAGTCGGTCTTCAAGCAACGGCGACGGGTCGATGAGTTTCACAAATCCAATGATGCTACCTCATAATGTGAATCGATTTTTTTATTTATTTCATATAAAGTTCAATTCAAAATGTTTCATTTCTACCAAAAATTTCAGAAATATATGTAGGGAAAACGTAGGAAAAAAAGAAAGTTCTAATCGATGTATATATTTTTTTGAGGCTTTTTCAAGGCGCATAGGTAAATTTCATAAAGGTTCTTGCATCGTATTTGTTTTTTGTTGTAAATTTATCTTTTTTCGAGTTTGGGTGTTTTTCATGAGAAATGTTTGGCAGGACAAACTGGAAAAAAATTTTATTTTTTTATATTTTTTTCCAGAGCTCGTACGTAAATCAGCTCTACCAACACAATATGATGCGCCAAAGGCAAGCCGCCGACCAGGGACGGGTTCGTTTTTAGCCGTTTTATTCATGAAATTGCAAAGAAACGCTTTGAGAAAAATGAATTTGAATGTCTATTTTTTCTTCTCGAAAAATATTCGATATATTACTTTTTTTTTGAACTCATTTGTCACAAAAAAAAGTATTAAAAAAGGCGAGATAACGAATATTTCTCTTCAAGTGAACCCTTACTATAAAAGAGATTAACGCCCTTTAAGTGATCACTTAATTTTAATGGCCAAGAATCGTCCTAAACATTCGCTTTACTTGTGAAACGGTTCTTTCCTTCAAGTAAACCCTAAAGAGGCGTAAACGTCACTCATTTGATCACGAAATGGCTCGTCTTTAATATTTGATCATTTTTTACCAAACCATTATTTTTTTCTAGGAGCTGGATGAAGCGAAAAAATCGCGAATCCGTGGTCTACTCGAACAAATACCGGCGGATGTTTATCGAGGCGATACCAAGGATAATGAGTGCGAATTTTTGTATTTATCATTTTTTTTAAAGTTTTCATCATCATCATTTATTCAATGCGAATAATAATACAGTTCAAGGGCCGAAAAGACCTCTAACAGAACAGAAATTTAAACATTGAAAACAGCAACAAACCGTTCAAAAAATAGAAGATATTTTGAGAAAGTCAGCGAGAAGATGGGGTTTTTTCCTCATTAGATTTTTAATCGCATAGAATCATTACATAGATCAAACACAAAATCGGGAAGGGAGTTCCAAGCATTAATTATTCTAATACTAAAAAACGAGGCAACGATGTTACTATTATTTCTTATATTTGAGCGTAAATAATAACGATGGCGGTTGTACTTTTCAGTTGTATTAATTACAGAAGTTAAGATAGAAAGTCCTGGATGCTTGGAGATTTTTTTTTCCTGGAAGAAACATAAGAAGTTAGAAAGCTCTAGTATAATAGGGAATGGAAAGGTTTAATTAAATACCGTAGAAACTATCAAAGACAAAATGTTTTGCAGGTGCGCGATTTGTATGGTGGATTTCGAGCCCGGCGAGCGGATACGATTTTTGCCCTGCATGCATTCGTTCCATCAGGAATGCGTCGATGAGTGGCTCATGAAGTTAGTTTTTTTTTTTTTTTGAGAAGCTAGGAATTTATTTTTCATTATTGACATGCACATCAGATAGGAACATTAGTAAAAAGTTAATTCACTGCGTTTAAAATGAAAACCGTGAAGAAAAGGATAAATCTGGAAAGTCCACGGAGTGCGAAAGTTCGCTATCGGGCAAAGTCGGAATTGTAAATAATGGCCGCTCAAAAGGAGAGGTTTGAAAAAGGCCGCAAAAAGAGCTTTCAATTTTTCTAGAAGTTCAAAGGCTCAAGGAATTATGGAAAAAATAGAAAGGCAGCAAAAATGGTGCATAAGAGCCGAAAAAATGGCGCAGAAAGGCAGAAAAGGGAGCCTTCGTCACCCTAAAAAGGATTCGAAAGCAATCCATAAGGGTTGGAAAAAAAGTTTTGGCAAAAAACCTTAGGGTTTATTTCTTTTTGGACGGTTCTGTGTAGCTGATTCACGGCTGGCTTGAGCCATCGAGAAAAGGGTCCTGCCACGAAAATAGACGAGACAGCGCCTTGGTTGGTGGAGAGTGCAGACAGGCCACGCCTTTCTGCGTCCCAAGCTAGCTGTGAATCGTCTATATGAAGCCTTCCAGCAGCCTTTATGAACCCTCCGAGGGCCTTCCGACTTTGCCTATGTTGGGAAAAAAATGTGCTCCACCGAATAAAGTTTAAAAAAACAGTAGATTTCATTGTTAACGTTTAATTTTTATATTTTGTTTTTCGATTACTTTGATTATGATGTTGACTTCATTACGGTTACAAATCTGGGACACAGTTGGAAGTTTTTTGAATTTTTTTCGCAGCTTTCTGGCCCTTTTCAACTTCAAATCGTGTTGGTACCACTGAAAACGGTATTTTAATGAGAAGATCAAGAGCAGAACATAATTTTCTGATAGGAAAGTTTAATTTTTACAAATCGAGGATGGAATTCGAAGTCATTACGGAGCGCTCTGGCCTTTTTTTTAATTCGAATCGTTTTGGTACTACTGAAACCAGTTTTCTAAAGTTCAAAAGTGTGACCGTAAAAAAATGCAATCCTGGACTTCCGGATGGAATATTTCTTTAACCAATGGCTCAATTTTCCGATCGTTCACGTGTCCCTCGTGCCTCGGCCCAGTCGACTCGACCATCCTGTCTACCCTGACCGCCCACACGCAACAGTCCCTGCACGACCTCGTGAGCTCCTCTTCCGGGCAGAGTATCGGCAGCGCCAATGTCGTTGTCGCCAAGCAGTGATTCGCCCCCCCCCCATCCAGAAAAGCTTAAAAGTCACTTTTGTCCTATTTGACATGTTCATCCCAGTTGTCTAAAGAAGACCGCATTTGGAATGGCTGGACAGAGGTTTTGGAATCGTTTTTCTCATTGTAGTACCAATTAGTTATCTTTTATTCATCCCCCATTCAGAAAAATCGCTGAAAGTCAAACTAACAGTACTGCTGCTAGGCCATCTTCTCATTTGATCCTATGAGAAGATCCTTTTTTGCAATTTGATTGTCTTGAGAACCCCCCCCCCCTATTCTCTGTTCATATTGTATCATTTTCCTGGCAATATAGTCCGATTCCTTTTATGATTGTAAATAGGCTGAAGAAAAATCAACACATAGTCACTTTTCACTGTACACAAAGGCAGCCTTAAAATTGCATTTTCCTCCTTTTTTGTACATTTTTTGATTTTTTCTAGAGCTTGTACCCTACTTATCTGATCTTTTTCCGTACTTTACTTTTGGTGAGATGAATGGCTTTGATTTATTGATTTATTTCGAATCGAAGTACTCGCAATATTCGGGAAATACAACCATGAGATTATGAAGCGACAAATAAATGTGAAAAAATGAGGCACACTGGAATGATTCATTTGAACTTATGGGTCAACGGGACTCTAGCGGGCTCAAAAGCTAGACATATAGGGAGGATCTTCAAGAGGGGGTCACTAGAGGGATTTTAGGAACTAAATTAAGTTTGGCAAGGTTCTGAAGGCAACAAAATGTGGTTGGCAAAGTTCGGGACTTTCTCGGGACATTTGACCTTTTCTGAAAGTTTTCAACTCCCGAACTTTGCCTATAACAATCTGAACAAGGAGAAGTGGAGATTGGTCTTCACTGAGAATCTTCTCTGGACGTCGAGGTCTTGCTGTGGAGCTCGTTTGGGCGGCGTCGACTGGGTCGGCTGATGCTGCTCGACGTAGGACGACTTCTTGGAGCGGGAGGAGGTGAAGGCGAGGCCGGCGGTGCTGGAACTCGCCGTGCTCTGGTCGCTGTCGGACTCGGTGTCGTCGCTGGACGTCTCGTCCTCCTCGAGCACCACCGAAGTCTTCGAGCCGACGTCCTCGAGAATCGGTCGGAGAAGGAGGTCGACGCATTCGTCGTGGTGGAACGTGCGGGCGTCTTCTACCGGTAGTCGGCCCCATCTGAGATTTGATGGGTAAGGGATCAAATAATCTTGTTGATATGTGTTTGGAGCGCCAGAGAGGTCCCGGTATGAGTCCTCTATAACCCCTCTAGGGACCGCTCTAGCGTTCCCAACCACCATGATATTTATATTGATGTGTTGGGAACGCCTGAGAGGTCCCTAGAGGGGTTATGGAAAAATTAGCCCTTGTAGGTAACAAAATAGTGCTTCCTAGAGGGTGGTCCCTACAGGGGTTTACAGTTGACCACTCTGAAGCTTAAGCAGTCCCTAAAGTGGTCTTTTGATTCATTTATTTTTTGATTTTATGGTTTCTGAGACCCTCTAGGGGCCCCTCCAGCGTTCCAAAAAAGGTCCTGTCATTCTGTGAGCTAGGTCATATAGGCGTTTAGAGTCTGACCCCTTTAAGTGGTCCCTATAGTGGAAGTTTGATTTTTCTTAATGATTTGAAAGCGAAAAAGGAACCTTTGATGGCCTCTGAGACCCTCTAGGGACCTCTTCGGCATTCCAAAAAGGGTTCTGTCGTTTTGTGAGCTAAAAACCAACCTATCCTTCGGCCGATGGTCGACCTTGGCGACGTGAAGGAAAAACTTGACGAGATGAGCATGACCCTCGGCGGCAGCAATGTGCAAGGCTGTGCGACCATCATAGTCGGCGATCTCGAGGTTGACGCCCTGGAGGAACATCCGACGGACCGACTCCAGGTCGCCGTTCTTGGCCGCGAACAGCAGGGAGATGACCAGCTCGGTATCGCGGTCGCCGACGCGACGTCGCGGATCGTTCTTCTGCGAGTCGGCGTGCAGCAGACTGTCGTAGTTGTGGAAGTTGAAGTTTTCGATTAGTTTCTGGAATTTTGAGGGTTGAGAACGTAGAACGCTTCTTGAAAGTCGGACCAGCTTCTGACTATCTTTTAAAAGGATCTGAGCTCGAAAGAAGGAGAAAAGGGAGCTTACAAAACCATAATCAACTCCTAAAACACTATTTTACTTCGTAAAAAAGAAATCTACTTTGCACAGCGTGCCCAAACGGGGTGGGGAGACGTCAAAAAATTTTGGCGCGAAATTTTGTAATCTCAAGTACGCAGCCTTTGTAATCTCAAGTACGCAGCCAAATATATTCTTCATGCCGTTGAGTACTCAGTTTCATTTGTAACGATAGGTAGCTGTGACGTCACAGCCCTTTTATCCAAAGCGCGCACTTACTTTTTTTGTAAATACAGGAACTTTGACGCCTCGCTCACCTTCCCTCACCCCATTAGGAATGCCGAAAAGGGGTTTTCCTGACAAGTGCAAAAAGACACAGTTTGAGAATTTGATCAAACTTTGCTGAGATGTACTTCCAGGTCTTCTGAATCGAGAACAAGACAAAATTTTTACGCGTTTTGCCTTTTAGTGCATTTATGGTCCTTTAAAGTTTGCACGCAAGAGCTAATTTCACTCGCGAAGTTGCCTTGGCTTGCAACGGGCGGCGTGGTGTAGTGGTTAGCGTCTTTGCACTGTGAAGCAGTGGTCAGGGTTCGAATCTCTTTCGGAAAATTTTTTTTGCCATTTTTTTAAAGGAGGTCAATTGATGATTTTTTTTGAGATAGAATGGAAGAGATAGTTGAAACCGTCCGTTTTTAGCGTTTTTAGAAGTTTTAAAAATAGGAGAAAATGAAAAATGATTTTTCTGAGAGTTCTAACCTAATTTCCGGCTCCTTTTCAGGATTAGTTCGAGCTCAAAAGGGAGCCTCAACTCAAGAAGTTTGAGGTTAGTTATTGGGATCTCCTAGTTTTTATTTTTGCTTGGTTTTCCAACTCGATCCTAACCTTGCAAAAAGCGACACCCTTGCACGAGTTGCCCATCTTATCCAGAGGAGGTGCAAATAAAGCGATGCCCATCAGATTCGGCACGACGACGATCAAGACGCCAGACACTCCGGATTTAGCCGGGAGTCCCACCTTAATCATTTATCCTCCATTTTTCCAACTTTTTGGATTCTACCTGGAAGGCGAACTTTCCAGACAGATCGTACATTCCACATGAGTACATGAGAGAAAGAACGTCTCGGCAGGGTTGTGGAGCAATGCAACGTTCGTCGGTGAGTGGGCAGACGCCTGGAATTGGATAACTAGGGACTTTTTGAGTTTTGAAATTTTTTAACGTGTTCAAGTTCAGAAAAATGCAATTTCCACTCGAAAGAGGGTTCTCAGAAGAATACTCAAGACTTATGGGAGTTGTGGTGAACTTGTAAAAGTTCAAATTTTTTACAATCTTAAGACTAGAAAAGTAGAAGACTAAGAAGCTTGGAAAATTTTTGGAAGATCATGTATCTATTTTTTAATTTTCTAGAACATTAAGATTAGAAAAATAGAAGCTTTAGAGGCTTGAAAATTTTTTCGGAAGTCTCTGAAGTTGATCAAGTTTCTATAGTCCGTCCGCCACGACTTTACATTTTTCGCGTGTCTGCGTCTCTCTATTCCCTCATCAGAGAGGAAACATGGAAATAGCACGTGAACATGAGAGAGACAATGAAAGATGAGGAGGGCGCAGAGAAGTCCTTTCAAGTCGCGAAAAAGGGACTTTGGGAGCTTGAAAAATTTTTAAAAGTCTCTTGATCAAGTAGCGATTTTTGATCTTCTAGAACCTTAAGATTAGAAAAATAGAAGGTTTAGAAGCTTGAAAATGTTTTACAGAGACTCTGGAATTGATCAATTTTCTATTTTTAATCTTCTAGAACTTTAAGATTGAAAAATAGAAGGTTTAGAAGCTTGAAAACATTTTTTGAAGATTCTGGAGTTGATCAAGTTTCTACTACAAAATGAGCTCCTAGACGATCCTAGCAATACTTAGGAGTTATATGAGACGTTGCACTTGACTTTAAAAATTTCAACATCTAGAAGTTTGTGGTTAGCATCAGGGGCTTGGCAAAAAATTTTGAAAACCCAGGATTAAAAAAGTTTCCCTAAAAGGAGTTTTTGAAGATTCTACCTATACTTAGACTTGATAGGACTCGTTTTAGGTAACTTTAAGTCTTCTGAAATCTTGATGTAGCCGATTCTTGGGACGCAAACGAGGCGTGGTCTGTCTGCGCTCTAACCAGCCCCCGTATCTTTTATTATCGTGTCAGGTCCCATTTTTCGATGGCTCAAGCCAGCCGTGAATCAGCTATTTTAGCATGAAGGGAAGCTTGAGACATTTTAGAAGGTTGAAAAATGTTTTTTCTAGACTATTTCCAAAAATGAACCTCCATTAGCCATGGTGGCGGCCATGACAGCCAACGTATCGCAATTTGTCTCCAAGGAGCACAGTTGGAAGTAAAGGTCGAGTTCTTCGCGAAGGCTCTGAAACGATGACTTTCGGATGCTTTATCGATGGAGCTTTGCTTTTCTCTCACCTTGGCTTTTGGCGGGAAGCAGTTATTCTCTTTCATGTAGTACGACAGAGCGTAGTTTCTGTCCGCAGTGTCGCGTTCCGAGAGGAATCTGGAAGATTTTTTTTAAAGATACAGAAATGAAAGTATCTCGTATGAATGTCATTGTGGCACTTGCGGGGCAATTCTGGTCTTCAAGTGAACCCTAAAGGGGCGTTGAAATCACTTGAGGGGTCACTAAATCCCTTAAAATCGCCTGGCGCTCCCCCTTTGTGTATAGTGGATTCAGGGCGAGTTTTCACTGTTTTTTTTTTGAAGTAAAAAAGGAAAAATGACACTTTTGCGCTTTCGCTTCAAGACCCATAATCTGAAGGTGTACGGTATTTCGGCCCGAGATAAAAACGTGACAAGTTGCAGCTACATAAGACAACTCACGTGGCATTATCGAATCCAACGTGTTCACCACCGGCCAGCTTGCGGTACTCGTGAAGGACAAAGTCGAACCGGTCCGACATGTTCATGCCGCTTTTGATCAACGACGAGGTGATGATCGCGCCGGCGTTGATCATTGGGTTGTGTGGTCGGCCTGGAATATTCCCGTTTTGGAAGGTCGACCAGATTTCAAACTTGAAGTTTCAATGTTTCCTACAAAAGTAGTCATTTCACAGGATCTTCCAGAAAGTGGATCTTATTTTCGAGAAACCGGGCTCGGCCGTTTCATGGTTTTCTTTGACTTTTCGGGGTTTTCCTCAAAAACTAGGAAGTTGTTAGGTAATTTTTGAATGTTTCAAGAACTTTCTACGAAGAAGTTCGTTTCACTACGCAGTCGGGAATTTTCTGATGATTCTGGGAAAATCTTTAGTGGGCACTATAGAGGCTCGCCAAGAACTACTTGGAGAGGACATTAAAGTGGCCACTAAACCCCCCTCTATAGTGGCCACTATTTTCCGTTTTAGTGGCCACTATAGGGGCTCTCTATCTAGTGGCCACTATAGGGGCTCTCTATCTAGTGGCCACTGGAGCAGTTTTTCATCCAGTATTCCTTCCGCTCCTTCATGTACCACCTCTCCGCGGTGATGGGGATCAACGACCATTTATGGCGGCAACGTCATAAATCCAAGGTCATCGTCAACAGACTAGAGAAGCAACTCGACAACTTCCAACCGCCTTCGCAGGCTGGCTTCCGACGCAACTACTCTTGCCTCGACCACATTCACGCCTTGACCCAGGTGGTGGAACGGCACCAGGAGCACCAGATGCCACTTGCGTTGGCCTTCGTCGACTACTACAAGGCATTCGACAGCGTGGAGATCAACGCCGTCTTGAATGCTCTTGCCTCCGCCGGAGTCGCCACGAAGTACGTCGAGCTGATCGCCAACAGCAACGAGGGAACGTCCACGACCATCCAGCTGTTCGACAAGAAGCTTTCGATCCCCATCAGGAAAGGTGTTCGCCAGGGAGATACCATCTCCCCCAAGTTGTTCTCCACGGCACTAGAAGACGCGATGCGCCAACTTGGATGGGACGAAGAGCACGACTGGGAAGACAGTACAGACATCAGAGGCATCAACATCGACGGCAAGGTCCTCACAAACCTCCGCTTCGCCGACGACATCGTACTCTTCTCAAGCTCCACCACCGAACTTTCCTCTATGCTGAACGATCTGGACGAAGTCGGCAAGAAGATCGGCCTTAAGATGAACGTCAAGAAGACGCAGTGCATGAAGAACCGCTTCTGCGACCAAGGCAAAGTCACCCTTGAGGGCCGCGACCTTCAGGAGGTCACATCCTACATCTACCTTGGCCGGGAAGTAAACATGGTGAACGACCTGCAAGCAGAGATCGGCAGACGCAAACGCGCTGGATGGGCCGCCTTCAACTCCATCAAAGAAGTCACCAGTCAGCTGAAAGACCCGAAACTGCGAGCTCACATCTTCGAAGCGTCGATAATCCCTGCCATCCCCTACGGTACCGAAGTTTGGCCTGACACGAAGAAAAAAATGCAACCGCCCTACGAACTTCCTACCGCGCACTGGAACGTGCTCTCATCGGCACCACTCGCTTCGAGCAGTGGAAAAAGAACAGAGGAGCACAGACCTCCGTCAACTATCCCAAATCCGGGATCTAGAAGAGCACATACAACGCGGGAAACATCGTTGGGGCGGCCACGTCATCCGCAGACAAGACGACCGCTGGTCCACGAGATTAACACACTGGATTCCGAGAAACATCAAGCGCCCACTCGGGCGCCCACCGACCAGATGGACGGACTACTTCCGCAAGAACATCAGTCAGCCAGGCCGCCACTGGATGACCGTCGCGCAAGACCGAGCCGCCTGCAGAACGTGTGGTCCACGCTGAGAACATCAGCGAAGATGGACCATCAAAGTATCAAAGTAAAGTATTCCTTCCGATATCTCTGATAATTTTAAAACAAACAGATTGGATCAGTTATGTTGATCCATTGACCCCTAAAATGACCACTAAAATGTTAGTGGTCTAGTAGTAGCACTTAGACCTTTATAGCGGCCACTAAGTTTCAACCCTAGTGGCTGCTAAAACGTCAAAACCCTATAGTGGCCCCTATAAAAAAATCATCAGACCAATTTTGAGAACTCTTTTAGTCAGTGTAAACGACCTTGTAAGACTCACCACTTCCATCAAGGCAAATCTCGTTGAAAAGTCGTCCACTGGGCTCGTGTCCGACGTAGGAATGGATGACGTCAGCGCCGAGGTCCGACGCCACGATCGAGTAGTTGAACGCCTAAAACGCCTTCTTGTTTTCAAGATTTTATCAAAGTTTGAGTAGCTTCTCGGACGTCTAGTGACCACTTTAGTAGCGTCAGCACTCTTATGTGATCCCTAGAATCGCCCAAAGACGTCCAGAGCTCTTTTTTCGAAACGGACGTGTCGCGGCGATTCTAGTGACCACTTCAGTAGTGTCAGCACTCTTAAGTGAACCCTAGAATTGTTTAAAAACGCCCGGAGCTTTTTTTTCAAAAAGGACGTGTCGCGGCGATTCTAGTGACCACTTCAGTAGCGTCAGCACTCTTAAGTGATCCCTAGAATCGCCCAAGAACGCCCGGAGCTTTTTTTTCAAAAAGGACGTGTCGCGGCGATTCTAGTGACCACTTCAGTAGCGTCAGCACTCTTAAGTGATCCCTAGAATCGCCCAAGAACGCCCGGAGCTTTTTTTTCAAAACGGGCGTGTCGCGCCGATTCTAGTGGCCACTTTAGTAGTGTCAGCACTCTTAAGTGATCCTAGAATCGCCCAAGAACGTCCGGAGCACGTCCTTTTCCAGTTTTCCTAGGCGCTATTTCACTTTTGATCGATTCTGAACCAAAGTTCTTTTCTAGATCAAAACCTAAGGTTCTTATCACTTAATCAGTACCTTGGAAACGGATTGAATGCAGAAGTTGGTCTTGGCATCGCCCAGGGAGTATCTCTGTCCGTCGATGGTGCAAATCGACATGCCCCAGATTTCGGGATCCTGTCGGGCCAATTGAGGGATGTACTTGGCGACCTCGCCGTCCGTTACCAAACGGCACTGGAAAATTCTGACTTTGAGCCAAAAAAATATTCAATTCGAGGGTTACCTCATCGAAGATCTTCTTGATATTGCCGCAGAACTCGGACCAGTTCGGGATGATCAGCTGGTTGCGGAGAGCCGTCGAAATGAGCCCCACCGACGGGTTGATGCACCTGGAAACTCGTCATGCTATTTTTTTCAGGATTCCGGTCTGTTTCACTACAGGCCCTGCCCCATTTTTCGAGACAGGAAGGTGCTCGGAAACAAGAATAGGGTCACAAAAGTACAGAAATTGCTTTTTTCAGATTGAAAAAAGTTTTTTGGAAAACCTGATTAAGAGGAACTAACCAATTTCCCATTAAAATTCAAGAAAAGGCAGATTTTAGGACTTTCTCCTCCCTAGGAACCCCTACTGAAAAAATTTGACTTGCATCCGCAATTTACTGTTTCACTGATACGATATTTAAATAAAATGGTCTCGAAACTATTATATAGGGCACAACTTGACCGTGTTTACCAACTTGATTTGTTAAATAAGGGCTTTTGATTGTTGAAATACTACATTTTCGAAAAACGCCTAAAAAAATTAAAAAAATTTTTAGAATCGATCTGGAACTCACTTCCTCGATATTTTTCATAGAAATGGTCTTGAAACGATTTTTGAAAAAAAGGGAATTTTTTTACGGTATCGTCATATTTAATTTTGTTTGAATGAAACCTTTATTCTTCCAAAGGTTTGATTTTTTTAATAGAAAATTTTTTTATAATCGGATTCACTGAGCCAATATTTTTAGCCTGACCCAAACTCTAGATCACAATTTGACCTCGCAAAAAAATCGTTCGCGCCCTAGCCTTCCTCCATTCATCAATATCCTATTTTTCGTCATTTTTTTAAATATTCATCTAATTTTTTCTTCTGATTCTCTTCATATTAATCTTGATTTCTACTATTTATCAAAAAGCTACCTCGGATGAATCAAAAAGAAGGAGAAAAGTGAGTTATTTTTTTCAATATTTAAAAATTTTTGAAGCTCGAAATCGTAAAATTAATCAGATAAGATGTGCTGAAAAAAATTTTTTTGCCGGGTTTTTTAAAAAAATATTCTTTTTTTATGGAATTTGTAAGGTTAATCAAAGGATCTAACTATTGGAATCGTGATAAAAATGAGTATTTTGGAATTTCCCTTGACAAGTATCGTTTAAGAAAAAAATTTTTTTAAATGAATTTTTTTGAACTTTTCGATTTTTCCAAAAGACCTGTTACTTGAAGAAAAAAAGGTATCTAAATTTCCCTTAAGATCGAACAAAGTTTTTTTTTAATTTTTTTAGACTTCATTTTTTTAGAAGAAATCCCGAGGTTTTTCGATTTTTTTCTAAATGTAAATGTTCAAGTTTTTTTCATAAAGTCTTCTTTTTTAAAAAATTAATTTAAAAGTTTTTTTTTTTTTCATGAAGCATATTGTGTAGAACGAGCGTATGATGAATTTTTTTCTCTAGGCTGATTTTTTTAATGGACTCCACAGACAACTCTCTTTTATCTATTTATTCATCATTATGGTGATACTCCAACAATTTCTAAACCTTCATTTTGAACCGTGCATCATTTGGAATACCCCCGAAACTTGAACCAAACCTCGTGGTCTCTTTTAATAGCCCCACACCACCGCACTGTTACCGTATCAGTTGCGGAAAAAACACTTTTTAGTTATTTCAAGATAAGAAAGTTGTCTCGCGACGCGACAATTCCGTCTCAATTAACCAAAGAACGGCCGCGAAAAGTAACAAAACCGAACCCCATTTTTATGTCTGGCCCATAAAAAAATACCAGTTTATCAGGGGTGATTGTGTACGCGCGTCTATCAAACTCGGTATCAAGGGGAATGAAAAGATGAGAAGGACGGACCCTTTTTGAACTTCTTTTTAATGGGAGAGACTCTTCGTGACCGAAGACCTTTGCTACAATGCTTTAGGAAAGAAAAAACCTCGAGACCTCTTTTTGAGCAAAGTTCATGCGCCTTTAAATTATGAAACAGTTCTTTCCATGATCAATGTTCCAGAAAAGCAAAAAATGAAGAAATCTGTCAAAAATGAAAAAAAAAGTGGGATAATTCGCCACGTCGCTCATACATTTCTTTAAATGATCACTGAAGGGGTTCATATTTTCCCTTAAGTGGTCACTGAAGGGTTTTTATTTTCAACTCTACAGGCAAAAAAAAAGGACGGACCCTTTTTGAACTTCTTTTAATGGGAGAGACTCTTCGTGACCGAAGACATTTGCTAAAATGCGCTAGGGAAGAAAACGCTTTGAGACCTTTTTTGAGCAAAGTTCATGCGCCTTTAAATTGGAAAACAGTTCTTGGATGGTTTTTTCCATGATCAATGTTCCAGAAGTGCAAAGATATAGGAAAAGTAGTTAAATTTGAAGGCGCGTTTATTCCCCAAGTGGTCTCTGTAGGGGTTCCATTTTTTATTCAAGTGGTCACTGCAGGGTCCAATATTTATTCAAGAGGTCATTGAAGGGGTTTATTCTCCTACTTTTAACTGTACAGACAAAAACTTCATAAAAAAGCGCTAAAAAAGATTGAAGCCTTTTAGTCCACTATAGTGGTCACTTAGCGTTTGAATCGTCGGCTTATTTGAACCCTAGAGTAATAACTCAAAGGAGTCATTTAGCCTTCTCAAGTGGTCACTAGGAGCTTTAAGACTCTGGAAACTTCAGTTTTGTCACTTTTTTTTCGTCTCATTTTCTGGTTTTTTATCCGTCACATTAGAGGCCCAACCCTCAAGTGGTCACTTTATTATGAATCTTCACAGCTTAGTGAATTTTTTTTCTGTGTGACTGTATGACATCTCTGCGCTTTCTCCGACCTCTCCGATGAGAGAAAAGAGGGCACAGAGAGGTCAGAAGGACTGAAACCAACTCTTTGAACTGCTTGCGGGTCATGTCGTTGACGGCGCGGTCCTCGTCTTCGGAATCCTCCTCGAACTCCTTGATCCGTTTCATCATCTCGCGAAGACGTGGGTCCTTCTCGCGAAGTCCGAACGATTTCAGAACCTGGACTTTTTCTCATTTTCAAGTCTCTTCTAGGCGAGAGAAAAGAAAGTGCAGACAGGTCAGACAAATCCTCACCTTGATGAGTTTCCCAATGTTGGCGTCATCGCGATTCGGGTGCTTGAAGAGGTCGAAAATGAGGTCAGCGGGTGAGGCTTGCTTCCGGAGCTCGTAGGACTGCTTCAGACTCTCCGCGGTTTTCGCCAAAGCCTGTGCCACGGACGACTTTCTTTGGAGAATCGCGCCGATCGTCGAGACTGAAGGAGGATGATGAGATTTTTTCTTGGTCCTGCTAAAGCTGGTCTCATTTGAGTTTAGGTCTTTAAGTAAGGTCTTAATGACACTTAGGTCTTTAAGTAAGGTCTTAAGGACACTTAGGTCTTTAAGAAAGGTCTTAAGGAAGCTTAGGTCTTCAAGAAAGGTCTTAAGAAAACTTAGGTCTTCAAGTAAGGTCTTAAGGAAACTTAGGCCTTTGAAGTTAAGTCTCTAGGGAACTTCCGTGTTTTTTTCCCAATACGTAACGGAACCAGGAAGAGTTCTTCCCAATTTTTTTCCCGTGAACTTTTTTCGACCCTCGATCTGATTGATTGCCCTCAAAACAAAAAATGCCTCACTTTGCGAATTCGGGACATCAGGTGTCGTTGCGGTCGACATTGACTTGTGAACCATTTGGCCGAGATCCTGGAAAATTTATTAATTTTTTTGAATCTTAAACTTGATTAAAATTGAAAAAAAATACCAAGAAAAACACACTTTTTGTGCGTAAGAAAATGATCTAGAATCAAGGCGCCTCAAAGTCCAAAAATGCCTCGAAAGTTGAAAATTTTGGTTTTGAAACTACCATAATATCTATCTATAACATTAAAACACATTCGAAAAAAACTTTCTAGCTGAAAATTGCCCTTTTTCGACCTCTAATATAAAACATTTCCTTCAATTAATTGATTTTAAAGTTTTTTTTTGATTAGAAGAAGCTTTGGAGGTCTGAGACAAGCTCTGAAGAAAGCTGAAGAAATTCAAAAAATCATCAAAATTGAAGGAGAAACTAAAAAGAAGCTCAGTCAGGTTAGTATTAGAAGAAAGAAGCTCAGTCAGGTTAGTACTTAAGAGTTTTTAAAATAATGGAAGTTTTAAAAAATGGAAAAAAAGCTTCAAAAAACTCAGAGAAAGCAGTAGAAATTCGGAAGTGGACTTTTTTAGAACCGGACGTTTCTGAGAAACTCTAGGGATCACTTAAGAGTACACAAGCTACTAAAGTGGTCACTAGAAATGCCCAAGTTTTTCAAAAATCTGTCAAAAGGGAAAATTTTTGAACTATTGAGCGACTCTAAAGATTTATCAGTAGCTTAAAAAGACTCCAACTTCAGAATTCTTAGAAAAAATAAAGAGGAAGATTTATGTAAGAAGTTCAAAAGAAATAAGAAACCCAGACAATTTCCTTGGATTCCCAGGTTTTTCAAAAAATTAAACAACATGTGAGAGCCCCTCAAGAAAAATCGTCCAATCTCTCCGTCCCTCGTCGTTTTTTTTTCCTTTTCACATTCTTAGTTTAAACAAAGTTCAGAAACAATAAAGAAAAGAGAGAAGGAAGGAAACCAGAAGAAAAACAGACATTTTCACAGATTTTATGGAGGAAAGTATGAAATTGACACATAAAAATTGGGAAATTCAAAATGGGCCCAATTTTTTTTATGTGGAAATTTTTTTTAGTGTTCTGGGTAGCATAAAATCTTATAGTAGCGAATTTTTTTCAATTTTAGAGAGGAATCTGATTCTTTGAATAATTAGTAGATCTAGCCGACCTGACTTCTTCTTACCGTAACCTCTTACAGTAATGAAAAAAAGCTACAGTATCTGAAAAAAAGTTTGAAAAAAAGCTAGAATGTCAATTTTTTTAAAAATTTTTAGACTTTTTTTATACAATTTTCTATCAACTCCCTATCTCTCCTTTTTTTCAGCTACCGTAACCTAGCTACCGTAATCTGAAGATTACATTACAGTGCTTGGAAAAGGTACGTTATCTGAGAAGGATCAGAAAGAAGCTGAAATCTCAATTTAAAAAAAAAATTCTCAGATTTTTTAGACGAATTTCTATCAACTCCGTATATCTCCTATTTTTAGGTGCCGTAATTTACTACTGTAACCTAAACTTTACAGTAAACAAGCTAAAAAAATTTACGGTATCTTTAAATAATTTGAACACTCACATTTTTCATACAATTTTCTATCAACACCCTATCTGTACTAATTCCAGTTACCGTAACCTGACTACTGTAACCTGAAAACTACAGTAACCTGCTTTAAAAGTTGCGGTATCTGAGAAGGATTCGAAAAAATCTGAACTGTAAGCTTCTTCAACAAAAGAGTGCTACGATGATTTTAGAAACTCTCTATAAGATTTAACACCAAGGTACCATAACCTCAAGAAGACAGTAACCAAGCCAAAAACTCAATCATACCTGTGAGGAGCTCCTTCGTCGCAACTCGAGGAAGTCGTTGGCGAACATTTTCTTCCGTCGCCAGGCCCGATTTTATAGTTTTCTTTCCGACTTCTTATCACTCGCTATCAAACTGAAAATGGTTCGGTTTTTTTGACAACTTCAGGCTGAAAATGATGAAGTGAGGCGAGGAAATTCAGAGAACTGGTATGAGAAACGTGACCCCAAGGAGTGGTCAGACCTTTTCGGTCAAAGATTCTTGAGAAATCGCGCCGGGGTTGCCCCTTTTCCATAGCGTTCTAGTGAGATGGGATTCAGAAGTTTTCGGTCAAGAAAAAATCGTTCAAAACTATAATAGCCTCTTCAGATTTAAATTTTTTTAAGAGAAATGATTCGAAAAAAAGGCTGTTTTTAGGTTACTGTAGGAACATTGTAGCTCATGAGGATTTTTTTCTTTGAGGTAGTTCTCCTTATACATTATATTTTGAAATTTCAGTTGTGAAACTTTCACAGAAATGTTTGAGATAATGCACACTTACGGATAAATTAGACTTCTTCATAAACAATTGAAGGATCCAAAAAAATTTTTCTAGGCTTTCCGGGGAATCTCTAAGTTTCCCGAGAACTGGTTCTACACTGTTTTAAAAATATTTAAGAAATGAGATTTTTTTCAAAAACAGATCTCTAGTTCGTTTTTCGGTGTTGAGTTTTAAACGGCTGATTTATGATTTTGCCACGAAATTCGAAACATTTGAATTTTTTTTCTCAAAAATTCTTGGCTAAACAGCTCCATCAGACTTTTAAGCGTCAAAATTTTGAATCACTGAAATTTTGTGCCTTTTTTCGAAATTTCAACAGAACATTGAAGTCCACTGAATCCAAAAAAACCCGAAGATCTTCTAAAGTCGGTTGAAAATTAAACATAAACAAGGCTCCCGCAATATAAGAAAATCTCATTTTTGCGGCCTAGAAGTTAAGGGAATTCTTTGGAACCACCCTAAAATATGCAAAGCAAACCAGAAAAAGCAACATTTAAAGCAGGATCAATAACCCTGGAATAACCGATTCAATTTGAAGCCCTATAAAAATCTTAGAATCGAAATCTTAGACCAACTAAGATAAAAGCTCTGTTAGGCGAGTACCCCTCTAGGACTGACTTAAGTATCATCACTATTTTGTTAGAGCTCTCAGAATTCAAAAATCTTCTCGAACTGACTCCAGATTTTCGCTGAGTTTAGCTCTAAAGCTGAGTTCAGCTCTTTAGCTCTAAGTTTAGCTCTAAGCTCTAAAGTTCTTCAATTTCCTATACTATCAAAGCTAAACCGCAACTTTAAGAATAATCAACTTCAAGTCCTAAAAATCTGAAACTTTTTGCGCCAAGTCTAGAAGGAAACATAAGTCAAAGTCAAACCGCAACTGACTTCTATGGAATGGCCCTTAGACTTTTTTATCTAGCGTACGCTATCAAAGTCAAGCCGCAGCTCAAACAAGTAGAGTGTGTTCCATATTACTATAGTCTTACCGTAGCAGTACTGACTACAGTACTTATATACACTATACTCCTACAGCTTTATATATCTGAAGATTGCTTAAGAACTAAGCTCAGCTCTTCGCACCTAGTATAAAAAAAGACATAGGAAGGCGGAGCTCAGGTCCAAAGAAAAGTCATGCTAGCCTATCAAAACCGAAACCGCAACATTACGACCAACTCAACTCGAATGAAAAACTGTAAGAAGCCGCCTCCAGGGGCCCACATAGAGTCGCCTTTTTATGCGGCGTCGCCGCCGGTCATTAAAATCCCCTCGTCTGATTCTTCTTCCCTATGTCGACGACAGCCCCCTGTTATCACGCGGGGCATCCCCCAAACTGTTGCCGCCCGAAAAAGGTGACAGAGAGATTCCCCGAACTCTACAAAAAACTCAGGAGAGACAAAAAACTGGTTCCCTTCCGTTGGGTGCAACCGAACCCTACAGTCTCCTTTCCGTCGGAAAATTCCAAGGAAACACCCCTTGAGTGAACACTTCCGCAGAGGGAAGTCCCTCGGTTCAGCAAAGATTTTTCAATTTTCTTTTGTCAGCTTAAGCCTAAAGATTCTCTCCGATTTGAAAATTCCACGGTACGATCCCTTAAGGGGCCACTTCCGAAGGTAATACCGTTTTTTCTGCGACATCATTCCGATTTTTCTAACAACCGAACCTTTCTTCAGGAAAAAACCAAGGAGACACCCCTCAAGTGGCCAGTTTCCCAGAGGATTTATGACTTTTTTTGGTGACCAAGGCAACCCCTCAAGTGGCCACTTCTACAGAAAATTTCCCTTTCTCCAATTTCCTTCTAGCATCTTCTTTGGTCCAAACAAACTCTGCAGTTTTTGAAATTTTTAAGGGAACACCCCTCAAGTTGCCACTTGCAAAGAAGAAATGCCATTTTTCTGAAAAAAGCTCCACTTTTCTTCTTGCAACCGAACCATACAGTTCCCTTTCCGTTAGAAAATATCAAAGAAACCCCTCAAGTGGCCACTTTTCCAGTGGGTAAGGGACATTTTGGTGACGATGGGCCACTTTTCCCTCAAGTGGCCACTTCTTCAGAAAATGTCCTATTTTTCAATTTCCTTGTAGCATCTTCTTTGGTCTAAAAAAACCCTGCATTCTCTTTCTGGCAAAAATTTCAAAAAACATCCCTTGAGTGGTCACTTCTGCAAACAATGTTCCAATTTTCTTCTTGCACCGAACCCAACAGTTCCCTTTTCTTTGCAAAATACCAGGAAAACCCCTCAAGTGGCCCTTTCGCCAGAGGAAATGTCATCGTTCCTGCAACATAGTTCCAATTTTCTTCGAGTAAACAGGGGTGTTCCCCCAAAAATATTTGCCTCGTGTTTACATTGAAAACCTGTTGGCTAGAATTTCGGGTTACTGTAGGACCGGACATTGCAACCGCTGGGAGTTTTTTCACTGTAATTTTCGAGCTTTTCTTGAGTTACTGTAAATCTTTTTCCTGGATGAAGGTCATCGTACTCATGAACTGATGGAAATTATAAGATTGATAGTTACTTTATTTCATTGAGGTTACTGTAGCTTTTTTGCAATTTGAAATATCGTACTTCTACTGGGTTACTGTAAAACTATCACTTCCTTAATTTAGTGGTCATAGAATTTTCCGGAAATTTCAACTTTCTGTACTCCGAAAAAGTCTGTCTTACTGTAAGAATGATCATAGATTACGGTAATTATATTACTGTAGGATTTAAATTTGAACTCTGAGCCTCCGACTTGAAGTGCGGATTTGAAAAAAGTATTATTCAAGTTCACAGCCTTTTTGTAGGTTACTGTATTACCTATCAATTTAACTACCGTATCTTTGGGTTACTGTAAGTCCAGATAGAGATTCTGGGCTTGAAAAATTCACGTTTTTAGAATCGGTTTTCTATGGGTTTTGAGTTACGAGAATGAATATTTAGGTTTTTCGAAGCTCTTCCGATTACTGTAGTCCTCTTCAGGGTACTGTAGTCTTCCTTAGCTTACTGTATTCAAACTATCAGCTTGATTGAACTCAAAGAAATATTTAAAAAAGTAAAAAATGAGAAAAAAGCGGAATTCTACGGAAGAAACTCTTCCGAAAGTCAAAGAAAGGAAAAAATGAACTTCCCATAAACAAAAGGTAGTTTTTTAATGGTTTTAAAACATCAGAAACCAGTTCCGAATGATTTTATTGATAATCTTGGAAGCGGTAGGTTGAGAATTTTGAAAAAAAAGCTCTTTTCAAAATTTTGTTTTTTTAAGCTTTAAGGCTGAATTTTTTTCAGAAAGTTTGCTCCATGGACAAAGTTCTTGAGTTTTTTTCTAAAAAGAAATTGAATTCAAACTGTTTTTTTCAAGCCTTGAGCCTTGAGTATTCTACGTAGTAGTCAAGTTTTTTTGATTTGAAGAAAAAAAAGTCTGAAAGTACAATTTTTTAGGTTTTTTTGAGTTTTTAGTTAAGTTTTTTTGAGAGTGGAAGTATAGAAATTTATCAAAGTTCGAAAATTCGAAAGTTTCTGACCTTTAAGGTGATAAAACAGCGTTCAAAGATTTTGATGGGAAATAAAATCTTATCTATTCTGGTCCCAAAAAGCGCATACTTCATTCTATTTGACTTTTCGGAGCGGCGCGAAAATTTCCTGGCACAATTATAACGTTGAATACTCAGTCAAGGAAGCCTGCGCCTTTAATTGTCTTAGAAAGTTTTGATGAACATTAGACCTATATTTTCTTTATGAAACACCCGGGTATACGGTGTAGGACTTAAAACGGAACTGAAAACGGCTCTTCGCCTCGAGACCTTTTCGAAAATAGCCTATGCTCCTTTAATATGAAAAAAACTATAGCAAAACGGCAACAGTTTTTTTTAAAAAATTGATCTTTTTTCCAACCAAAGAACACAAACTTCAACTTCTTCGAAACCTACCACTCATAAAAGAAAAAAGCCTTGAAACCATTTTCGTGACGTCTCGAGACCAAATATCGGTCCAATTTCATCGTGGATAATAAAAAAAAGCGGGGTGAAGAACGATAAATTGGTTCCCCGCCGGGGCGGCAATTTTTTTCTCGTCTCAATGAAACGTTCGGATCAAAACTCTTTGGCGATTTTTGTCTTGTTTGCCCGATTTTTCTGTTTGGGTTTTGGTTTAATCTCGATTTTCGTCTTCAGACAACATGGCAAACAGAAAGGATGCGTGATGGAGAAGAGAGAATTACGGTATCTTTTGAAAATTGGAACGTTTCGTCACTTTGAGTAACAGTTTTTTCGGAAGCTCTACCGTTTGTGGACGTCTCTTCAAAGGCCTTGAATTTAAAAAAAATGTCAAAAAAATAATAATTTCTTCATTTTCTGGGAAAACTTTTAGTGGCCACTATAGAGTCTCACCAAAGACTACTTGGAGAGGACACTAAAGTGGCCACTATATTCCTTTTCAGTGGCCCCTAGAGAGGTTCTCTATTTAGTGACCACTTCAGTAGTTTTTCATCCAGTATTTCTTCCAGTAACTCTGATAATTTTAAAACAAACAGGTTGGACCAGTTATGATGATCCATCGACCCCTAAAGTGGCCACTAAAATTTTTAGGGGTCCAGTAGTAGCGCAGACCTCTATAGTGGCCACTAATTTTTAACCCCTTAAGTGGCCACTAAAACGTCAAAACCCTATAGTGGCCACTAAAAAATTTTTCCCAGTTGTTCCTTTTTAGTAACAAAGGAACATTCAGATTCTCTCAAATTTCACAAAACCCCCAAATTTCTAAATAAAAATTTTTATCTAGAATTTTTTCCCATAACCTATCTCAAAATCTTTGAACTTTTTTTATTACTCTCAGCTCCAAATTGACATTTGTCTTTTGATAGTTCAATAAAAAGAGAACCCAGAAAACCGACCAAAGAAACATTTTCTCATATCTTTTTCTTGAAATCTTTTTGAGAGAAAAAGAGGCCGTTCAACGATAAATTTTGAAAAACGATTCGAAAGTCATTTCGAATCTCCATTGAAAATGGTCTAGAAAGGGGGTTTTCTTCTAATTTGCTTTAAAATATTTTCAGAAAAATGTTCTCTTATATTCTCAATATTTTCTGAAATTATTCTTTTTCAATGCTTTGATAAGCTATTATTGAACAAAAAATATGAAAAAGATTTGAAGATTTCAAAAAACCGTAAGTCTATTTTTCTCTTGTCCAGGCTCTTGAAAATTCTTAAAATCGAAATATTTGATTTTTTTAAAAAGTTCTAGAGGCTTTCTCAGAACTTTGGAAAATATATTTAGATGGATCTCATTTTTTAAAGCCCTGTATATTTTACAATCGAGACTCAATTTTTCTGGAAGAATTTTGGTTCATTTCTAGAAATATCTCACAGAGAAGTCCGTTTTTCAATAGATCAAACAAAGTAACGAAACTAGGGGAGTGCTAGAACACTTTTGGGCTATTTTTAAATCATTCTGATTTCAATTTTAAATTATTATGATTTTTCTTAAATTATTATGATTTTTGTAAGGAAGTGACAGAGTAGCTTTGACTAGGAAAAGTTTTTGAACCCCCCATGAAGTTGAACTTTTCGCTGAAATTTTGCTGAAGTATACTTTAGGACCTCCTGAATCCAGAACAAAAAAAAATTTCTCGCAATAGATCTCGTTTTCGAGTTAGGACACTTCAAAAGCCCGTAATAGCGCTTTTTTGGTCTAATTTGCGTATTTTGCACACTTTGAAGCTCCATAACTCGGAAACGAGATCTATTGCGAGAAATTTTCTTCGTGTTCTGGAAAGAGGAGGTCTTAAAAGTACACTTCAGCGAAGTTTCAGCAAAAGTTCAACCGGGGGTAAAAAAACGTTCCCTGGTAAGCATCTTTCTTCGGAAAATTCTAGGTTCTTAGGTTTTTGAGAATTTCGAAAACTATCAGAAAAAAATCGAGGAAACCCCTAGATAGTTGTTCGGATGTGCTTTATCTTCAATTATCGATCCATGAACTAAAAATCGGTTCTGTAGTAAATCGAGAAACATCTCGGGAATTCCCCAAACAATTCAAGGACCAACTGACACGAGAGACCGTCGCTGACGAACAGAAAAGAAAAAGATGTAAAGTCTAACAAAAACGGCTATCAATTAGTGCAGTAAACGTCTGCGATCGCGGAAAATTCGCTCATAAATCATGACGGAATCGAGACGAGGGCACGCACAAAAAAAAGAACGCGCTCGTGATCTTTTCGACAAAGGGAACCCCCTTGGCGCTAAAAGTTCCAAGAGACTTTTCTCTCTGCCTTTTTCATAATAACTTTCGAGGAATTTGAATGTCAAAAGAAGGCAAAAAGGCCAAATTACTACTTAAAATAGCTCTTCGTTTCGAAACCTTTTTGATACTAGTACATGCGCCTTTAAACTTTAAAAAAAATTTTGAGAAAAAAAAAACATTTTTTTGTTTATTCACGGCTTCCGAGCTTGAGTGAGTGAAAATCGGCAAAATTGGGCTTCAAGGATACGAAATAACGAAGAAAATGGCTTTTCGCTTCGATACCTTTTTTGAGACTAGTACATGCGCCTTTAAACTCAAAAAAATTTTTGAAAAAATTTTTTGGTTCATTTACGGCTTCTGAGCTTGAGTGAGTGAAAATCGGCAAAATAAAGCTTCCAGGATACAAAATAACAAAGAAAATGGCTCTTCGCTTCGAGACCTTTTTGAAACTAGTACATGCGCCTTTACACTTAAATGAAAATTTTGCGGAAAAAAATGCAAAACACACAAATTCGGTCAATTTTTCGTAAGAAGATCGAAAATTTCAGAAATTTTTTGAACCTAAAAAATTTTTTTACTTGCACATTGGTAACCCGAAACAGACTTGCTTCTGAGCATTTCTAGGGATCACTTCAGTAGCTTAATCACTCTTAAGTGATCCCTAGAATTGCTCAGAAAACGTCCAGAGCAAGCCACCAATGTCCGAGTATCTTAAATTTTTAAAAAAATTTCAAGAATATTTTTCTTCCTGGGTGATTAAAAACGAGTTCTACGGCTTGTCAGAAATTCCAAAACCTAGCCAGAACATTATACGTTTCAAAATGAATTTTTAAAAAGTTTAAAACATTTTTGCGATATTCTGTCGTCCTTTTCGCAGTTATAATTGCCTAATCATGGAAAATTGAAAGGTTCCCGTCGATTTTTATCCGTTCGTAAATGAAATTCAAAGAGGCGAAAATGTCTTTTTTTTCTTTGAGTTGAACTGGAACTCGTTAAAAGTTGCATCATGCTGATAAAAACCATTTTCGGGTTTAGTTTCAAAGTTTTTGAAGGCTTTTGAGGCGCAGAAAATCTCTGAATTAAAAGAAAAAAAGGGTTTTCGCTCCGAGACCTTTGAAGAGTTATCCTATGCGCCTCTAAAACTTCTAAAAAGTTGAAATAACATATCTTACTGCGGTATTCGAAGGAGAACTCGAAGTTGGTAGCAATTAAAAGGGCAGGGAAGCTTTTCGTCACAAGACCTTTTTTTGAGATTCGCCTATGCGCCTTTAAAAAAATATGATGCAAATTTTGGCCAATTTTAAGCTTAATTTTTTGAAAAAATGTTTTTTTCACTATTTCTGTTGTATCAAGGTCTCTTTTTAGGGATTTTTAAAGGCGCATGAGTTTCTCAGGAGTTCTGGGAAACGGCTTTTCGTCTCAAGACCTTCAAAAGTTATGAAATGCTCCTTTAAATTATCATTTTTTTGAGTTGATTACATTGATTATTTGTTGATAAGACGTATATTTTTTTCCTGAAAATCATGATTTTTTTATTATTTTTTTATTTGATAAGTCTTTTCAAAAAAATCATAAATGAGATTTTTAATATGTTTTTTTCAAGAGTAATGAAGAACGGCTCTTCGTCTCAAGACCTTTAAAATTTATGAGATGCTCCTTTAAACTATCTATTTCAAGTTGATTATAATGATTCTATATTTAACAAAAAAAAAATACTTTTTCGCACTATTTTCAGTAAGTTTTCATGTAGATTTCCAGTTTGAAGAAACCTAATCAACCAAAATTTACGAACTTCCAGGTCAAACTTCATCAATATTTTGCTTCAGGTCGTTTCAAACGATCTCGTGCCAACGATGTTGTTGTGAACTTGGGAAACTCCTGGCCCCATTTTTTATCTGAAAAAAAGGGAGATAAAATAGCGGCCTACTTGAAGACGGCTTTTTTTTCTCGTCTTTCGGTTCTTCGATATTTTGTTCTTGTGGACGTGAGAGTGTAATCATCGCGTGGATGGAACTCGCCACTTTTTTGCGGGGCTCTTTTGAGTTGAGAACGTCAGAGGGGTCCCTAGAGGGGTTAGGAGGATCACAGACCCTCTAGGGGGCAAAAAAGTGGTCCCTAGAGGGTTGAAAGTGGCTCCTCAAGAGAATAACTGTCTGACCTTTAAACTCGCCACTTTTTCGCGGGGCTCTTTTGAGTTAAGAACGCCAGAGGGGTCCCTGGGGGGGTTAGGGGGAACGCCGCCTCGTTAGAGGACAAAAAGTGTTCCCTAGAGGGCTAAAAATCCAGGTGGTACCTCGAGCAGTTTAGGGTCTGACCCTTAAAGCTCAAAAGGTTAAGAGGTCCCTATAGGGGTCTATTTTTTTCGATTTTTTTCAATTATTTTTCAATGATAAATTTTTTTGCCAATCTCGCAAAAAGGATAAAATCAACAACTAGATTTTTTTGTTATTTAAAAAAATTGGGAAATAAATCGACTTGAAAAAAACATTTTTCTGAAAAATCCAAGGCCTTTCGATTCCTTAAACTTTTTCAGACTTCAAATCATGAGATTAGATTAATTTCTAAAAATCCAAGATTTCTAGTTTCATAATAAAAAAGAAGAAATAAAAACGAAAATCTTTCAAAGCAACTATGCGCCATTGCACAGCCGTAATGTGGAGCGTCGTCGAATAATTTTCAGATTTCAAGCAAATTTTTACTCCGATATTTATTTCAACGAGTATCATGTTGCTAACATCAGAAAAAAAAATATTTCAAAAAATTACCGAAAAATTTATCACAAAAATCAGACAAAATATCATATGGTGACAGCTTCAAAAAGGCACAAAAATGATATTAAAACGGGACTTTTTCAAAGTTACCTATCCAAATTAAAGTTAAGTGAGCGTTGGTCACCCGGTAAACGAGAGAAGTCGAATTATGCCATGGAAGAAGCGTTCTAAACAGGAAAGGGAACCGTAAAATACCATTTCAAAAAGAACAGAAAAAAAATTAGTAGAGAAGTGCATATAATGCAAACTGATTATAATTGAGACAATAATTATTGAGGTTTCGAAAATTGGCATGCGATATCGAAATTTGGGGGCTTAAAAAAAAAGAAAAGAGCCTTAGAGCTGGAAAAAGATACCGGGATATAGTTTAAAGGCGCATAGTAAAAGGTCTCGAACAGAATAGGTTTTCTGAACGACTGATGACGTCATTTTTCATTTCGTTTATCATTGAAGCGAGAAAAAGTACTGCAGAATGTCTGATCATCCTCTTTTGCACACTATTTCGCTTTAGAAGCAGCTTTTTTAAATCAGGCTTTCATACTTTATTTGGCGGTTATTTGAGAAAAGTGACGTCACAGAAGCCAAAATGACGTCATCGATAACCTGAGGCTCCACAATGAAGTGCTTTTTGATAAAAAAAATCACCTAATCCATAACTGATTTGAGAAAAAAAGACATAATATGAGCAATATGTGACGTCATTCCTAAAATTGAAAGAATGACGTTACTGAAAGGGTCAGGCAACTCAAGAAAAATAATGATTTGCGACGTCATCATCAATATTGAGAAAAGAAGAAGCCTTCAAAGGTCGAAGCGATTCTGTGACGTCATTTTTCGGGCTTTGTACCGCCCTTTTTTATCACTCCAGAACGCTCCAAGATCTTCTACCTATGCGCCTTTAAGTCTAGCAAATCTCAACACAAAATCAAACAGAATAATCATCAGCACTATCATTCATATCATGAGGAAGAGTGATCTCGTTGACGACGCCGAGTCGCGGCAGATGCGACGTCTTCTTTCGCGACGGCGACATCGCGAAGTCCGAAGAGGGCGACGCCGAGTCTGATTCTGAGATCTTCCTTTTTCTTTGAACTAGTTTTTATAGTCTGTTCAGATTTCTAATGTCAAGTGCAATGACGTCATTCAAAAACCCTCTGTGAATGGCTCGCTCTCTGATTGGTTTATCGCACCATTAGGGGCGGAGCTTGAGCGACGGCTTGACATTCAAAATCTGAACAGACTATAGAATAATTGAAAATTTGACAACAAGGACCGTAGGGCGTTATCCAAGTGTTACATTTTTTTCGAAACTTGCTTTTTTCTGATGAACTCGGAGAATTTTTAGTAGGCACTTTAGGGTTTTGACTTTTAGTGGTTACTCTAGCGCTCTATCCACTTACCATCAGTAATCCCTTGAGCATCTCCGATCGTCAGCTTGGTGATGGCGAGGTCGTCCTCGTCCGAAGAGAGACTTTCGATTGTGCTGTAAAATCTGGCCTTTTTCGATTATTATTAAATTCCTACATTCTATCGTTCCGATCAACCCTTCCAGTTCCCATCATCGACATGTGGTGCTTCAGAAGGAAGTCGAGACAGGCGTCGTGGCCAAAAGTCCGCGAATCGTCCAACGGAGATCGGCCCCATCTGAAGTCAAAAACAGTGCTTTTTTGGAACTTACTCAAGTGGAGTTAATGCCGTGTACAAATGCGGTTCAAAAAACCCATCAGAGAATAAAAAGATAACTTAAAATTGGAGAGTCAGAGATAATTTTGCAAATCACTTTGAAGAAGGCATAAACAAGCCACTTAAGTGATCTCTGTCTCGAAACGCCTTTTTATCGAACTTGCAGTGTTTCTTAGGACACCTGAAAGAAGATACTTCTTAGGATCATAATAGTGATCATTTGAGGGGTCTCAGTAACCCACTTGAGCGACCACTTCAACCTTATCCTGTTTCCTTCTGGGTTACTCAAGAAAATTATTAGAATCTCTGGGATATCTGACTTTGAAAGTGGTAGAGATGAGAGAAACTGATGGATTCATAGAAGAATTCGCTAAATTTCAGATCTTTTTTCGAGTTAGTGGCTTCAAAGCCCAAAATAACCCTTTTTCTCCCTAATTTGAGCTTTTTTTCGAAATTCAGAACTCGGAAAAAAGTCTATTTCGAGACATATGTTTTGTTTTGACTAAAGTAAGCCGAATTTTTTTAAAATTCATCTGGTAGCTGAGAGAATATTAAAAAAGGTCTAAGGTACTCAATCCAGTGGATACTTGACTATGATTCTCCTACCTTTCCCGGTTCATTTTTTGAATTTTCTTCAGATTTTTGAATTATTTACCTATCACGAGCATCATAATTGACCTTGGCGACCATGATAAAGAACTCGACCAGGGCCAGATGTCCTTCGGCGGCAGCCACATGGAGAGCCGTCCTTCCATCGTAATCCACGATACTGAGGTTCATTCCCTGCATGTACATCCTGCAAAAATCCCCTCATTTCACTAGAGAATCTATTAGATCTAGGTAAGAGTTCTTAGAAACGAGGAAGATTATCTACTGAACCCCATAGGCTTCTGAAAAAAAGCTCCTCGTATAAATCGAGGAAGAGTCCTGTATAGCTGACTCACGGCCGGCTTGAGACATCGAAAAAGGGTCTGGACACGAAAATGTCTTGTGGAGAGCGCATACGCAAGCCACGCCCCTTCAGCGTCCCAAGCTAGCCGTGTATAGACTATATGCGCCTTGAGCTTCCTGTTACACCGAGACGGCGTGGCGCAGTGACTAGAGGGTCAGTCTCTGGATTGACTTCTTTGTCCAGGTTCGACCTCTCTCCAATGCAAACATTTTTGCAATGACAAAGTTTTTGGTACAAAAATCGCCAATTTCGAATCGATACTCGTTCGAGTAGTTCCCTAGTCAGAACTTTCCAAAAACCTTCGAATCGCTTCGAGGTCGCCGTTCTTCGCGGCGAACATCAGAGACACGATGACTTCCGTGTCGCGAGTCGTCATTCGCCGTCGTGGGTCGAACTTTTTGGAGTCGGCGTGGAGCAAGCTGTCGTAGTTGTGGAAGTTGAACATGTCGATCAGCTTCTGGGAAAAATTTTATGAAGAGACAGGAGAAAAACGCCTTGAAATGGGTTCTTCCAAAATGAAATATTGATATGCATTCTTCGGATTATTTTTTCAAAAATCTGCCTTTACAAGCGACTCAGGAACTTCTTAGTGGTCCCTATAGGGGCTATTGAAAGCTCTCTTCAAGGGGCCACTTTACCAACTTCTAACAGCTGTTATTCCGTTTTGCTTGAAGTATTCATTACGAATTTAATGAAACGGCTTAGGAACTTTAGTGTTCACTATAGGGACCCTTGAAAGCTCTCCTCAAGGGGCCACTTTACCAACTTCTACCGACTGTTTTTCCTTTCAAGTTTTGCTTGAAGCGAATGAATGAATGTCGGAACTTTAGTGGTCCCTATAGGGTCTTTAAAACTTAAAATTTGAGCTTGCAACGTAAAAGATGTGAAGGAGAAAAAAAATTTGATGAATTTTCTATGGTTTTTTTGTCCCTATCCAATTGTCAAGCCGGATAGAATAGAAAATCCAAAGTACTGCTGAAACGGGAAAATTATGTAAAACACAATTTTTTGTAACGTTATTCTGGCCTGTCTGCGCTCTCTTTTCTCGTCATAGACACATGGAAATTAGAATGTAATCTTATCTGAGAGAAGAGAGAGCGCTGAGAAACGAAACTTTCTCAAGGTATGAAAATTGAGCCAAATATGAGAAAAAAAAAATTCCAAGTACTGCTGAAACGGGAAAATTATGTAATAAACAATTTTTTCGCAACGTTGTTTTGTCCTGTCTGCGCTCTCTTTTCTCTTCATAGAAACATGAAACCTTTATCTGAGAGAAAAAGAGAGCGCAGAGAAACGAGACTTTCTCAAGGTATGATAATTGAGCCATTTATAATAGAAAAAAACCAAAACAAAAATTCAAAAGTACTGCTGCAACGGGAAAAATTATGTAATAAACAATCTTTTCGCAACGTTGTTCTGTCCTGTCTGCGCTCTCTTTTCTCGTCATAGAAACATGAAATCTTCATCTGAGAGAAAAGAGAGCGCAAAGAAATGAGAATTCCTCAAGATATGAAAATAGAGCCACGTTTACAAGAAGCTACAAGGCCTTGAACGCCTTTTTGTAATAACTATATTTTTTCTGAAGTTTTTCTGAACCTTGCAAAAGTGGACTCCCTTGCAGGAGTTGCCCATTTTATCCAGGGGAGGTGAGAAAAGCGCGATTCCCATGACGTTCGGCACGACGACGATCATCACTCCAGAGACTCCGGATTTGGCCGGGAGTCCCACCTTAATCATTTCTCCTTCTTTTCTCCTTCAGTTGTTTTGATTCTACCTGGAAGGCGAACTTTCCAGAAAAGTCGTACATTCCGCAGGAGTACATGAGAGAAAGAACGTCTCGGCAAGGCTGCGGGTCGATACAAGTCTCTTCGGTCAAGGGACACACTCCTAAGGATTTTATGTTGAAAATTTCAGGTCAAGAAGAAAAAACAGAATTTTATAATGGGTTTGTAACGACTCGAGAAGCCTTAGCGACGGTTAAAATGGCTTGAAACGGCTTTTTCTCCAGTTTCCTTGACCCTTTATCGGTCCTTATTTGAATAAAATTTAAATGACGGCACTTATAATGGTTAGTGTCGCGTCGCGGCTGAATTTAGATGCCGTTTGGAATGGGTCACAGCGGCTTTTTCTTCAATTTTCCTGACCATCTATCTATCCTATTCGAATCAAAGGTCAATGACGGATGGCAGTTGAAATGGCTGATCGCGCGTCGCGGCTGAATTGCGGTGCCGTAACGGCGTTTGGAATGGCTTGAATCGGCTTTTTTCTAACTTCCTGGATTCTGTATCTATTCCTATTTGAATCAAAGCTGAATGGTGGCACTTGGAATGGTTATGGAGCGTCGCGGCTGAATTGAGATGCAATAGCGGCGTTTGGAATGGCTTGAAACAAGTTGTCCTTTAAGTTTCTCGACCTTTTCTGGTCATCATTCACACAAAAAGCTCTATGGCGGCAGTAAGAATGGCTTGAGGGGCGTCGCGGCTACGTTATGCCTATTTCAAGGCGGATGTTCTTTGAACCTAATGTTCTCAGCTCACAGTGGGACTTCTGAGTGAAACTAGGCTCACTAGATCTGTATACTTTCCGAAAAACCGGTCGGAGACATTAGATTTTTCGACTTTGAGAGTCCATAACTTTTTTCACAGACCTCGAGGGTAATTTTTCAGCACAGATTCAAAAACAGCGTAAAAAACTACATCTAATGAGCCTAGTCTCAATCAGAAGTCCCATTGTGAGCTGAGAACATTCCCTGATTAGAGGAGGCCCTTGGAATGGCTCAATGCGTCGCGGTCGCGCTGCGTCTCACCCTAAAACCCTACCCAACTTAACTTGGCTCTAATTGGCTAGACACGCCCATTTTTTTTTGCGATTCTGGAGACGTCAAAAAACAGTTTTGTGTCACCTATAGCAGGTTGCAGCAGGAGAAAATTTAGAAAGTGAATTTTCTGGTAAAACTAACTTGACCTATAGTTTCAATACACATTCCTAACCCCTAGGTCAGAAAAATTTCAAAAGAGCAAATCAATAATCGACCGCGTCGCCTCGAGCCGTTCCAAAAAGAATGACGTATCTTTTTTATTACGAAAACAACTATAAAAAAAGATGTAACGAAGAGACGGAGCTGTTTCAAAACCTAGAACTCTAGCTGAAACAGCGAACCTCCGTTGGCAAGGGTGGCCGCCATGACGGCCGCCGTGTCGCAGTTGGTCTCCAAGGAGCACAGCTGGAAGTACAGATCGAGTTCTTCTCGGAGTCCTTGAGTTCCGGGCGGGAAGCACCCGTTTTCCTTCATATAGTACGACAGAGCGTAGTTTCTATCCGCCGTGTCGCGTTCCGAGAGGAATCTCAAAAAATTGATTCTCATATCCTTAGGCTAGTGCAGGACTCATTTAGTCCAGAAGGAGAGATTTCAAAAATTTGGAAATAAAATGAAGGGTAAATTTTCCAAGAATGTTTTTTGGTTCAAAAAATTTTTTTTTAAATCTTCACTACATAAATTATTCGTGATTGTCCATGGGGCGCAAATTCCTTCGTATTTTTGGCCCATTTTTCACAACTTTTTTTTAAAAACTCTTCTCGGCTTTTCCATTACTATTATACTCAAAACTACTAACAAAAACGTTTTTTTTTCAATTTGAGGATTCACTATAAATCGTTCAGAACATTATATCAAGATTCTGAAAATTTCAACTTGCTCATTTTCCTTTTTTTCAAAAATCAAGAGTTCAAGTCGGAAAATTGCCTATTGCAATGGATTTTATTGATTTCATCCAATTTCGAGGTGCCCTTTTCAGAAATTAGGTAATTTAAAGGTTCAGATATCAAGAAAAAAAAACTGTTCTAGAACTATTTTTAGAATATGCTTATCTTCAAAATAATTTGACTAATCAGAGCCTAGCTTTGGAAGTTCAGAGGGGTCCCTAAAGGGGCAACCTTAGGGGCCCTTGGATGGTCGATGAAACTGAAAGACCTCTATAGGGACCACTTGAGCTTTAGGGACTAAGAGATCAGACCCTAAACTCCTATAGGGGCCGCTTTTTCGACCTCAATAGAGGTTGTTTTTCATCTCAATCCCTATAGTGACCGCTTTTTCTACTCCTATATGGATTTTTTTTCTCCCTAACCCCTAGAAGGACCACTCTGGAATTTCTCAACTTCGATATATTTAACTAAAAAAACAAAAAAAATATCGATTGATAACTATTGATTGATTTTGAATTTTGAAAATTTTCAACAAGAATTTGAAATTGACACGTAAAAGTCGCCATTTCCGATTTTTCTAACTGCTCCCGGAATCCCAATTTTGCAAATTTTTTTTAAAGAATACCGAGTCAATTTCAAAATCTTCAAAAGAAGTTCAGAAACGGCGAAAAATCTCACGTCGCGTTATTGAACCCGACGTGTTCGCCTCCGGCCAATTTCCTGTACTGATTGAGGACGAAGTCGAATCGATCGGCCATCGACTGATGATTCCGGATCAGCGACGTGACGATGATGGCGCCGGCGTTGATCAACGGATTGTGGGGTTTGCCGTTGCCATCGAGGCAAATCTCGTTGAAGAGGCGGCCGCTTGGCTCGTGGCCAACGTATTTGTGGACGACGTCGACGCCGAGGTCCGAGGACACGATCGCGTAATTGAACGCCTAGGGAATCGTGGTGGGTCTTATTCTTCTGGGTCTAGATGAGAGAACGCAAATAGAGGGCATTTCAAAGACATAGGACCGTAAAAACAGAGATTTGAGATGAATGAACCATTTTGTAAAGATTTAAATTTTGCAGTAAAGTTTTCAGCCCCAACCCTGTTTTTTACTGCCCATGTGCCTTTACTCGGAAGTGCTCCGGACGTTCCTGGTCAATTCTAGGGATCACTTAAGAGGGCTAAAGCTACTAAAGCGGCCACTAGAAATGCCCCGACACGTCCGTTTCGCGTTACAAGTGTCCGAGTGAAGATACCTTTTGAAAAATTCTACAAAAAAATTACCTTTTTCAACATGTATTTTGCTCATTTTTTTGAATTCGAATGCTCTTTTTCTTGACCTTTTTCTTAAAATTTGATCCGGTCATAAAAAAAGGCCCTTTTTTTCATTCTTTTGAACACCCAACCTTTTTCTTCAGAAATTCCAAAGATGGCTGATTTTTTGAATTTCTGGGATCAAATTTCTAAGATAAAAGTCAAGAAATTAGCAATAAAATTCATGAGCAAAAAGGCATTTTCTAGAGTTCTTCTTTTTTTGAAACCTATTTTTTTCGTAGCCTTTTTCAGATGATCTCCTCCAATTTTTTTCTGGACCCAAAAATTTCATTTTTTTACAAAATTTATTTGGATTGAAAGGCTCGATCCAGAACACGCAAATGCTAGGAATTTTAAAGATTCCTTTTTGAACCGACCATGAGAAAAAAATTCCTCCGGCATCATTCGATTTTTCTTCAAAATTCCAAAAATGGCTGATTTTCTAATGTCTGGACTCTAATTCTAGGAAAAATCTCAAGAAAAGACGGGAGAGCTTAAACAAAAGTTTAAATTACCTGTTTGAAAATTCATCTCTTTTTAAAGAACTTTTTTTTCAATATTTTTTTGAGCCCAATTTTTCAGTTTTCTTAAATTATAACTACTTTCGAATCAAAGCCTAGATCTTCTATTTTTAATTGATATACCTTCGAGACGCTTTGAACACAGAACATGTCTTTGGAGTCGCCGAGGGAGAACCTCTGGCCGTCGATCGTGCAGATCGACATGCCCCCAAACGTCGGGGTTCTCAAAAAAAGTCATTTTCTTTTTAAAATCAAAATCAAATTTTTCCAAAAAAATTTTTCTGATACTCAAAATGTTTACAAAATCATGTTATCTTTGAAATAAGAAAAAAACGTTTTTCTTTCATGAAAAAGTTGGATTTTTTTAAAATTTTTTTAAAGCGCATTGAAGCTACAGTAAAAGCGGTTCTTCGCCTCGAGACCAATATGATTTTATTTATTTTTTTCCTTCAAAAATCAAGTTTTTTTGCGCTCTCTTCTCCTTGATACTAAAAAGATAACTTTTTTTGGTCCCCAGTTGAATTTTTGAAGAAACTTTGCTGAAGAGGGCTTTAGAAACTTCTAATTCCAAAAAAAGAAATAATAGATCTTTTTTTCAAATTATAAAGCTTCAAACCCTTCGAAAACCCTTTTTTTCATTTTTTTCAGTTTTTGAAAGACTCCGCATTTTTAAATTTCTGAAGAGACTGGACTTCAAAAAAATTATTGCTGATTTTTGAAACCGGATGTCCTAAAGAACACTTTTTCCTTAAAAAGTTCAACCAGAGACTAAAAAAATCCCTGAAGAAATAAGTTCAAACTTGTCGCGCCAGTTGTGGGATGTACGTGGCGACGTGACCATCCTTGATCGTTCGGCACTGAAATTTTTTATTTTTAAAATCAAAAATACTTTTTTTAGTTAGAAAAATTAGGGACCCTTTACAATTTCGACAAGTTTCTGAAATTCCTGAATTTAATTTTTCTTTTTCAAGCTTTTTGGAACCTTCTAAGGTAATATGTATATAAAAAAATATTCGAAACCATTAAATTTCATTCAAAAAAACATTATTAGTAAATTTGAAGGCGTAAAAGTCTTATAAAACCTAAAAAAACGTTCAAATAAGCTCTTCGTCTCGAGACCTCTATGAATTTTTGTCTCTGCTCCTTTAAAAAAATACCTAAATATCTCAATTTACTGTTTCATGCAATTTTTGACGACTTCACTTCACCAGAGCCTTTCAAGGCGATATGCATAGCAAAAAATATTCAAAATCATTGAATTATGTTCAAAAATCATTTCTAGTAAATTTGGGTCTTACAAGACCTAAGATATGGCTCAAATAAGTTCTTCGTCTCGGGACCTCTATAAAACTTGTCTCTGCTCCTTTAAAAATATCTAAATTTACACTGAATTTTTCTCCGTTTTACCTCATCAAAGATATCCTTCATGCGGGCGCAGAACTCTCCCCAGCTGGGGATGATCATTTGATTGCAGAGCGCCTGGGAGATGATCGGCATCGACGGATGAATGCATCTGGAGTTTGATCAGGTAATCGATAAATTATAAGCATCGGCTTTGAAACAGTTAGGTCGCTTGCAAAATGGGTAAAATCGTAGCGTCTTGTGGGGGTGATGAAAAGCTTCTATTAGGCAACCCAAACTTGATCCGCAACGCTTTGAGCCATTTTAAATGCGGCCAAAACAATTTCACGGCATGCTGGAAAAGTCGGTCGGTCGGTTTGGAGAACCAGACCACGCCGCAATTTTGCTCCATGGAAAATCGAACTTCAGATTTTTTTTTTCTCCATTTTTCTATACTTTACCTTTCTTTTTATCAGTTTTCTAGGATATGGGACACATGCTCCTCACTTCGAACTGAGCCGTTCCTTATTTATAATTGTTTCCCTAGGTTATGTTTTACGTTTTACTGGGTGTAATTTTGTTTCTTGCCTTTTTTTGTGTGTATTTTACACATTATGACATTTTCCGATTACTTATGATTTTTAATTTCGCTCATTTGGTAGCGACTTGCGCGGCAATGAAAAGCTTCTGTTAGGCGACCCTCAATTGATCCTCCACACCTTGAGCCATTCTCAATGCGGTCAAAAAAATAGTTCCCTTTACTAAATCGATCAAGAGATCAATCAAAAAAGATTTATATGAAACAGTTATGTTGTCTTAATGCGTAGCGACTTGCGCGGTAATGAAAAGCTTCTGTTAGGCGATCCTAACTTGATCCGCAACGTTTTGAGCCATTCTCAATGCGGCCATAAAAAAATATTTCCCTTTACTAAATCGATCAAGAGATCAATCAAAAAGATTTATATGAAACAGTTATGTTGTCTTAATGCGTAGCGACTTGCGCGGTAATGAAAAAGCTTCTGTTAGGCGATCCTAACTTGATCCGCAACGTTTTTGAGCCATTCTCAATGCGGCCATAAAAAAATATTTCCCTTTACTAAATCGATCAAGAGATCAATCAAAAAAAGATTTATATGAAACAGTTATGTTGTCTTAATGCGTAGCGACTTGCGCGGTAATGAAAAGCTTCTGTTAGGCGATCCTAACTTGATCCGCAACGTTTTGAGCCATTCTCAATGCGGCCATAAAAATATTTCCCTTTACTAAATCGATCAAGAGATCAATCAAAAAAGATTTATATGAAACAGTTATGTTGTCTTAATGCGTAGCGACTTGCGCGGTAATGAAAAGCTTCTGTTAGGCGATCCTAACTTGATCCGCAACGTTTTGAGCCATTCTCAATGCGGCCATAAAAATATTTCCCTTTACTAAATCGATCAAGAGATCAATCAAAAAAGATTTATATGAAACAGTTATGTTGTCTTAATGCGTAGCGACTTGCGCGGTAATGAAAAGCTTCTGTTAGGCGATCCTAACTTGATCCGCAACGTTTTGAGCCATTCTCAATGCGGCCAGAAGATCTCTTGTCACTATACTGATCAAGTGATTGAGCAAAAAGGTTGATTTGAAACATCCATCCTGGCTTATCTCGTACTCGCGCATTAATTGAAAACTTTGAGCCATTCTACATGCGACCAAAGAATTAAATAATAATGTAAACTCTTTGAAGCGATCCCTAGAGAGGGCGAAGTTTCTGGCGTCGTCGTCCTCGTCCTCCATCCGCTTCATCATTTGGAACATTGGCCGCAGCCGCGGGTCCGATTGCCGTAGGCCGAACGATTTTAGAACCTAAAAATCGGGAAATAAGCTGAGAACTCTTATTTTTCCAAAGATTAGGATGATCAGAAAAAGGAGCTCCTAAAGAAAAAGCTATAAGAAAACACTTTTTAAAGCGCAAACTTCGAAAAAAACGGGAAAAAAGCGATTCAGAAAATTTTTTACATAAATTCAGTAACTCGAAAAAGAAACTCTATATTCTATTTTTTTGAGGCCGTTCGGAATTTGTCCGTGAAAAAAATTCACAAAGATTGTATTTTTTTATATCTCTTTATATTACACGTAGCTTCTACATCGCTTTACAAAATTAACAAGAACAAAGTTCACTGAAATCAAAGAAAGAAACAAGTAAATTGATAAAATATCTCAAAAAGGTACAGCTATTTCGACTTTAAACTCCTCGCACGTGAACATTGGGATGTGCAGCGATCGATTTTTTTGGTTTTTCTTCAGCCGGAGATCGCTCTCGATCCATTGACTTGAATAAGTGATCAATTTAGTGTACTTGACATCTCCACTCAAGGGAAGTGAATATAAGATATTTTTGATGTACTTCAGGACCTCTTGCTTAGATATTATTCAAAAAAAAAATGCGCATTTTTCCTTTTTTGGTCATTTTTTTTGGCATAAAGACGCTGAAAATTCCCTTTCACAAATAGAAAAAATCTTTGAGACCTTATAACACTACTAAATTGCACGTGATGTGTTTTTTTACTCACTAGAAACCAGGAAGTCTTAAAAAAGGCACAGATTTTCCCAACTTATTTTAGAGTTTCCTGTTTCAAAATCATGCATGCTCGAGCATTTTTTTGAATTGGCCTGTTCTCGATTTTTCATGATCAGTAATACCTTCCGAAGTTAAAAACTACTTTTATTTTTGTTAACACCGTCTCCCTGAGCTCAAAACTACATTTTATACCTAATTTTTTTAAAAAAATTTTTGTAAGTCAACATCTCCACCTGGCCTGAATGAGTTCTGTACTCGCCCATTTATGTTTGAAATTCTTCAAAAACTGAGAATTTTTTTATTTAGTACATTTATGTCGCAGAAAAAGACGAAATAAAAGTCTTCATTCTTCGAAATAATTGAAATTTTTCGAGGCTTTCAAACTCACAGAAGGTTTAAAAATCAGGATGTCTCAAAATACCTCTCAATTAAATTTCATTAACCATTTAACTGAACATATTTTTCTGTCCAGAAATACGATACTACCAAAAGATACAACGTCAACACTTAAGGGATCACTTTGAACGATTCCCAACGAAGTCCCTTGAAAATCAATATTTCTCAAAGAAGACAGATTTACCGACTTATTTTAGGATCTTCTTATTCGAAATTATTCAAAAAAAAAAAATCGCGCATTTTTTCTTTTAGTAAAATCATGACGGAAAAAATCTGTTTTTATTTTATTTTGAGTCGTTATAGCTCGTAGAAGGTTTAAAATTCGGATTTGTCAAAAATTTCCAAGTCTCATTTGAAATCAGGATGTCTCAAAATACCTTTCATCGAAATTTCATTAAAACTGGACATTTTTTTTCTGTCAAGAGCATGATACTACTAATAGAAGCTACATCAACACTTAAGGGATCACTCTGAAGAATTCCTAACGAATTACCTCGAAAATCAGTAGCTTTCAAAAAAAGGCACAGATTTTTCCGACTTATTTTATGATCTTCTCATTTAAAAATTACTCAAAAAAATTTCGCATTTTTTTCTTTTTAGTAAAAATCATGACGGAAAAAAAGCTGTTTTTTTATTTTTATTTTGAGGCTTTATAACTCGCGGAAGATTTTTAAATCCGGATTTCTCACAATTTCCAAATCGGGAAGTCTCATTTGAAATCAGGATGTCTTAAAATACCTACATCATCAATATTTCATTAAAACTGGACCATTTTTCTTCAGTCAAGAGCATGATACTACTGATAGAGGCTTTGTCAACATTCAAGGGATCACTCTCAAGAATTCCCAACGAATTACCTCGAAAATCAATATCTTTCAAAAAGGTACAGATTTTCCGACTTATTTTAGGATTCGAAAAAATGCGTATTTTCCCATTTTGCAGATGTATAAGGAGACGAAAAAAGGCTTTTTTTTTCGAAATAATCAAAATCAAATGTTTAACTGGACACGTTTCTCTTGTCAAGAAACATGATACTACCAATAGATACTACATCAACATTCGAGAGATCCCTTTGAAAGATTTCCAAAAAAATAACCTTGATAAGCTTGGTGATTGAAGCCTCGTCGCGGTCGCGCATTTTGAACAGATCGAAGATGAGGTCCTCCGGGGTCGAGGTCCGCAATTCGTAGGCGTGTTTCAGGCCTTGGACCGTCTTCTCCATGACTTGCGCCATGGACGTCTTCCGTTCCAGGATCTCGCCGATTGCTCTTACTGAAAGGAGATGATCATCACCTACAAAGAGGTTTGTCCCTTCTTCGGCTCTGACTGGCTTCAAAAAAAGTTGAACTGATTTCAAAATATTCAATTTTCCCCAGTACAGTCGATTCACTATTAGATTGAGTCAAAATTTGAAAAATTACTTCATTTTCACAAAAAAAGACGGAAAAACGGATTTGATTTTCAAAAAGGCATTCCTAAGGTATTTTTTTAGGTTTTTTTGTTTAAAACATACATGGGATGAGCCAAGTCCCCCCCTCCCCCCTCTTTTTTTCTTTTTCGACCACTTTTAACTAAGAAAAAAATTTTTTTCTTTTTTCCTTATAAAATCGGACAAATGTACTGTCCAGCGCGCACCCTGAAAAAAATTTTTTTACGGTTTTTGCGCCCCCCTTTTTTTCGTTTTTTTGCCCCCCCCCCTTTTTTCAGGCCCTACGGAGACTATCCCATGTATGCTTGATAAGGTGCTTTTTTAAGTAATTCAAAAAAAAAAGAAACCCAAAAAGTACTGAAAACCTTCAAAACGCTCATTTTTCTTAAAAAATGGACATCATTTGTGACTTTTTCCACGTTTTCAGATAATTCAAAATCATTTTTCAACAATGCCTATGCACACATATTGTCATAGAAAAAGCACGAGGAAAAAAAAACAACAAGAATTTTTTTTTTTCAACTCACGATTATGTGTCGAGTGCGACTCGCGCGGCTTCGTCGGCGTAATCCCGATAAAATTCATTTTTTCTCGATTTTTCGAAATTTGATGTTGTGACAATGGAAGAACTAGTACTGAAGAACTGAAAAAAAAAAAGTTTCGTCCATGAAGTTTTGATTTCCGCGAAATTCAAAATTATCTATGAATCTCCGAAATTTAGTTATATTTTTCTTTCTCTGACGACTATTTTGAATTTCGCAGAATCACTTTGAACGGAGTACTATAAAAAACAAATTAAAAAGAAGAGCAATGGGATAATATGTACAAGTGAAGAAACAGCAAAGTCATTTTTTTCATGAGAATTATTGAAATGAAAAAAATAGAAATCTTTTGCAGTTATTATATATCCCGTCGGATTTCTTTAGAAATCTTAATATTGCGAAACATTGAGCCATGATGGCTTCAATTCTACTTTTGATTGTGTAATTTTTAAAAAAAGTCTTCAAAAAGGTGGGTTTAGAAACGTATCAGTTAAGAAAAAAAATTTTTCTTTTCTGCATGAACCAGGTTCTATTAGAAGATTATAAATTCAACTAAAAAAAGCTTTTTAAAAGAACAAAAAATTCTAAAAAAAGATAGGATCCATTTTCAAATAAAATTCAAAAAATAACGTTTCATTTGTATCAAAATTGAATCATTAAGTGAATTATGGATCTTTTTTTGATTTATAGTTTTTTTAACTGGGCCAAGAATGGATTTTAGGCACGCTTTAAGGAAGAAAAAATAAAAAATGTCTAAAAACTGGAAATTATGCTGATTAGACACGCGAAAATGCCCCAAAATGTCTTTTTTTTCATTTTGGAAGCGTTTTCCTGGTTTCATGACAACCATTCACAACGCCAATTTTTAGGAAACAATAGTTTTAGCGCGCGAATTGAGAAAATCGAAACGTCGCGAATTCAAAAAAAGTTAGCTTAAAGATATAAAAAAATGCGCATTTTTTTCTTTTTTTCAAACAAAATCTAGTTCAATTTTTGAGGTTGAAACTTTAAATTTCAACCTTTATTTTTTTATTTTAAAACCGAAAATACCGATTCTGGAGAAAATTATGATCATCTTTGGACATGTTAATGATGACGCAAAACAAAAATTTCTCGAAAAAGACTGAAAAAAAAGAAAGTTTGAAAAGAAGGGGCATCGAAAGAACAAACGGTGGCTGGCCAGGGGCCCAAAATGATTCAACTCAACGAAAACGGTGGATGTTTCTCTGGCGCCTCCGCCCATCTCAAGCTCTTTTGTTTGCTTGAAACAGAGACATTTTTTTGGGGGAGTAACGTTTGAGGAAATTCCGTCGCCTGTGTGGAACTTAAGCCGATCGGCAAAGTGGTTTCCGCTGTTTCTTACGGTTTAATCTTGATTTCGAGGGGAAATTGGACTAATTAAAGATCACATGGTTTGTTTCAGAGTCAAGTTCAAAATTATTAGAATTCATCTTTTTTTCGAAGAGATTTTGCAATACAGTGTTCAAAGTAATTTTTCGCGAAATGCTAAATTTTCTCTGATTCTCCCTATTTTAATTATCTTTTTCAAATCTCTGGCCACTATATTTTCGGGGAATCCCTTTGAACACAGTAAAAGGCCTGAAAAAAATCTAAATTTTTAAAAATTTAGTGGCATTCCATAAAAAAAGTTATTAACTAAAGCTCATGAAACGTGAAATTTCAGTTAAAAATAGCGCATTTTTTTGTACTTTGAAGCCTTTTTTTATCTAATTTTGAAGCTTTTTTTAGAATCTGATTTCGAGATTTTTTTCTTCGGCACTCAAAAATTTTTTTCTAAGTTACTTTAGTGGTCTTAATACTAGGGTTTCTTTCCTTAAAATGGGGCCTTTGATCCTTTAAAAAAAAAATTAAACTTGGACTGAAAAAGGCGCTTTTTTCCAAATTCAAACTATTAAACTTCCCGCTTATAAATATGTAATTATTTCAAAGAACGAAAAAAATTTAATTATGCTAGGAAATTATCTGTTTTATCATGAAAAATTCGAAAATTCCTTCAAAAAAACTTGGAAATTTTTCGATTTTTCTCTGTAAAAAGATACATGAAAATGTCGTCTATATCGTATTTTTTAGACCGCCTAGACAAAAGATAAGGATGATGTTGTGAGAACATGGAAAAAAGAGAGCAAGTCGAAACAGAAAGAATTTCCTCCGCTTGACGGAGAACGGCAGTAAAGTGACGCATTGGCTCCGTTAATGGTTTTCGAAAAAGGAAGAGAGCGTCTGGAGAACGCCCTTTTATTCATTTTTTATATGAACACAAGACAAAGAGAAGCAATGGGAATGTTTTTGAATATGTTCGAGATGTATGGGAGAATCCCTATGAAATTTAATTCAGTATCGAACAGAAACTTCGAGAAACGCTATCGACTTTCACATGAAACATTTATTCAAATTGTTCCGAATGTCTGGAAAAGGCAATTAAATACACGAAAGTTTCTTTTCTTTCAAGTAGTTTCTTTAGTTTTTGAGAAACATGAACTTAGTCTGAAACAAACTTACTCAAATAAAATTGTAAATATTTTTCCTTTTCAAGAAGTGATCTTTGTCCAACAGATCATGGGGAAACGCTGAAACTATACATCTAAACAGTGGACGACAGATGCTCGGCTTTTTCCGTTCATTTTACTGCACTAACGACACCACGTGCGAGGAGGATTCCCCGAACATTTATTATCAAAAAGAGTCTACTTCACAGCGAGTGATACAAGAAGCAGACTCGAAAGTGAGTATAATTTCGGGGAGCATCCAAACAAAAAACAGAACTTTGAACGAAGTCGAAAAATGAAACAAAATTAGAAAATTTAATATAAAAAAACATTTTGATGAGAAAGGAGAAAAAAATCCAGTTAAAAAGTTACAGTATATCAGAAGTACGCGCTTGCGTGTGTCTGCACAGGGAAAACACCTCACGACAGCTTTTTTTATTCATTTTTCCGACCGGATTTTTTTGTTCATAAATTTTTAATAATGTTATTATCTTATTTCATTTTAAATACTAGCTACGTAAAAGAGTCTGCACTTTTACAAATAGCTTGAGCGAACTTGGTGAACTATGAAAATTCTCACTCTGAAATTGGAATAAAATCACATTTTAAATGATTGCTGCAAACTTTGTCAGAAAAAAATTTTTGAAAAAAATAACTTCCAGCTTTAAACTGTTCATCATGCTTCTATTTTTTTCTTTTTTTCCATCCTTCCTGCAACCGGATACTTTGCACTCTTTCCTCTCTGAAATGAAAATAAACGTGGCTGGCAACTTTTCTCACTTATTCTTTGAAAAAAATGAACTATTTGATATAAATTTGAAGCTTATCAATTACCTTGGTGAAAACTAGCATATAGTTTCTTATTTTTCTATCTGGTTTATTTTTTCTTCCAATTTTTTCCACGATTTTTTTTTGATTTCTCGGAGAAAATACTTTGATAGGCTTTGTTATCAATAATCATAATCATTTGTTCTTGGAAATGGGCAAAATATTCAATTTGCCTTCAAATTAGCGCCGGTTATGTTAAAGGCGCAGGGGTTGCGACCTTGGCGACTCTCACAGCGAAGCCAACTCAGAGTGTCGATTTACGTAGATTCCTCTCCCTCCGAGTTCTTCTTTTTTCTTTACTCGTTTCTTTTTGTTTTTAGTTATTACTTTGATGTTTCGACAAATGATTATTTCCAGGTAGAGCCTTACAACATGGGAAACTTCGATAATGTGAGTGTTCCATTTTTTTGCCAAAATTATTTACTATTTCTTTCAGGACCCCACATCTCTCTACAGTGTCAAGGGCATCGTTATTTTGGATCAAGATGGTAATCGTGTAATTGGAAAGGTAGATTTAAAGCTGTTTATTTTTAAATAAACTTTTTTTAGTATTTCGACCATGCCGCTTTCGGAACGACGAAAGAACAGAAGGCTTTTGAAAAGAGCATGTTCCAGAAGACAAGTCGGAACTCATCAGGTATTGTGGATATATTTCAGTTTCAATATGATTGTCAGATTTTTATTTTTGGTAGTAGATATAAATTCACAATCTTTAGTTTTCATTTGTTCAACAAAATTTAAATTTTTTACACTTTTTCTTTTTCATAATTCTCTTGTATGATTCCTATGAGGAAATGGGAAAGTAGGGAACATTTCTAGTAATACGAACAAATCGGAAAAGTAGTTTTTTCAATATTTAGGGATTTTCAATTTGTACTGTCGATGATTGGCTCCTTAATCAAACCTTTTAATTTTTCCAGGATTCCACAAGCTCAAAAAAAGGTGGTGAATGGAAAGATAGCGAAAAGGGTTCATATAGGTTCATAAATGACGCAAAAATAATCTTTTTCTACCTTTTTACGGACAGCAAAGCTTGCTCCGATTGCATCATTGTATATTCCTATTTTCCAGCTGAAATCCTGCTCCTCGACGGTGTGACCTGCATCTACCGGTCGAACGTCGACCTCTACATGTACGTGTTGGGCAGCAGCCGCGAGAACGAGCTCATCTTGGAGTCGGTGCTGAACTGCTTGTACGACGCCATCTCCACGGTCCTCCGCAAGAATGTCGAGAAAAAGGCGCTCGTCGACGCCATGGACACTTGTATTCTCATCTTGGACGAGATTTGCGATGAAGGGTTCGTATTTTTAAAAAGACTGATTATTCATAAAGTTCACACAGAAGCTGAATTGAAGCATTTTATGGTCAACCTTTAAAAATTTTCATCTTTTCTAACAGCAAAATTTTTGATTTTTTTGGTAGTTTTTTTCCCTTCAGTACCTTCAATCTTTACTTAATTAGTAATTATAATTAGGTGAATACGATTTTTTTCCTGACAAGACTTAATTTTTTTGTTTTTTTGATAAATCAAGACATTTTAGAATTCTGAAGTTTTTTTACGCTTATAAACACCTTTTTTTCTCCGTTTCGAGAAGTTTTTCTGATTTTTTTAACAGTACAAATCATGTAAAATTCCAGCTTCAAGAATAAATTTCAGCTGTTCTTTTACTTTTTAAATGAACAAGAAAAAATTCAATGCTATAAATTGGCGTTTTATGGGGATCCCTGAAAAAAATGTAAATGAAAACTTTTTAAATTCTGTTTTTTTAACATTCATTTCTTTTTTTATAAAACTTGAAACTGATTTATTTTTTTCAGATATTGTTGAGATTCCGTTTTTCTCTGACCTAAGTCACGACCTTTTTTTATTGAATGAACGGATTTTTTTAAATTTTTTTGAAAGCATTTCTCTATTTCAAATGCTATTTTTTTGTTCAAGAAAGTTATTTTTTTCCTTCTTAAAAAGTAATTTGCAGAATCATCATGGAGACGGACCCTCAGGCGGTCGTCCAGCGATGTGCCTTGAAAGGAGACGAAGTCATGTTCTCGGATCAATCGTTTTCCCAAGTCGGAATGTCGTTCATCGAATCCGCCAACAAGCAATTCAAATGGTCTCTTCTCAAGTAATTTAATCGTTCTAATTTCTGTACATTTACTCATAATGGTTGAAATTTATTTATTTGCTATTGCTTTTTTTTCGCTGTGATCTGCCTTTTGTGAATGGGAATAAATTTGGCTCCTTCTTGTGAATGATATTGCTCGGAAATCGCATGTTATAAAAAGTTGAAGGAAAGCATGCCTTGAATTCAATCTATCTTTGAGATATTATGAGGAAGTTGAATTTTATAGCTTTATTCTGAAACTTTTTTTGTTTTTCAACACTTTTTTCGTTTTTTTCGAAATCACAACGACGAGAGTCGAAAAATTGTGATTTTGCTCAAATTTGCTTGTAAATCTACCCCCACACCGTGCACGCTATGCATTTTTTTCCTTTCTGCGGCGCGGTTTTAGTCTTAGCGCGAGTTCGAAATTTTTTATGTTCATTATTTTGGATCCCTTATTTTATTCAGTGTATAAAAAGTAGTATGATTAAACGAACTCCATCGGCTAAAAGATTAGCCGCGTCGCCAGCACGTTCTTCTGCGCCACAACTCAAGAAACCAACTCCGGAAAAGGTATTTTCGAAGTTTTCCTTTTTCTTTGGCTGTTCAGTAATCCTTAACCAAACTTTTGAAAGCGCAAAAATCTTGCATAACTTTTAACTACACAAAAAACGGCTTTTCGTCTTGACTCTTTTGGAAATTTGCTCCTTTAAAAATCATTTCTAAACAGACTATACACTTTCGAACTTATTTTAATCCTTATTAGAATATTTTCGAATTTCTGAAGTGCAAGCTTTACTTTTATTGAATGCTCAACAATTTTTAAACTTTATTATCCCTTTTATGAATCATTCTACTTTTATTTTGTTCAGAAAACGCCGAGAAGATGTACAAAGGCGGACGAGAAGGAAAATTCCCTGATTGACAGTGAAGTTACGACCAGGATTAATAGGTTTTCGAAAGTTCACCTTTTTTAATACCCCATAAAATCTTCTTTAGAGTCACGATTCAAGACGATGAAGCTGGACAATATGAGTGAGGGATTTGTGGAAAAATAATAAAAAATTTCGAAATGAAGGGACGAATCGTCAACTATTGCGAGATCAGCGATCGAGGCTTACTTTATGCAAGGCCGAACGGCTGGCGAAATGATGAACAAATCGAGGGTGAAAAGAGGAAGAAGGAAAATTGTCGCCGACAAGAAGTGCATATTTTTATCCGAGAAAATAAAGGGAAATGCCTTTTTCAGTTTGGAAGAAGAAGCCGAGGAAAATGAGGAAGTTGATGGTCGATTTCTGCAAGTGGATCTGCGCGCCGTCAGGGATTTTATTAAAGTATGGAAATTGTCTCGTGGAAAAGTTGGAATGGTGGATGATGGCCGCTAAAAAGGAGAGAGGCTTAAAAAAGGCAGCAGAAATGAAACACAAAGGCCGTATAACGGCAGCAAAAAGAACCCCTTCATCGAGCCTTCCATTTTCTGCACTTTTTAAGGCTCAAGGAATGATGGAAAAATGGTGCAAAAAAGTTAAGAAAAGGGCGAAAAAAAGCAGTAAAAAAGGAACATTTCTATGGTGCCGTTCTCCACCCTTTCTGACTTCGCTTATGTTTTTTTTTTTTGAAGCCTTTTGTGACTGAAATGTACTGATTCAGGATCGAAACTCCTCAAAAACGATTCAAAATCGTATCGAGAAGATAGTGGAAAGTTTTCCTAAGTGGACGTTGTACTTGGCCGCCAACTTCAGTTTATTGGTTTGTTTTTGAATTTTTGATGCACCTTTTGGGGTTTTTTCTTGTTCTTTTCTGTATGTTTTTGAAGTTTAGAACTATCTTTCAATTTTTTTTGTGTCCCGCTGGTATTTGAGAATCTTCAAAACTTGCGATTTTTTTCTAAAGTGTTCATTTCTGTTGCATCATTTTTAGGACCTTAAGAGGGACATTATTTTGAGTATTCAGGAATTTTTGATGGCATAGTTGACGCTTAATTTCTTTGAAAAATTGTCAAAAGCCTAGTTGTAAAGGCCCGTGAAAAGTTTTTTTGATATATTTAAAAAAAGTTTAGGGGTTTTTTTCAGTGACTTATTTAACCATGGGGAAGTTGATCAAATAAGGACCTCATAAGGATCTTCTTGAAAGAGGCCCTATAAAAAGCTTCCTATCTCGGGCAAAGTCGGAATAGTGGATAATGGCCGCTAAAAGGGAGAGGCTCAAAAAAGGCCGCAGAAAGGCAGCAAAGAGAGTCCCTTTATAAAGCCTTCCATTTTTTCTGGGATTTTAAAGGCTCGAGGAATGGTGGTGAAATGGAGAGGCAGCAAAAAGGTTGAATATGGGCTGAGATAATGACGCGAAAAGGCAGCAAAAAGGGAGCCTTCACCACCCTAAAAGGAACATTTCTATGCAGCCTTTATGGACCCTCGGAGGGTCCTTCCGACTTTGCCTATGATTGTTTTTTCAAGACTTTTTTTATAGGAAAGATCATTTTTAAAAAGATAAAGTCACAATGAGATCCTGAGAAGGTGGAATACAAATCGATAGAAAGTTCTTTTTTTTTCTTGAAAACCCTGGGAGGCAACTTTTGGCATCTTTTTAGGGGCTTCAAAGGATATTTTGTTCTTCTTTCAAAGTTTTTAAAAAGCAAAATTGAACCTTTATTACTCTGAATCTTATTTCCTGCTCTAGGTGGGATCCGAAAAAATAGGTCCTAAGCCGTTTCCGTTTCGAATTTCTTTAAAAGGCTTCGTCATATTTTCTTAGCTTTTTAGGCTTTTTAGGTATTTTTTGGTGATATATCTGTTTCTTCCGAAAGCAAAACGAAACTTTTTTTCTGCAGCTCCACGGGGTGGGCTCGAAAAAAGAGATACTGAGCCGATTCGCGAAGCAGGAGCTGAGCGGGACGACCCACATGAGGCTGGACGCCACCCGAGAAGACGTCGGATTCCGCGCCTTCCTCACCGCTGTCAACGACAACATGAAGCTTGGCTGCTCGGTTTGTGAAAAGAACAAAAGGGAAAATTTTAATAGATAAATTTATCCAATAGTTTTTCTCGGAAGAAAAGAACCGTGTCCTCTTTAAGTAAAAACTTGAGGGATTTCTTCTGTTCCAGGTCCTTGAAGTGGCCACTTGGGGTACCATTTCAAGGGATCACTTAACGGTGTTTTTTCACGTTTTTTCGTTTTTATTATGTTTCTGGTGTTGATAGTATCTTAAAACGGGAAATTTCGTACCAAATGCCTAATTTTAGGGACGAGGTCTCACGGTGAATGAATGGGCGCACGCTCTGGCCAGACAGATTTTCAAGACCTCTCGACAATTGATTTTATTGATTGATAACTTGGATTCCCCGCGATGGAGGTGGTTATTTTATCATGAGAGTTTCGTCGAAAAAAAAAATCACAACTTTTTTATTACTAATAAATGTTCTTCTAGTATCATAAGACGATAAAATTGAGATTTTTCGGACCAGAAAAATTCCATCAAAAAGTCTTTTTTTGAGGAATGTTTAACAAGTTCGTTTTGAAAATCAACGAGAAATGTTGTATGTGACAAAAAAAATTCACAAAGTTTCTTGACGCAAAAAGTACCTGGAGAGTTAGCTATTGAAAAATTTGATCTCTGAGGGTTTTTCCTGGTTTTAAAGTTCTATATTCATGAAATTTCAATAGCTTGCTGGGAAATTCGGTAGTTTCTGATATTTTTGGACTTTTTGAATCTTTTTTTTTCGGTTTTAATTCATTAACTTCTGCAGAAAGAGTGGTTTTTGGACATTTTTAAAAGTTTCTGACACTGATAAAACTCGAAAAGAGATTTCTTTTCGGCTTTCACAATAAATAGAAATTTTCAAACGTTTTGCGATTTTCAAATTGGTCGCGTTTTTGAGAGATATAGCCTAATAAAACCTGGTTCTAAATATTCGAGAGGTTGCTCACTATCTATGATAGCAAGGAGAGCTCTCAGAAACAAAGATGAAATGTTCGTATCAAAATTTTTTTCGCATTTTTTTCGATTTTTCTGGGAGAATGCGTGTTAAGCTTTATGTAAATTCAAGATCTGGCCTTTTTATTCAATCTCAAATCTAGATATGATAAGAAAATTCAAAGGAAAGAAGCATTATCTAGAATTCAGTAACCACATTTTGAGAATAAACGTCTCTAAAAATATTGAAAAATCTGAAACAAAAGTCTCTAAACTATCGAAAAACTGATTTCAACCAATAAAAACGGAGGTTCAAAAATCGTCCGAGTTATAGCTGATTCACGGCTAGAATGAGCCATCGGAAAAAGGTTTTGACACGAAAAAAAAAGAGATAGTGTATGGTTTGTGGAGAGCGCAGACAGGCCACGCCCCAAGCTAACCGTGAATCAGCTATATACAGAAAGCCTTTTTTTAAACATTTATAACTATTATTTCCCTAGGAATGATCAAACGGCCCTTTGTTCGCTTCTGGAGTACCCTAGGAATGTGAAACTTATCGCCACTGTTGATAATATCAACACGACGATCATCTGGAACTCGGTTTTCAATATTATCCCGAAATTTCATTGAAAAAAGGATTTAGAGACACTTAGATGTATTCAATTTCTTGCACATTCGTTGCGATACTCTCGCCCTGCCATTGGAGGAGTTGATGACCAGCGATTCGAAGATTTTGGGTCTCGACGGGAAATCGAATAATACGGTAGGTTTGAAACAGGAAATCAGCTTGAAATGATGTTTTAAAGGCGCAGGACCTTAGAAGAAACAGCTAGATTTATTTTGATAAGACTTTTGTGCAATTCTAGGGATCACTTAAAAGTGTTGAAGCTATTAAAGCGGTCACTAGAAAAGCCCAAAGGTCCGAGATATATAGCTGATTCACGGCTAGCTTGGGACGCTAAGGGGCGTGTCATGTCTGCGCTCTCCATGAGCCAGGCGCTGTCTCTTGCATTATCGTGTCAGGACCCTTTTTTCGATGGCTCAAGCCAGCCGTGAATCAGCTATATTCTCAAATCGCCCAGTTTTGTCATTGGAGCACACTTGACCTTCCAGACGCACTCCATCTCATCTCTCGACGTTTTTTGGAAGTCTCTGGCCAGCAACTCGCAAAGAATCTTCCATCTTTTCTTTGAAATGTTCCTCCAAACTCAAAAACCGGTCAACTTCTGGGAACTCTTCAGCGCTGCCAAGTTTTCATTCAGAAAGAAAATCGAGAAAATTCCAAATTTTAGGGATGAATTTTGTGTCTCCACGGACACTGCACTCCGGACACAGCTCGTCGAGTTCAAGGATCATCGGATAATCAAGTAGGATGCAATTAAAGGCGCAGGGACCTCACTGGCTTTTTTTTTAAAGGCGCAGGACTCTCAAATTTCTTTTTTCTCAAAGGCGCAGGGTCTTAAATGTGTTTCTCGCTATTAAAGGCACAGGGTCTCAGACGCTTTTTTGATCGAAGGCGCAGTCGTTAATGTCCGCTTATTGAAGGCGCAGGGTCTTAGATGATCTTTTATTAAAGGCGCAGGGCCTGCAACTTCCTTTGTTCATTAACGGCGCAGGGTCTTCAATTTCCTGCTATTAAAGGCGCAGAGCCTTCGACGCCATTTTTCATTAAAGGCGCAGAGTTTTCAACGCCTTGCTATTAAAGGCGCAGGGCCTTGAGCGACCTTCTTTCTTTGAAGGCGCAGGATCTTCAACCTCTTTTTTCATCAAAGGCGACTTTCATGAGTTTTTGAAGCAAAAAACCGGCGAAAACGACCAGAAAATGAGAACATTTTTTACTAATTGTCCATTAAAGGAGCATCACTTAAAGCTTGAAGATGGTCCCGAAGCGAAGATGGCAACGATCAGCTATCTGGAATCGTCGACCGTGACCTCATCAGCCAGTTTCTCACCTCCAAAGGGATGCCTTTGAGCGTGGCCTGAGCCCCTTATTAAAGGCGCAGACCTCTTTTAATCCTCCTTTAAAAGCAACTAAATGAAAATAATCTTTATTTCGCAAATAACAAAATCAGATCTCTCACCCCTTGTTGAATAATTCGCCACTGGCTGGGCTTTGAAATTTGATTCCGCTCACATTTTCCATCAACATTTCCTTTTTTCACTTATTGGCTTGGGTTTCGTTTTCCGAAATTGTGAATATTTGATGAAATTAACACGGTTGTGATTCTTGGATATCTGTGAAGATAAAATTCTTGGATTTTGAAGGTTAGATTTTGACGTGATGAGGTTTAGGTGATTAAACTTGGGAGTTTATTTTTTTGACTTTTTTTAAAAATTTAATCGCAATCAACTTTCAAAGGTCCCCACTAGCCGTTGCGCCTTTAATAAGGCATTCTAGATTTTTCAAATAATTTTAAAAGTATGAACTTTGAAGAATTCTTTCATAAGGCCCTTTTCTGAATACCAGGTTAGAAAAAGCTCATTCCAAGATTTTTAATTCACCAGTCAACTTAGGGATTTTCATCAAAGAGCATTTTTAAAAGGCGCATGAGCTAGTTTTGAATCAGAAAGTCGTTCTGATCTTAATACAGTGATTAGAGATTGTAGGGGAAGCGGAGACACCCAGAATGTCAGAAAACCTGACTGTCTGCAGCCCTCCACTCCCTCCCCGCTCTCTAAACATTTTCGGTTCATTTTCCTGTTAGCAAAACCTGGTCCCATGACAAATATGTAGACCAAAAATTGAGTACACGGGTTGGTAACCCGATATGTGAACAAAAGGACACAAGATTCGCTATACCTCCAGTTGTTCCGAATCCATTTTTTGGCTCAGAATTGCTCAGATTATATGATTTTTCATTCAATTTTCCAATCAAAAGTTGTATAGAAAAGCGTTTCTTTTCGAACTTTAGTCTCCGCCTCTTTCTATTTACTTTCTTCATTGTTCTCGAGTGGGAGCCTCGCTAGAGTTTCCAACGCTTTTTCTCGAGTTTCCCAGGTTTTTCTTTGATTTTACGATTCTCACAGCTTTTTTTTGGAAAATTTTGAATTACGGGTGTTTTTGAATTTTTTTTTCCGTTTAGGATAACTCTCAAAAAGACGGACATTATAACATAGGAACGTCAGAGGGGTCCCTTTAGGGATTGGGAAGAAGAAAACAGCCCCTATAGAGGTCCCCTAAGCCTCAAAAACTCAAGTGGTCCCTATAGGAGTCTTTTTTTTGTCAGATTTGAAGTTAAAAATACAAGTTTGATCTACTTTTGCAAGCTTAAGGGGTCCCTATAAGGGTTGGTAAAGAGGACCCTAGAGGGGAACCTTCAAAGGCCCCTATAGTTAACTCCATAGGGACCGCTCTGGAGCTCCTAAGAAAGTAGACAAATGACGTATTTTCAATTTTTCAATTGGTTTTCACTTCGAAATTCAGATTTTTCGAATTTGAGGTTAATATTTCAGTTTCAGAGGACCAATTTATTATTTCGAAGCATTTCCCATTGTGCCCAAAACGTCTGCCAGAATTTCTCACCCCCCAAAAAAGGCTCATTCATTGAGATTGCGGCCAACGATCCGCAACATCTGCACGACTTTTCACAAATTAATTAGACGCCGAAAATCCTCGAGGCCCGGTGGGAATTGTCCCGAAATTCATTCCTTTTGAGCCCGGCAACGTTTGCATTTCGGCATGGTCCTTTTGGTTTTTTGCTCCTTTGGGCTTGAATTTTATCGATAGAGCACAGAATTTCGGTAAAAATAGCCATACATTTCTTTTTTCGCTTGAAAGAATGTATCTTCAGTTCCATTGAAAATTAGTTCTCAAAACTTTTGGGTTACGAAATTTATCAATGGAGCGCAGGAAGCTTGTAAAAATAGCCAGTTTGGAAATTTTTTTAAAATAATTTCATTCACTTGTATTGACAGATAACTTCTCAAAAATTTTGGGCTTCCAAATTTATCAATAGAGCGCAGGAAACTTGTAAAAATAGCCAACGGCTTTTTCTGTATTTTTTTGAACCTTTTGCGCTCCATTGAAAAAAATTTTATTTTTTTATTTGATAGTCAGAAGATTTTTAAAGCTCTAGTAAGTCAATAATTAGCCAAATTTCCTGATTATCTTTTTGAAAATGATAAATAAGGTTTTTTTAAATACTTATAGTTTAAAAAAACCTTTTTAGTGATTTGAGAGCTTTCTTTTGAAATCAAACTTTCATGATTCAACCTTTTTTTGGGTTGATTATCAAGATTTCAACATTGTAACCTCCTGGAAACCTTTTGGTGTTTTTTTAATATTTCGAAAGATTTTTTTCTTTGATTTTTTTACTGGGGAATGAGTAATAATTTTCTCGAGAAAACTGTAAAATTCATATTTTCCAAAAGCCTTCCCGATTCAATTCAAATAGACCTTCATGGAATTTTTCGTCCTTGAAAACCGAAAAACTAATAAATGGCAGACTAATGGACCATGTGTATTTGTTAACATTTGGCGGCCGATTATTGCGAGATTGAGATAACGTCGAAAAATTTTCGTGGTGTTTGGGAGGCGGAAAAGGGAGTCGGCCAATCAAATTTCGGCCTTCTTTCGCACTTTACGGGCTCTTTTTGGCCGTCCAGGATGCTTTCTGATTTTTGGTCTCGGAATATTTTTGGAATTTTTTGGGATCTTTTTTTGATAATCACTCTTCAGAAAAATTGATCTGAAAATAATTTTTTTAAATTTGATCCGCTGCAGATTTGTCAACGGAGCGCAGAAAACAAGGGAAAATTTGAAATTTCGAGGCTTATTTTCATTAAATTTCTAACACAAAAAAATAATAAGAATTCATCTCAAAATTCGAGTTTAGAGGCCATTTTAGTCACTTCTTGTGTGCTCCATCGACAATTTCAAATTTTTTTCAAAATTTTTCTTCTCATAATTTCATTTTTCCTTCAAAAGCTCTCAAAATGCTTTTTTTCTATGACGCAGTAGCCTCAGATGAGCTTAAATGACACAAAAAATAGCTCGTCGCTTCGAGACCCATCCAAAAAACTTCCCATGCTCCTTTAAAACCGCAGAAATAAGTTTGGAGCTAACTTTACATGGGAATGGATTTTGAAAAAAATTCTATATTTTTTTAGTGAATTTTCCCTGTCTTTACTGTTTCTGGCAGCCTCTCATGTAACCCATTCATCGTTCATTTTATGACGTCACTTTCTATTTTACAGTATGCTAATATTGCTCTTTTTTCTTCCCTACGCTTCGCCGTTGGTCGACTGCGTTCACGGATTCGTTGGACGGATGCAGGTCGGTTCCGAAATTGCAAACTTTGGTCGCATTTGGAATGGCTTGGTTTTGAGATGGCGCGTCCGGCTCGAAACGCGTGTTATCCCGCAAGCCATTCCAAATGCGACCGCTTTTCAAGATTCATTTTGGTTTAATCGATTTGCTGAAAATCAGTATGTTCTCTGCGTCTCCTCTTCTCTTGGAGGGTCTCTCATGTTTCTTTGACCCACTTCAGTGAGAGAAAAGAGGCGCAGAGAGGTCAGAAAAAAACTCAACTCGTGAAGAATGATCAGAAAAAAATTTTTTTAATGGATGAAAATCAGTATAAATTTTTTTCAGCTTTTTCTCAAAACGCTTGTATTTCTATATTTTTTTCAGTTATATAATCATTTCTTTCTTTTTCATAATCCAGCTAGTTATTAGAGTCTTCTCAGAACGGATCAAAGGTACTTTGAAGTCCCTTTGGGACGTTTTCGTGTCTTTGGACTGAAACAAAACATTTCGTGTCATCTGTCATTCCTTCCGCGCACTTTTCAGCCCTACTAAAGAGTCCCTAGATAGCCCGGAAGGCTGGGAAGAGAATATAAAGGGAAGAAAAAGTGATTTAAATAAGGAAAAATATGTGAAACTTTTTTTCAGATGATTTTTCGGAAGAACTTATACTAACTTATACTTCAACATTTATAAAAGTTTTTTTGAAAATTTCAAATGTTTCCAAAACGCCCTAATAATGTGTAACTTGAACGAAAACAGTGTCAATCCATAATTTTTTTGACCGGAAAAGGGAAAAAAATTTAGCGCCATAGGTCAGTAGGGCAAATTTGCTTTTTGGCAAAAAGTACGACTTTTTTCGCGCCGAAACCTCGTTTTTTTCCCTTTTTTTGTTTTTTATTTCTATTGTTTTTAAAAGTGGCTTTTATGTTGTAGAGAACTGAGTGAAACATTTTTTCGGCTCAAAAACTTTTTTTGTCTTTTTTTCGGGTTAAAAAGCTTTTTCTTCTTGACTTAAATCATCATAATCCAGGAAAAAATTCAACTCTGCATTGAAAATCGTGATATTTTTTGAATTTTTCTTCCGCTTCTTTCGATTTTTCTTTTATTTTCAACATTTTTTTGGGATTTTTTTCTTCATTTTTGAGGCGTTTTTCTCTGGTTATAGACTGGAAGGTATATTCAAAAAGCACAGAGCTGCTTAAAAAAACAATTTTTTTCGAAATTTCGAACCTCTGAACTTAATTTTTCACTCTTATTAAATTGCTTTAGAGGCTTTGATTGAACTCCATTTTTTTAAAATTTTGAGTTTTTTTCAAGCCTGAAACCTCAAAAAAACCTTCTCGTATTCTTTGAAACCTAGCCAAAAAGTTGGCCGTTCCATCAAGGTCAACAGAGAAGAAAAGCTTCAAACGGCAAATAGTACACTTGTACGCTCTTTTTTTCATTTCAGTTTTTTTGGTTACAAAAAAAAATTGTTGACTTTGAACTTGACGGCTAGGGCTTTCACATGGGAATTCTTGAAGGAGACTGCGAAAAAAAGGAGATTTTTTTGAAGAAATTTGAAATTATTCTGAAATTTGGAACGGTTTTTTCAATAGTTAAGTGACCATCTAGAGAAAAAAAGAAACGTCCACTCTCTCATTTTCGAATGATTTCTAACTTGGAAGATTCTAGCGTAGAGGACGGTTATAATCCACGAAATAAAGAGCTAGAGAGTACTGTTAAACAAGAGAGCAACCAGAGAAAAAAGGAACGTCCACTCTCTTACTTTTGAACGCTCTCTAACTTTCGAAGATTCTAGCGTAGAGTTCGGTTTAAATTTACGAAATAAGGAGCTAGAGAGTACTGGAGAACAAGAGAGCGTTCAGAGAAAAAAGGAACGTCCACTCTCTTATTTTTGAACGCTCTCTAACTTTCCCAGATTTTAACGTAAAGGCCCGTTTTAATCCACGAAAGGAGGATCTAGAGAGCACTGGTAAACAAAAGAGCGTCCAGAGAAACAAAGAAATGCCCACTCTCTCATTTTGAACGATCTCTAACTTTCGAAGAGTTTAACGTAGAGTCCGGTTTTATTCCACGAAATAAGGAGATAGAGAGCACTGGTAAACAAGAGAGCGTCCAGAGAAAAAAAGAAACGCCTACTCTCTCACTTTTGAATGCTCTATAACTTTTAAAGTTCTTGTAGTTTTTCACGAAATGAGAGGATCCCTTTCTAATAAAAAAATAATTTTTTTGTTCCAGCCCGGCTTAAATGACAACTTTTTCCACATCAACGACACGTCAATGTGCAGCGCGATGTACTGCATCAAAGTCTTCGTCAACTCGGCCATCGACGACGGTTTTCCCTTCTTTTTTTCATCAATTTTTGATATTTCTTATAATAATATATTCATTCAGAGGCAAGAAAAAAACAATAACATGTAGAAAAATGGTTAGAAACTAACATGTAAGCCTGTAATAAACGAAAAAAAAAAGAAAAGAAGTTGAGACCCTCACGAACCTCTAAGCCAGTGAAAGAAGATGGTGAGAAATGGAAATGAAAGATTGAACAAGAAGCATTTTTAAGAACATTTTCGAAATTAAGTTTTTCGAGTTCTAGGAACTTAGAGTGGTCTCTATAGGGGTTAGGAGGAAAAACAGCTAGTGGAGAACGAAAAAGTGGTCCCTATAGGGGTTTAGGTTCTGGCCCCTTAGCCCCTAAACCTTAAGTGGTCCCTTAAAAGAGGTCGTTCAATTTTTCTTTTCAGAAAGGGAAATGTTTAAATTTTTCGCACAGAGTTCATAAAAGTTATCGACTAGCATGTACCCTATAGGGGTCACTTACTGAAACCTCTATAGTGGCCATTTTTGCAAGTTTTAGTATCCCTTATAAAGAGAGGTAAAGTGGACCCTTAAGAGGAGCCTACCCTTCTAGGGACCACTCTGGCGGTGCTCTGTAGAAAATATCAAAACCCCGCCGCTCCAAGCCAGGAAAAACCTTTTTTTAATTCAACCATTTTTTGAATGAGATTCCTTGGAACCAAAAGTCAGAAAAGGGCCCACGTTTTTCTATTAGTAAAATGATCCGTATCTCCAGACAATCTGTTCCAACAAGGCGTCTCATCGAGATGTGCCTACACGGGCGGCGACCGGGAAGTCTGCCTGAAGGCCACCGGATGTCAGGACATCACCTTCTACGACGGCATGCGAGGAAACGTTGGTTTTATTGCAGAATCATTGAAAAAAGTGCCTATCGCCCAGCGATGCACCCTGGCGCAGCGGCTTGAGGTTCAGTCTGATAAACATGTTCGGGAAGGTTCGATTCCTATCAAGGGCAAACTTTTTTGCATTATTTCTATATAAAAAAATTCTTTCAAAAAAAGGTAAAAAAAGTTGTTTTCAGTCTTATTATGACGCCTGACGGCATTTTTTTCATGAATTCGAAAATCGATGAATTCCTTTGAACTTTGTACTTTTACGAAGTTTCTTGCCCTTAGCAGAAATGCAAAAAGCGTTCGCCCTGGTAAGGAATCGAACTTACCCAAGTATTTCGTGAGACCGGCCCTCTAACCACTGCGCCAGGCGACCTCGAAGTGAGAAGAGGTTCGAGGCGCGTACAGGACCCTTCCTCGATGTGTTAAAGATGCTTTTTCTAATTTTCAAGAACGGTCTTTGAGATCAATACTTGTTCCTAAGCCCGAAATGAGCTCTAGTTAGTCCCCCACTGATGAACGTATGAATAAATAGTGCCGCAAGCCGTTAAAAGTCGGCTAAAATTTCAGTTCTCGTTCTGCTGCTGCCAGGAGAACAACTGCAACCAGGTCGGCGAGACGGAGCTGGAGGAGCTCTACCAGCGCAATTCAAAGTCCAAACGGAGCCGGACCTCCTCCTCCAGCTCCTTTTCAACAGTTTTGTACATTTCCTTTGCTTTTATTTTCAGATTAGTCTATTAACTTTTAATTATTTGAAATTTTTTTATTGTTCAGATTTTTTTTTCTTCAAGAGACCAATCAAAGATAAAGAAAAACACATGAGAAAGTATGGCAGACGAAAAAAAAACAACAAAAAATCACAATTTGTGTCCAGGAAATTATATCGAAGAGCACCTAACAAAAAATTATTTGCTCGAGATATTTACAAACAAAGATTGAAAGGATTGTGAGCAAATGTGTTCAAGAAATAATAATAAAAGTATAGATAGAATTATGCTCTTTTGTGAATGGAAAAAAGGTACCCGTAAATGGAAAGAAAACGTTAAGAGGCGGCAAAAATTCGAAAAAGAGGAAAAAATTGCCTTAGGCGACCAAAAGTGTTTGTGGAAACCCGTAGGATTGGATCATGTGGCGCTAGATATTGAGGGTAGTTCAAGTGGTCATTTGAGGGGTTCAAAGTGTCTTGCTCCAGAAGTGATCCTCAAGCGGTCACAAAAGATGATTGAAAGATCCTAAAAGGTTCAACCGCTTAAGTGACCTCTCTAAGCTTTCTTAGAAGTATCCTTCAAAGAGAAAAACTACTGAAATGCAAACTCAAAGAGACTCCCCAAGTGACCACTTGAAGGCTTTCTTCGGGTGAGATTCGGGATATCCTAACGAGGAATCAAGGCGAGAAATGGTCGTAGGATGCGAGGTATTCGAAGGCGGCCTGGTAGAGGAAGTTGTACTGCTCCTGGTCCTGCACCATGTTCTGTCGTTCCGTTCGCAGTTGTTTCACCTGAAAAGTATGATTATCTGTTTTCTTGAGCTTCAAAATTGAAAGCTTTGGAAAACACGCTCTACTGATGTTCGAGATCGTGGGAACGCCAGAGACGCAGATCTCTCGTTTCTCTGGACTCTCCTGCTCTCTAGCTCAGGCCTCTTGGAGATTTGATTTTTTAAATCGTTTTCGAAATTTCAAGCTAAAAATATCCGATTTTGGGAGCTGAATAGGCTCTATTGATGTTAGAGATCATTGGAACGGCTGAGACGCATATCTCTCGTTTCTCTGGCCTCTCTGAAGGCTCTTATGCTCTCTTAATTTAGCCCGCTTGAGAAAATTTTTTTCTAAAACTCGTTTTCGAGATTTCAAGCCAAAAATTTCTGGTTTTTGGTAACTCTAAAGGCTCTGCCGAAGCTAGAGATCGTGGAAACGACAGAGACGCATATCTCTCGTTTCTCTGGACTCTCATGCTCTCTAGCTCAGGCCTACTCGAGATAAGATTTTTTTAAATCGTTAGCGAAATTTAAAGCTAAAAATTTCCGATTTTGGGAGCTGAAAAGGCTCTACTGAAGTTAGAGAGCATGAGAGCCTTCAGAGACGCCAGAGAAAAGAGAGATCTGCGTCTCTGTCGTTCTCATGCTCTCTTACTTCAGCCTGCTAGAGAGGAGACTTTTTCCAAAACGAACCGTCGTGAAGACGTCGACGATGTGTTCAGCTCGCATCCGATCGATAATCACGGCCAGGGCGATGAAGACGCCCGAGCGGCCGGCGCCCGAGTTGCAGTGGACCGCGATCGGGCCTTCGACGCCGAATTGGGACTTGGCCCGGTGGACCTGCTGGATGAAGTCGATGAAGTGCTCGGCGGTCTCGGGCCGGCCGATCTCCGGCCATTCGGTGAACTGGAAGTGGCGGACGGTTCTTGAGAGTCCGGTCTGAAATTGTTAAGAGTAAAATGAGAATAACTTAAGTGATAACTTAAGGAAAAATACACTTTTCCATTTCTTTAGAAACAACACTGAGCCGAAAACGAACATGATTTTTTGAATAAATTATCCAAAAAGACGAATTATCAAGCGTCTTGATACTCAAAAAGTGATAACTTTAGTGACCTCTTGAAAGACACGCCCACCTGAACATCACTAAGTCGGAACTCCCGTAGGACGTAGTACTCCATGTTGTACTCGGTGATGGGCTCGACGACGAGATTGCCGACTTGGACGCCGATCTCCAGGGGCCAGTACTCGCAGCTCTGCTCCTGGCCCCGCTCCCAGGTGTTGACGAGCATGACGATCATCGCGCACTCCTGCTCCCAAACGGTCCGCCAGAAGTCGTTGATGGTCTCGTTGAGCGGCGCCTGCATCGCCATGTAGGCCGCCC